ATATTTTAACAGACTACTGGAGATGAAAAAAAATTCCAAATCATATGTGGCAGTATATATTTGACACAAAAAAAAAAAATTTAACTGACTACTAGAGATGCTCTTAGCTCGACAAATAAAAATCTAATACTTTACCAAGTCTATGTGGTTATTTACGTGTCAAATATAATGAAACCCATTTGGACGATACTTATTTTATTAGTCTGTAGGTCATAAATTCGATATTCTCGTTGAGCAAAGGATAACCAACAAATATGCTTTTAATAACACGAATAAATAATAAAATTTATTATAACCAAGTTAAACTTTTTTATCATAAAAAAATATCTTCTTTTTCATACAATATATTAATAAAATAATTTTAAAGAGCATCTTCAGCGGTCTGTTAAAAAATTATTTTGTGTAAAATTTACACTACCACATCTGATTTGTAAATTTTTTTCATCTCCAGCCGTCTGTTAAGATACACTACCACATCACCAATGTATAAAAGGTTGTGTATTTTACACAACACTTTTACACTGTCATGTAAGTATATTTTCTCTCTCTTCCCCTTTCCCACTGCCATGTAAGCATATTTTCTCTCTCCTCCCCTCCCCTACCCGCGGTTCTCTTTCTTCTCTCTCATTCCTTTAGGCCTATTTGTTTCCCACTTTTCTAGGGTGGAATAAAGAAGAATCTGTAACTGGCGGCAAGGTAAAAACTGCTCGACCATATTTTATTTATTTATTTTAATAAACATAGTTTGATTCATCACTTTTGCTTGATCTTTTCTTTTGTAATCATACTGTAGATTCTAGGATTTTTATTTTTATTTTTATTTTTATTTTTTATCCTTTTACATTCTATTCTAATGAGATAAATATGTACTAGCCAAAGATTAGATATATATTTTACTCATGTAGTTTGTAAAAATTATGTAGGGCCTTGAGTATGACACGTGGTTAGTTGTTATTGGGGATAATTTTTTACACAAAAGATATAAAACAACCGTTGAAGCTAAAAATAGTTAGTACAAATTTTTTGTGTAAATTTACTCTGACACATCAGATTTACACAAAAAATTTTAACAAACCGTTGAAGATGCTCTTAGTTCCTCATGAGGATCTACAACATACTTATCGCTGATGTGGAGTAATAATAAATGAACATGTGATCTTTAATTATCAAATAAAAGATGGTGGGGTAAATACCCACTTACCAAATCAGATAGTGATTCTCACCCTCTTTGATTTGATAATTAAAGATCGCATGTTAAGTCCTGATTATTATGAAGGATTTACAACATACTCACTGCTGATATTGATCAATAATTAATAGACACTTCCTATTTTAATTACTAAATCATAGATGGTAATCAAATCATATTCATCATATTTAATTTGATAATTAAAAATAACACGTTCATTTATTATTAGTCCATATCAATAGTAAGTATAAATATTGTTCATAAAACATAAGCCAGTAGATCTTTAAAAAAGACAAGACCTCCAAATCATGTCTGACCATGCAACCATGATATATCTCAGAATGCACAATGTGTGCGCGAGAGCGTGCGCGCGCGCAAAGAATTGAGAAAGAGAAGGTTCCAATATCACATAACTATCTATACTCTCCTATATTGCTGCTGTTATGATTATTATTTTTGGCAAGTGAATAAAACTTTTTTTATTCGTGCTTCATGCATATAAGACAAATTTGCATACCAGCCTTATCAATATTTGTTCGTCAGAATAATATTGAAGGGGAAATCTTGATTGGTGTACAAACCAAATGCTTATGTTATATGAGTAAAGGAATATAGGGTGTATGATGTAAAATGATTTGATTTAATTAAGTGGAGGATTTAAGGGAAAAAAATTCTGATTAGCTCTTCTTTCATATTTAATATAACAAAATATATATTATCAGACTTTTTCATTCTAAATATTATTTTTAGCTTTTGTTTTAAATTGCTTAAGGCAAGTTTGATACGTATTTTGTTTACGGTGTTTTTGTTTTTGTAAAAAATGTGTTAAGTAAAAATTGTTTTGTGTTTTACAGTGTCGGAAATGTTTCATGAATAGTAATAAAAAATCAAAACACCAATTTGAAATTTTTGTATGTATCCGCACGGTAATGATTAACAATAATTTTTTTTTTTTTTTTTTGTAAAATTCTTAAATATTTGCGCTCCACTTTTCAACATTTGCATTATAATCTTAAATAAAATGACAATTCTAACCTTACATCTACAAGTAAATAATTATTACTTTTTAAATGACACAACTGCCCTTTCATTTTTTTCTCTCTTTATCTCTAATATTTAATATTTTAAGTATATTTTGACAACACAAATAAAATAAAATAAAAATTGAATGATATTTTTTTTAAGGGACCAAAAAATAATAAATTGCCTATTTTGGCCGGATAAAAAAATAAAAAATAACCATTTAAAAAATTATCTCTTTTGACATGAAGAAAAAAAAAAAACCCAAAAAATATAATTATTGAATAAATTATCTTTGTTATCAAGATCCCCAAAAAAATAATAACAAAAAGTACAAAAGGAAGATGATTAAAAAAAAAAAAAATTCTCTCACCATGTTTAACCTTTTTATCCATGTTTTTTTTTTATTTTTTTATTTTTTTTAAAATTCTAGAAAGCATTATTTAAATGAATGTGTTATGGTAGGTATATCTTGAATTTTTGAACAAATTTATAAAATCATCTTCAATGTTCTGCTTCTTGCTGTTGTTTATCCAAAATTAGGGTCAATATTTAAAAAATTAAGGCTACAAAGGGTAAATATTTTAAAAATTAAGGCTACAAACCGAAGTATTAAGTAACAAAATAAAATTTTATTTTCGCTGCCAGAACTCAAACCCGAAACGTCCTTGCCAAGTTGAATATCCATTGGTATGTTAGCGATGGCAGATTTGATGTTACTAAATTCCATTCTAAAAATATATAAACTATTTGCTGAAAATTCATTCATAAATCCAATTGGTCCAATATAGATTTCTAGGTCCATTCAGTGTAATTTCACATTAGTTCTTTTATCAATTATATACCAGTGAAATTTTAGGTCTAATAAAAAATAAAATAGAGCTCTATGCTGAGTAATATACACCATGCAATAGGCATAAAGTATAAATATATATAGGAGGTGATGTCCGCACTCTACTTTTAAACATTTGCACTACAATCTTAAATGAAATGACAATTCTAACATTTCTTTTACAAGTAAATAATTATTACTTTTTAAATGACACAACCACTCTTTTATTTTTTTTCTCTCCTTATTTTTAATCTTTAATATTTTAAGTATCTTTTGACGATACAAATAAAATAAAATAAATTTTTTTTTTAAGGGACCAAATTTTTTTTGTTATGCTAAATAAATTGCCTCTTTTGGCAAGATAAAAAAATAAAAAGTAACCATTTAAAAAATTATCTCTTTTGACATGAAGAAAAAAACCCCCAAAAATATATTTATTGAATAAATTAAAATAAATTATCCCTTTTAACTACCAAAAATAAAATTATTAGTATAGAATAAATTATTTTCTCTGAGAGGACCTCCAGAAAAAAAAATAGTAAAGAAAGTAAAGAAGGTTAAAAAAATAAAAAAAAGTTATATAAAGGGAGTAATAAATTAAGGAATTGTGCATTAATGAATTTAAGAACTTTCTTATCATTTCCTTTAAAAGAAAATGATAAATGTGGTGTAATTGGAGAAAAGTGGATGGGAATATAGTCTCCTTATTTTTAAACGGATAATAATTGTTTACTTACCGGTGAGTAGGAAATTCATACTTAGCCCTGACACAAAAGTAATGTGACAAGTGTCCCTAAAATAGAAAATAATAAAAATTAAAAAATTTGAATGCTTACCGAGCCAACCCAAAATGATGTAAATCAAATCCTAATTTTATTCTCTCCCTCCCTTCCTCCCTCTCAAACTATTCCGTTAAAACCCTAATGGGCTAATACTGAAAGTTTTGACTTTTGTCTTTCATGATTTAATGTGTAATTCTTACATTTGACTTTTGTCTTTCATGGTTTAATGTGTAATTCTTACCTATTATAAAAAAATTTGATTCACATGGTTTGATAGATAATTTATTGATTGCAGGATAGATTATTATTACTTATTTATTGTCTTCTTTTTCTTTTGACGGAAACAAATATATATGTATCATTACATTTATAATTCTTATTTCTATTCATTACTCATAGCTTTTTTTGTATCTTTTAATATTATTTTATTTAAGAATTTTAGTTTAAAATAATTTTTATTATTTTATATGGTAGGGAATCATGTTTCACTAAACTTTCTACTTATCGGTGAATAGACAAGTATTGTTCTTTATAATGTTTATATTTTATTTTAAATTAAAATAAAATACAAAAAATACACTAAATAATTGATAGGATGAATTTCTTCCTAATTATCACTTCAAAGATTGTCACGCACCCTTTACATCAATTTTCACACACACACACACACACACACACACACACACACAAAGGGCCCATTCTGCCTGACCGCATCAATGAAGCCACTCATTTACCAACTTGACATGGAACAAACAACTCATGGATTGATGATTTCAGAAAATCTTGAAATCTAAAATGAATAATGGATAGTCCAACCGATGTTATCTTTATAAAAATTGTGTGCTGAGTGTGTGTGTGGGGGGCTTTATTGATTATTAATCCACATTGAAGTTATTAAATTCTTTTTGGCCAAACATATAATATATGATTCAGTGGTGGGAGTAGTCAAAACCCAATTTATTTGCGTGTGACATTGAGATCATAAAACACCCATCAACACACACACATATATAATATAATATATATACTCGTATAATATAATACCGTTCACTCCATAAACCACAATAAATACTACTTAAATAAATTCAGTGGTCGAAAAGCTTCCTCAGGTTAAGAACACTCTTCACTTATTTACGAAGAAGTTTCCCCCCCCCCCCCCCCCCCCCCTCTAAAAAGATAATTCATGACAGCTAGTATCAGTATATATATATATATATATATATTTGTAAGTATATTGGGGTTTTCGATGAAGAATTTTTGAAACATTGATCAGAAAAGAAATATGTTATCTGAATCAGATTCTCCAAACACCAATTCTACAATTGTAGCTGCTATATCTTGCGCTGTTGCTGATGATAATGCTCTTCTCAACTCATCTTCATCACCTCTGAAGCCCCCTTCAGACGACGATTTCTTCTCCTCCGCCTCTTTCGCCTCTTCCTCCTCCTCCGACGATGTTCACGCCGACAAGCCTTCGTCGCCGTCGCCGCCACCCGCTCTTGATCGGCCTCAGATCCCTATATCATGGCCTTCGGACGGCAATCTAACCCTAGATTGGGTCATGGACCTCATCGCAGCCTTTGATTGGTCCTCCAAGAATCTGCCTCCGCAGGATTTGCCTTCGGTGTTGCCGGTACAGGTGTTTGACAGTCTCATACTCTCCGCTTCCAAGATCCTCCACAAGGAGCCAAATTGCGTCAGGATCGACGAGATTGGTTCCGATTCGAGCGTCGTGGTCGTCGGAGACGTTCACGGCCAATTGCACGACGTCCTATTTCTTCTGCGCGATGCTGGTTTCCCAGCGGATGATCGGTTCTTTGTGTTTAATGGCGATTATGTTGATAGAGGTGCATGGGGTCTTGAGACTTTCCTTCTCTTGTTGGCTTGGAAGGTATGAGATTGACAATTGTTTAGATATACCAGTAACGTATTATGTTCTAGTAAAAAGATTGTATCTTTCATTCTTTATATTGAATTGACAAAAGCAAATGCAATTTTTTTACTAACAAAAGCAAATGCAATTTTTTTACTAAGTGATGCTTTGATTCTTGGAGTCCAATGATCAATTGGTTTGTCTGGATGTGAATCAGTACACGATTAACATAAATGATGGAGGAAATATCAAGTTGAATTTTTAGAGTTGTAAGGCTAAAGGAGAAAAACATGCAAATGGACCAATGGATTGATGAGTGTTCATTCCACCTACCATGTGGGCCAAGCACAGGCGTCATTAAATGACTGAAACAATAAACTTAAAATTGTGATCTTGTTTCTAGTCAATGCTTGGTGACATTACGAAGATAAATGTCAGAGGTCTCTCTACATTATTTTAGAACTCTCAAATTTGTTAGATTTCAGTTTACTTTATCATAGCTATTTTGATATACTTCCCATACAAATAAAATGGAAGGACTTTAAAACTTTTTTTATTTGAGTAGATTTAATCTTTTGTGATGATGTAGATAGTTGATTACCAAGGTATTGTGGAATTCATGGTAACTCGGGGTTAATCTTATTATTCCTTTTGTAGTTTTGTGGTCAATTATAATCATTTTTCATTTTGTGTGTAGATTTTCTAAATTGCAGGCTTAATCTTGTATTTGTGCTAGATTTAGGATTTCACTACTTTCTTTGAAAGTGTTTCTGTAACATGGAAGTTGAGATATATCCCAATGATCTATGTATATGCAGGATGCAATTTCCTTGTTTATATTATGCTGAATTAAGAATTTGTTGGATTGATGCATTTTTCTAGGTTTTTATGCCTCATAGGGTATATCTTCTTCGTGGAAATCACGAATCAAAGTACTGTACTTCAGTTTATGGGTTTGAAAAGGAAGTCCTGACCAAGTATGGGGATAGAGGAAAACATGTCTACCGGAAATGTTTAGGATGTTTTGAAGGACTTCCACTGGCTTCCATAATTGCTGGGCGTGTTTACACTGCTCACGGAGGCGTTTTCCGCTGTGTGTCCATTACCCCATCCAAAAGAGCTAAGGGGAAGAAGAATCGTAAAATAATTCTCAACCCTGAAATGAATTCCTTATCTCTTGGTTCTTTGGAGGAGTTATCAAAAGCTAGGAGATCTGTCCTTGATCCTCCTTGGGAAGGTTCAAACTTGATTCCTGGTGATGTGCTTTGGTCAGACCCGTCAATGACCCCTGGTCTTTCTCCAAATAAAGAGAGAGGTATTGGTCTTTTATGGGGTCCTGACTGTACAGAAGAATTTCTAAAGAACTTCAATTTAAAGGTGATATCATAAATCAAAAATTCCGTGTTAATGCTTTATTTTTTGAATTGAAGTGTTGGCCAATGATTTGATAAGATGCTTTGCATATGCTATATGACATTTCACCACCAAAGTACAATTATCAGAAAGAAAACGATATTCTTCATGTTCTTTTGACATTGTAATTCATCAAAGTGTTTTTTTTGGGCTCCCTACTTTTAGAATCTACACAATTTTCAATGGAATTATTCATAAGTTCATTATTAGTCATTCCTTTTGAAGTTCAATTGAGGCTCTTAATTGAAAATTTTCATCTAAAGCCTGGTGTTAATTGGCAGGATGAATATCCTAAATGATCCCTTATAAACAAGATTTTGGAAACTTGTGCCGTGCCCATTTCCTTTTTTTAAAGCTTTTTAATGATCTTTGTTTATAAGCTATGTATGTATTCTTCTTAGGAATTCAGATAATAAATGCTTAGTTACTTACTATCACTAGTAGATATCGGATAAAATAATGTTCACACGCACACACACACACACACATATATATATCATATTTTTTTCGATTATCAGTACTTAGAGTTATAGTTATTAATGTCTCGAGGCGCGCACTAAGGCTGCAAGGTCATAATTATCAAAATCACAATCTGCATCGTAGATCACACGATCCAAACTTGTCAAAACGATCTGGATCATATGAAAAATGGCAAAGGGATCGCCTCTGGATTGTTTGTGATCCAACTTTAATAAGATCATTCAGGATTGTGGAATCGTACCATAGGATTGTTCTAGATTGTTTAGGCATGTAAAAAAAAAGAAGTGTTTTTTTTCTCCCTTCTTATATGGTACTTGAAAATATTCGTAAAGTGGGTTGGTTCTAATTTTTTAATAAAAATGTTAGTTGTTATGACACATGTAATTGTTATTTAGTAAACTGAGGAACAAAATTTTCTTGGTTTGTTTCACCGAATAATATTTTTGGTATTATCAAAAGTACTTTTCTTAAGGAAAAATGAAAATGGAGTGATCTGAACCTTGACCTTTCTATCTTTGAAGCTATGTTATCAAATTTAGTTGCATGAACTTGTGTAAAAATGCACGTTCCATATGTTTGTGGTAATAATAATCTAATTTTCATATATGTTTTAAACTTGTTCTCTTCTATTTAAGAATTCTTTATTTATAAATATAGTATTAGTATATATTTTTTTCTCACTCAATTTGTAGGATCTTACCATCCTTTATCCTATCTTATGGTCCGATCCTATGGACACCCTAATCAGTCTAACATGGAATCTCGATCCTAACAATCTTGGTCAATGTCTTGTGGAGCTTTAGGGCAAGCCTGATCAAAGTAAGGCTCATGTATAATAAAAATTAATAGCATCTGTAAAATAGGAAATGAATTAAAAAAATGTAACACAAACTAGTCAGAATCAAAATTAAATAGATGTACATTTGAAACACTTCAATAAATAGCTAATAATTTTTTTAATTGAATTTTTAAGGATAAATTAAGCAATGTGCATTAATCAAATCAAATACATATAAAAACATGCAACAATATAAAACAATAATCATGCAGATTTTAAACATACCTTATATTATCATAAAAATTCGTAACCACACACGAGATGCAGTTATTGTAAGTAGTCAACCATAAACACGTGAATTTTGACAAATATACAATAAGATTAAACAATATGATCCATCGCACATGGCCATGATGTGATGTAGAATATATAAATTTGTGATCGTATAGAAAAGAAAAATGGAATTGATATGAATGAGTGTTTAAAAAATAACAGGGGATGCCTTTTGGAGCCTTAAAAAGCGTTGGCCTAAATGAAGGCCTAAATGAAGGGGCCTGGCTTGTAGTGAGTTGAGGCGCTTCAATTGAGCCTTGATGAGCATGGGACTTCTTTGGAGCTTAGGCATGTCTTTAACAACTATTTTCAGAGCTTACATTTCTAGCCACAGTTAGTGCAACACCTATAGTTCATCAACACGAAAGTGGTTACTTTGTTATTTGCCCTCTGCACTCTGCTATACTATATTGCTTTACAAAAAATTTGTGTTTTGCTAAGCAAAATACAGTAGTTATTGGGATTTGACATGTAACGAATTTGTAGCTTATGTGAAAACTATCACATTGTTTCTTTTCTTTGTCTCATTTGTATTTGTTTTTACATTAGTAAATTTACTGAATAGCTAGTATTAAGAAGTAATACTAACACTTGTGTTGTTGCCTGCTGCCATTACTACAGTTAATTATTAGATCACATGAAGGTCCTGATGCGAGGGAAAAGCGCTCTGGTCTAGGAGGAATGGATGAAGGGTACACTATAGACCATGTTGTAGAGTCTGGGAAACTGATTACTTTGTTCAGTGCTCCAGACTATCCGCAGTTTCAGGTATCTTCTTTCTCTTGGCATTTTTTGTTTGCTTTGTTTATCTCTGCCGCTGCTATATGAATTGTCTGCAGCTTATAATGGCTTTTTTTTTCCTGTGATTATGGTTTTAGCATCTCCTTTTAACACTTGATGTATGAAGGTAAGAAGTTTCATATCTGTTGGCTTTGCACTTCTATCTTGTTTACATGGTTAAATATAATGTTACATTTCATCAACATTCTGGAAGAGGGTTGGGTTCTGTAAATACTGTTAGGTGAGCTTCATGTGGAAACTAGGATATTTGCCTTTAACAAAAAAAAAGAAAAAATTTGATAATGGATTATTGCTTTATCTAATTCGGATAGAAAAGCTTGAAAACGTGGGTTCAAGTGTTAGAGCAATCAATCGCTGTAGAAAAAAAGTGCGAGAGCTGTCAATTTGGACAAAGGTTTGGCCTGTTCTAGTCCACCACTATTAATACCCATGTTAGCGCAAACAAAACTAAGGATAAATATATTTACAATAATGAAACAAATCAAGAAAGATTTGATAAAAGAAATTGGAATGCAATTCACTTTATTTCCACTGTAAAAGGTCACTTTATAATATTTGTAATGATAATAGAAATTCACATATTTTTTCTGACCTGACTACTAGATTTCCCCTAGATTTTTATTAACATTTCCCTTAATTATATCTTTCTTTCTGTTCTACTCCTATCTTTTCACCTTCTTTTGTAATCGACCATTTTTCGTCTATTCTATTGTCTAGTTAATGAGGATGTGACCACAAAATTCCTTCTTAAAATTAAGGAATCTTCCGTGAAGAAGGCAAGTTCTAGATGAGGATGTTCTCATGTTAATAGGAAGTATGTCCTTTTGGAAAGTTCTTCCAATTATAGGGAGATTTTTTGAAAAGTTTGAGAAACTTTTATTGCTGTTGTTGTTATCAATTTGTAGTAATAAAAGCACAAATTAACGAATTTTAACCTATCATTGGTTTGAAATTTGCATGTCCATTGTGGATATGATAATTGATGGAGCAAAGTTTTCTAAGAAAAATGGGTATATTTTTCTTAAACATGCAATGCATGTAACTCTTGAATAATTGCAGCACATGGGAAGGCTTATGTGAAGAATATTTGGCAAGTTGAGAACCATAGTTTCTCCATTATATGCATGTTGGTTGGTGTTTCTTCCCTTCCTCCACTCCCTCCCCTCAATGTTTTGCAAGGAGGGAAAGTTTTTTATTTATAAAAAAAAAAGGATATGTCCCGTATAGTTTAGTAAAATGTATCACGTTTCCTTGCTTAATTCATCCTTGATTACTAGTACAGATTGAAAGGACCTCAACCATCATTGAGTTGAAATTTGTGCCAACATAGGCAATGTCAATGTGGACATGACATCTGAGAGAGATTTTTCTATTAAATCTTGTGCTCAAGGATACAGGGTTCCCCTGGAGTAGCTCTTGTTCAACTTCTTTGGTATTCTGCTGCATGGTTGCAACTGAATATATATTCTTTAAAATCATTGTTAAACTCTAGGAGGTTGATAGAAGTGCCATTTAGGGTACCAACACCAACCCTCCTGTGGCAACGCACAATCACAGCAAAGAAAAAGAGAGAGAGAGAAGGGAAAAAAAAAAGGTTTTGGATACGCTATTTGTCGAAATCTCAAGCATAGTGAGGAACAGCATGTTCTACAACATTTAGCTCTTTTTATTTTCTCTTCTCTTCAGGTTTCTTAACTTGGAGTTAATAATTATTTTGAATTGAAAACAACAATACAAATGATTAGACTGCTGGTTCTTGTAATACACCAACAACAAAGTATATCTGACTAATAAAGAGCGAGTTTTAACTTTTACATGATATCTAACTAATAAATAATAAATATAGCTAATTTTAATAAGCAAGTTTGTCTTATGGGACATCATATTCATATCCACTTTGGACATGTCCTCAATCCAAAATTTGATCCCATTTTGGTTAATTTTGCTTGATTTAGGCATAAAAAGTATGTAATGAGAATGAATTAATAGACTTATCAACAAAAAAAAAAAAAAAAATTAAGAATAAATAAATAGAGGATACCCAACTAGGAAAAAAAGAAGAGGAGGAGGAAACTCCAATAATGTATCTTTTAAATTACTTGGCCTTTGAAGGCGCATATGCCCATTCATAAGGAAAAATATAAATTTAATGTGCCTAGAATGGAGATGAGTTCTACTGATCTTCATGTTATGTGGCTTTTGTGCCAAAGGACTTGACAAAACAATAAATGGAATTTACTTATCAAAAAAAAAAAAAAAAAAAAAAAAAAATTGATTGAATTTTTGCCTTACTTTGAAAAAGTTCTTTGAATTAACCTATCTACTGGTAGCTGCTATGAACAAAAAAAAAAAAAAAAAAAAAAATATATATATATATATATATATATATATATATATATATATATAATATTGATGTCTTGTCCTATTTGCAGGCAACAGATGATAGGTACAAAAATAAAGGAGCATACATTGTGCTGGAACCTCCTGATTTTGATACTCCTGTGTTCCATAGTTTTGAAGCAGTCACTCCAAGACCAAAGGTACGAGGTCTTACTCATCTCTAGATTAGCAAAACAATAATAAATTTAGGCTTTTACTGGCTAATTGTAGCTGTTTGAGAGGTAGTAAAAAAAGGGTGCCTTCTCCAATCATCCATCTGAAATCACTTATTTTCTGTGAAGTATTTGGGAAAAATTTCAGTCCTAGCCTCCTAGGGAGAGAACCTTCCCGAATTAGATTATAAATTAGAAAACAAAGAACCGTCCCTGGTATATTAATGGGCTCAAGGGTTTTCTGGATGTCAATTTTGTCTGTTTGGGAAGAATATTGTGTAGGTTCATATGTACTGAAGATGATTTAATCTGTGGCAGGCAAATCCCTTTTATGACTATGAGGATGTGATTGATTCCGATGAAGAATTGGACTTGGCATCAATGGTAACGGCTTCCTAAAAGTGTTTTTTTGAACATGCAGTTAGTATTATTTAAAAATCTTGTACATTTCTTTGCTGTGTGTTTATTATATATTAAGGCAGGAGTTTTATTCCCCAGCCTGCTGTCCCTTTCAAATGTAGAATTATTTTGTATTGAGCTTTTCATACAGGGCAGCATATGCTGAATATGTAAAATCATTTTTTATTATATTCATAAATTATTGTTTTTGTCATCTGTGATTCCCGACTATGTAACTGAGAAAACATGTCGAATCTGCAGTTTTTTTAGTTTTTTGACAAGTCAGTCAAATCTGCAACTGTGAAAGTGTGTGTGAGAGTGTCCTTGAAGCTTGCTGGGTGCCGATTATAATTTATACTTGAAACAGAGAGCCTTCGGTTAAACCTAAGGCTATGTTTGGTACGGTGGGTTTGAAGGGAAAGGATAACATTAGTAATGAGGGAAAGGGAAGGGAAGGGTAATAATCGGTGTTTGGGAAAAGAAAGGGAAAGAAAGGAAAGGAAATTATTTTAATAAATTGACTATTATATCTTTTTATATTTTAAAAAATAAGTAAATAAATAAATAAATAAATATATATATATATATATATATATATATATATATATATATATATATAGTCTCCTATACTTGCACAAGAAAAGGAAAATATATATAGTCTCCTATACTTGCACAAGAAAAGGAAAATATATATATATATATTAGGGCAAATCATTTCAGCCTCTCCAATCTCGCCTCCATCTCTATTATGTATATGTATATAGTCTCCTATACCTGGTGGGTCACAATAAAAGAAAAAAATTTTTTTTAGGGCAAATCATTTCGACCTCCTCAATCTCGCCTCCATCTCTATTCTCGTACTCAACTCTGAACTTGCCCTCTCTCTCTCTCTGTCTGTGCACTACAAGAATCAAAAGTTCAAAATCCATATATTTCAGTTTATCTATCTGTCTGCAAGAATCAAAAGTTCAAAACACGTATCGGTATATCATTTCAGATTGTTTAGAAAATCAAAACCCATATCTTTCAGTTTCTATCGCCGCTGTTCCAGTTCGGGTTCGACGTTCGCAAACTTCAGTTGCTAGCCCGCCGTCTCTCATTCTCTCTGCAACTAACTTGTATGTATATTGTTTTGCAAACTTATGTAAGCTTGAGGGTAAAATTGGCATCACAACTCTTCCATCAGCCATTGCCTTCACTTTCCTTCCATTTTCTCTCATTTTTGGAAGGATAAGAAAACTATATAAACTTATACATAACTCTCAAAGTCTTCTCTCTCCTTTCTTTTACTTCCACCCATTTTAACCAAACACAATTTATTTTTCAAACACCCTCCATCACCTTCCCTTCCCTTTCCTCCCTTTTCCATTGCACCAAATTGACCCTAAGAGTTATAAATATGGTTTGTATATGGGTGTGATTGAATTAAAACAACTGAGTTGAGGAGAAGTTGTTGGCTTGTTGCTTAACTACGGTTTAAAATCCCAAAAAAGGGCAACCGTAGCATTAAAGGATGGCCAAAAGCTTTGTGAAAATTGAGTCATTGATTTGTAGGAAAGGCATTGAAAAGTAAATTCTTCTCAACTTCCACCATTTTGTGGGGAATAATAACACGATGAAATGATTCTATTTCTTGCTTATCCTGACCAAACTGTTAATGTTCAAAAATTTGGTTTAAGCGCCTTTGTTGAGTTAATGTTTCCTCCAATGTTTACTGGCAAAAGACAGGATCTCCAGACAAATATATATATTTTTTTATAAGTAAGATCTCCAGACAATTATGACAATTATAAACTCACTTGACCTCGTAAAACACCTCCAAATAGTTTTTGCAGCCTGGTGGGTGCTGGTTGAGCATATATGAACACCATTCATTTTTAACGTCAATTTGATAATGGAAAGTGAAAGTAAAAAGAAAGTAAAGTAAAATAAAAGATAATTAAGCTGCGTTTAGTAATAGGAAACATTTTCTGTTGTCACCCCCTAAAAAGGCAAAACAAAAACAAAAATCTATGTTTAATAATATGTTTTTGTTTTTCTATAATAGAAAACAAAAATTCATTCTTGTGAAGAAATGAGAAAACATAAAAAAAAGGTATTTCTCATGTTTTCGATACTGTTAAGCAAAAATGTTTTTACTATTATTATTACATATACACTGTTTATTTCGAATAAAATGTATGTTATACATGTTATATACTATAAAAGTTATATTTTTACTATATAATTATATTATATTAATATTAGTGTGAATTATTTTTTATTTAACAAAAATGTATTTTTAAAATATAATATATTATATAATTGTGTAAATTATTTTTGTATTTATGTATTGGGTATTATTAAGATTTGTGATTTTAAATTGAATATTATATTTTATTATCCTGTATTGGATATTTTTAATATTATTGCACACATATTTAAGGCTTTTTGGTACTAATGAAAAAAAATTAGAAATAATAAAAAATGTTATTTACATCTATAACAAATATCTATTATTAAACACTGTTATTGTTTTTTGCTTTTAAAATTGTGACAACAACAAATGTTAATAAAAGTCATTTTTGTTTTTTATTGTCACTCAAGAAAATAAAATAATATTTTTATTTTTTTGAGACTGCAAAAACAGAAAACGAAAACGTTACTAAATGCTAAGTTTCCAAGTCCAATTTGGTTTGCATGAAAATTTTGCAAGAAAATTATATAAAATTATTACTATTTTATGACTTGAATATCACACAACTTACCATAAAAGAAAGGGCAATATTATAAGTTCACAAAACATTCTCAAGAAATTGAAATTTTCTTGTGTTTTTTGAAAGAAAATTAGGTAGTTATGGAAAGTGATTTTCCTCAAAAAAAAAAAAAAAATTCCGGCCAACCAAACTCCTAAAATGTTCAAAAAATTTCCATTTCCTTTCTTTTCTTATTATTTCTGTCTAACCAAACAAACCAAGCAAAGGGTTCAAGTACTGGCACACTCTACACCAATGCATGACGCGATCACATACAAAGCTTATTAATAAATAAATAAAGGCAAGTACTGAACTTGTTTAATCATTCACTATTTATTCCCTTCTTGCCCCCTTTTCATGCAACCATAGTTAATCACCACCGTTCAGGAAAAAAATTATGACATTGCTAATTTTGATGCTCAAGAAAAGTAACTATGGCCAGAACTTCCACGAGTCATTCAACGAGGGAAGTTCTTCTAGTTTTTGCCCCTAATTATAATTGAACAGAATGAAATAAACAAAAGAGCAGATTGATACAAACACGAACATAAAATATATATAAATGGATGAACATGGGTCTACAAGTTGACCTCTCTCATCAAAGAACTCTCAATTTAAGATCAGCATGGCCAACTCTTGCTTTGTGCCTTTCAAAGAGATCCACAAGTGCTTCAACAAACTGACTGTGTATTTCAGCAACCTTCACAAGATCAAGAGAGAGTGGGGTGGTTAGTTTATGCTTCGGTTTTTGTGTGCCTTACAAGGCACTGCGATTTGAAACCAAATAACGCAACATTCATGCATGGAAAGTAAAACTATTTCAGCTAGCTTGAGGCAACATTTTGTGTGTGTGTGTCTCAAGTCGCTTGAAGCATATATGTGTCAGATTTTATGCTATTAAGTGCGACTTAAGTTAGAATCAGCTAGAAATCATATCTCCTTTTTCTGACGAGTAATTATTAAAGTTTTCTTTCTATCCTCTTCTTTATAATTGCCTCTTTTAAAAATGCGGTCTAACCAAGAGGCATTTGGATAATTAGATGTATTTCGTCTTGACTAAGAAGTTCGACTAAGATCAAAAGCTAAAATCTGAAAGTCATGTTCCAACTTCCAAGATTGAAATGAATACCATGCAAATCCCCAATACCTAGACAAACTAATGTTGTTATTTGAATATAAAAGTCCATGAGGGTGAAGATTAATAACAATTATTACTAAATGACTCTCAAGTCTCGCCGTAGTATGGAGTGATTACATTATATAAAGATCCATGTTTATAAGTAAATATGAATCTTTAAGTGCCAAACTGGTGATAGACACGGATATGGATATGGGATTCGTATCAACAAGGGTCCAACATACCAATCATTTACAAGGACAAATGCACTATAAGATATATATTTTTTAATAGGTAATATACTTTAAAATAAATTTTTAAATCACAAATTTCCACATATATATAAACATCCATCTATGAAATAACATGACATATATATATATATATATATATATATATATTGTTTTTTGACAGTCTAATGAGCATCAATACCTCTTCCATGGTGGGTTGCGGATTTTTCTTAACCTCAATTGGTCTACCAACCACCACATGCATTGGACGCTGGTACGGTACTGGTGACCTGCAAGGAAAGAACCATGAGACACAGTACAAATAGTTTCACAAAACTGTTACTGCACAGAAGACTAGAAACAATGCAGAAAATTTTCACCTACAACTGCAAGTGGAGGTCATAGGCAATTCCCTCAGTCGATCAAAATTTCCCATTGGGCTAGTTTAGACAAACATAATGCGACAATTATTTGAAGAAATAGTTTTTCAATCTCTTTCTATTCTGTTTCTTTTTTCTTCAGTATGGTGCATGGAGCTCAATTTATATAATCCAACAGATGACAACATAATAATTTGACTATGAGTGGCATGTGAACAACTCATGTGGAAAGGGTGTTTACTGGCAGGATGTGGCAAGCGCCCTGCAACATCCAAAAAGGAGGTGTTTACACTGAAATTTTGGATAAACAGTTCACAAAACCTCATAAATACTCCGCAGTGCCTCTGATCTAATTAGCAAACTTTTCGGACCTCAACAAGGATCGGTTAATAACATGATCCTAGTAGCATATTGACATTCGACAATCGTCTGACAATCATCACCAAGACAAAAATTATAATTTTGATCTTTAGTCATTTTAAAAATTACGTCCGGAAGAAAACAAAAAGGTTTCGTTGTCAAAATAAACACAAGAATGTGACGATTTAGACATACCCAAAGATTCCCCAGAAGATAATTGGGGTGAATTTAATAGCTCTAGCAAATTGCAGGTATAATTTCCCACCAGGCTTCCACCAGTTGTAGACATATGACTGCATCACAATTGAGAAAAAATAAGGGATTGATTCAACATTTTTATTTCAATGGAAAAGATGAAAAATAAAAATTCTACGGGTAATGGATAAAAAGAAAATTAAACCACAACATAAATGAAGAAGAACTATAATATAAAATATATAATGCGGGAGTATGTGTTACATTTTTGAGATGATAAGCTCAAGCATTAAATATGTCAGGCCATGCAAAAGCAGCAACAAACTAATTTCAAGAGTTGCACAATCACAGAAATAGGGAGGTCGTGCACAAAAAAGAATAAATAATCAAATACCTGATTTTTTTCTTTTTCGTAATCAATCGAGCATATATTGTGCACATTAAAGAACCAATCAGCCTTACTTATGCCTTAATACTTGAAAATGGAGGATACATGAAAAAGGTTCAGGAATGAATACCTGACCAAAGCAAAAAACAGGAACCAGTGGTCGGCCCGTCTCTATGGCTAAGCGTACAAATCCTCTTCTCGTCTTAAGGAAAGCAACCTACATAACAAACAACAAATAATATAAACACTAAAGAAAACTATATATATATATATATATATATATATATATATTTATAAACAGAAGGAACTCTCTGAGACAAACAAAAGTTCCAACCCCATTACAAGCAAGCGGCAATGTAATCCCTATACATCATAAACTGCATATTGTGGTCCATCTGAACTATCCTCTGTGACACGCTACACCCCAGAATGAGAGGAAGAGAGTGGCAAGAAGGCGAAAAAGAAGAGAGAGAATAAAAAATTCCAACCCGTGGCTCAGCAAATTGACATACTGTAACACAAACAGAATGCTGCTCTGAGAATCTGTTTATAGTTATCACATGTCACTAATTGGAGTCAGCTGGCATCTGAGAACAGATGCTCTAAACCCATGGTGGTGAGAGCCCAAAAATATTTTTAACCAGGCATCATAAAAGAGGAGAGTATAAGTGCCATGTGGAACGTGTTCAAGTAATTCACAGTTACAACATACCGGAGTAATTCACAGGGGCAGCAAAGTTCAAGCAAGGTGACACCACATAATGGTAGAAATATAGGGTCTTGGACTTTAATAATTAAAAAAAAATGTGTGGGATATCCCACGATAGAGAGATTCTACATGCTTACACTCGGTTTACATAAGAAGGGAGACCAAGAATAATGGCAGAAAATAGTTCATTCACATACATGATTGAAAAGCCAAGTAGAAGTTTAAGAACCCAACAGATCAATGAAATTGTCAGCTAATTCTAAATCCAGCTATAGCGATGGCATAACATATAGACTGAGAGTCATAAGAGTTAAACCTCAGAACCGTGCTCCATATGAAATGCCTCTTGCACTCCACCAGGCACTATAACGCAGCTATAACCAGCTACCAAGAGGGAGATAAAATTTTTCCTTGATGCAGATGCAAGTCCCAACCATGTCCATAAATGCCTCAGGAATGGTGTGTAGAACACCTGATCATTTTTCTCTAGTTAATATAATTAGTACAGAGAGAATGATGAGAGTGGCTCCATGAAATTTACAAGGCTACAATCACTAAAGGTGGCAAGTCTTACAGCGCTGCTTGCGAGAACCTTAATTTTCGGAAGAGGCATATAACCTGTATGGGCTGCAAGGGCAACAACACCAATGGGCAACACTGAATGCGGTTCATAGCCAAAAACTGCATGCAGCAGAGTCTTTAAATATATTGCTTTCAAAAAACAAGGAGAAATAAACTAGACTCATCAGGCTAAGAGCAAAACAGAACTCCTTAAAGACTACAGTGGCAACAGCCTGCCGCTTCAGGTCCAGTATCCAAAACATACACACCTAATTTAACTACTTCTAAATTCTATTTTGAAAGGGGAAAAAGGAAAAAAAAAGAAAGAAAGAAGAAGAACGAACTTATGCAAGGGTAACATGTAGAAATTAAAACAAGCAAAAACCACGCAATCATAAATTCAACAGTTAGAATGGTTATCTCCAAATGGTGCGGTGCCCATGGGCAAAACTGTTGAATTGATTACAGATTACATGCTAAAAAGAATCCTCCATAAACCACTTTTTTTCAGACTAAATAAATAAATAATTCTTGCAACCAGCCACCCATCGAATACCATTCTCAAAACTCAACCAAAAGCCAAACTACTGCTTCATCCACTACCGTTGGAATAATCATATCTTAGAACAACTTCATTGCCCAATAAACCTTGAGCGAGGACTTCAGATTGAGTAGATAGAGAAAAAAGAGAGACCGTGGGGTGAACACACCTCTTTTTTTTCACTGTATATTAGGGTTACTTTAGAAGTGTGAGATAATAAATTCCATGATTTTTAACCGTGATTGCACACAACTCAACAAAGCTTTTGTCCCCACTCGAGACAGGATACAAAATCCTTTTTCACCATCCTACTCCACATAGGGTCATGCGTTTTGCAAAACCATACATTAACATGTCTTTCTGACTTCCTCATGTTTTTATTGGCCTTCTCCTCATATTTATAGGCCTAAAGCATTTCAAACTTAGATTCAACCACGTTCTCCCATTGGTGCAATCATTTGTTGTACATGGATAAAATATCTTAATATACATTTCCTCATTTGTCCCTGATTTATAGCATTCGGGTTACAAACCTCTCAACCCAAGCCCCACGCAAAATGGGATCAAGTTGAAAATTTTGAGCCAAAGCCAGTCCTTAACTCGGGCTACACTTGGGTTGAGCCCGACAAACTTGCACCCTAATCCCAAGCAATGGTAAAAGTTCAAGTGGGAAAGCCACTTTGTAGGGAAAATAATGCCAAAGGTTAGCTCTATCTTCAATTTTCTCTCCTAACACTTGCATACATGACTATGCATGAGGTTCAACTGAGGTTATGGCTTTTATACAAAGTGGAATGGTACATGACTGTGCAAGTAATCAAGGATCCTAGTACAAAATCAGATATTGATTGGCAAAAGTACCCTTGAGCTACATATATTAAGCATTACCAAAGTATCAAAGCTGCTGATTGATAACCCAATTCAGCATTTAATTCTGAATGAATTAAGTGTTTAAACAATTAAGTGCGTTTGATAAGACATTTTGAATATAACATACAAAAATTAAGTGCTACTGAAATTGAGGCAAAAGTTTTAAGTAACAGTACTTCACTTATCACCTAATATTGGAACACTTAAAATCCAAAAGAAATATCAAAATAATAATAATAATAATAATAATTCAATTTATAATCATGGCTTAAAAATTTAGCTCTTAAAATTTTCAGTACTTAATTTAATAATTCAAACAGCTACACAAAAAGTCAAATCCTACCTAATTTAGATTTCAAAGAGGCACAAAAATGAGTTATTCAATTACTCACTGAAAAAAAAAAAAATTTTTAAAAATAAAAATCAACGAGTCATTCAAGAATGAGGAAATCACAGAAATCCTACAAGAACAAGAAGAAGAGCAAAGAAATTTACCATAGGCCTGATTGGGATCAAAAGCTTTTATATCCTCGAGGTGTAGAGTCACTGGAAAATAACCACAAGCATACTTACAAATATACCTGAAACTCGTTAGAATGTATTATCATTTCTATAATATGACATGAAACAAATTTCACTTGATTATGAGAAATAAATAAATACAACAAATCGATATATTATCATAGAACAAATACGATGGTAAAACAAATGAGCAAAAAAACACTAACCTCGATAATTTTAGACCCCATTTGCTTTTCTCGTCAACTGGAATCACCATTAATATCACAAGCAACCCCAATACCCTAAATCATAAACAAACCAAATGAATACATACATATAATGTTGAATAATGGAAAATTGAAGCGAAAGAGAAACTCACGCGAAGGTTTTGGGAAGGGGGAGGAAGAGGAAGGAAGTCAAGACGAGGATGGTGAGGAGGTGGATAGCCCCAAGCCATATGCTCAACGCCAATATTGTGTGGATTGGTGAGGCCTCCGTCCCAGTGAACTCCGTGGGCGGCGGCGGCGCAGCCTCAGGCGACGACGGTTTGTGTCGGATTCCGTCAGTCTCCGCCGTTGTAGCCATTGAATAATCCAAATTGAGTATAATATTTATAATACTAGGAATTTGAAAGTTCAAACACCTTTTTTTTCTTGTAAAAAAAGTGTTTGGTTTGCGATACAAACTTTGTTAGCTTTTGGTTTGGTTTGGGTGAGGGTCGACTCGAGCACGTTCCAGTCACTTCTTCGGAAACATCGTTCGCCGCAACGAACCAATTCAACAGCTTGTTTGATTCATCACCGATGATGCCACATCACACGTGTAACAATCTGGATCTGATACTATACTATACTGCTCTCGGTGTATCTTATTGCGATTGTAGATACCACGTAATCAAAAGAAAGAAAAAACATATATCAAAATCTTGTTTGTTACGAGAAATTTTTTACCTTGTTGCATACACGTGCGTAGACATAGAATACATATGAACGGTACAGATGTAATGAAAATCTTCTCCATATATATGATACTAAAGTTAAATAAAGGTTCTCTCAAAAAAAAAAAATTAAATTAAATTTTAAATAAATAAGAAATACTAATTTCAAAACTGACATTTCTTTATAAGATTAGTTAATAAATACTTCATTTATCTCAAAATAAACGTCATATTTTTCTTTTTATGTTAGTTCACTTTCGTTTTTCAATTAATATATTTCAAACTGACAATGAATATCCCACATGTTTTCTTAAAAATTATTACTCCCATAAGCGACACTTAAATTGGGACAGTAAATATCTATTGAAAATTTTAAATATGATAATATTTAGATTTTCACTAGTGAGAAAGTATCCTATCTTGACCGTTAATATAAACTAATAATAAATAAATAAATCATCTTTAATTATAAAATTAAAAAAATAATACTGATAAGTGTGCTCATCATTTGATTTGAATTTGAGCCTCCCTAAATGTTTTATGATACGAGAAGGACCTGACCCGGTTTTGTTTATCTGTTACCTTTTTTTTGGGTCAAGCAATTGAATGAATGAAGTAAAATATACATATTGTGCTATTCAAAGAAAGCCCAAGAGAAACAACTAGGGGAAGAGAAGAAAGGTGGTTGGCCCAAACAAAACCAAACATATATAAACAAGCCCAGTTTAGAAGGCTATTTATTTATTATTATTATTTTATTTACTTTTTTAAACCTGGCAAATACAATACACCACAGATAGCCATAAAACAAATCATCAACAATCACGGAATAGAGGAACCCCAATTTCTCAAGTTACACTGGGGAATAAACTGTAATTCCACATCACAAGTAACATAGCTTTTGAAGAGTTTAAACACAACATAGGCAACCTTTTTGCCACAACATAGGCAACCTTTTTGCCATACCTACCAAAAAAGGTTAAGGCCCAATCTTAATATAAAAAATAATCGGTTGAATATTCACTAAACACTGGTTACAATTACTGATCACATTACTCAATCTGTCTCGAACCAAACTTGGTGAGGCTCTAAATTATAAAGGATTTATTCTTTCCATGAACAAAATTTATGTAGGCTCAAAAGAAATTATTATAATGATTATGTTGTAAATTTTGAGTTGTCTAGCATTATTCATGTTATACACATTCAGGTATTTAGGAAAGAGTTTGAATCATGCAACCTATTTTGTGATAATAAAATCCCGAGAAAGTGATTCTCCCAAACATCTCTTCATCGTTTTTTTTTTTAGAGGTTAGTTGGGGGGACATAAGGAGCAACCCAACCACTCTGGCAACACCGCGAGAGGGGGACATAAGGAGCAACCCAATCACTCCGGCAACACCGCGATCTATGGAGAAAATGGGTCATCTTCATTCTTTCTGCTTCTTCTTCTTCATTTTTTTTTTTACAACTAGAAATGATATGTGAGTCGTAAGATTGCGCCACATATGTGATCACGAGAGAGTATCTTAAAAATCACACATGACAAGGGAAAATGGATAAAAAGTGGTGAAGGAAATTTTGTCTACATCATTATTGTGCTGAAAGATGCCAATGGATTGATGAAATCAACATCCCATCCTAAACCACCCAAACCATTTCCTGTATGCTTTTCTTCTGTGTCTTCTGCTATTATTGCACCCCTGTTGTTTTGTTACACATGCTTCAACAGAACCTTCCTCCTGCGGGATAGCCATATTATATATTCACTTCAATTGGATGTTTTATATATATATATAGTGTCTAGAATTAATTTCCCACTACGAAGTATGCACCTCCCAACTTACTTGAAGTAAAAGAGGATCTTGTCTTCCCAGGACACTGACTATTAGATCATCATCTTCATTCTCATTCTCATTCTGCTTTGTAACTAAGGGTAAACACGAACCATGTGGTTCGTGTCCGAATTTTTCAGAAACTTGAACAGTTGAAGAGCTCGACCTTGATGTGTCCCCTTCATCCATTTCCAGGCTCAACTGAAATATTATTAAAAAATTAGTTTGCTGAAAACGAAAACTAATCAATGTGTTGGACAAAGAGACCTGGGGTGGGAATTCCGGACCAGGGTCCTCTATGCTTTCACTGATTTCTATTGGTGCATCCAGTGGATAACAGTCCATATTTACATTTTATTATTGAGGTGGCAAAATTATTCCACTGATCCAGTGAAAATCAGTGACAGTGGAGAGGATCTGAGTCTGGGAAATCCTCCGTGCTTAGAAAATTGACCACATAATGATTTTCTGAATTGAGTTTGATATGGTGCATATTCATCTGTGTGGCATATTTAAACCTGTAATACGCGGTTCTCAAGCATTCATAGTCGCTCCATCAGTGTGCCTTTATGATGAACTTCCTCGAGTGCAGAGGAAATGGTTTTGCACTGATCTTCTGATTCCACCTTTCCGACAACTGAACTGGCCGAAGAATGCCTTCCTGACAAGCCATGCTTCTCTTCCAGAAGCTGCAGCTGGATTATCAGAATTAAAGATGACAAGCATATCAATTAGTTATCATCAATGAAGTCTTCAATCTTCATGAACACTAAAAACAACCCTGGGAATGAACATTATGTCATATATGCATACACATCCGCATAAATGTATAATGTATTAATTTATGCCTTAGCATTTTTAGATTTTACATACCTTTTTCTTTTTCAGTAGAATAATATATACGTAATATGCAAGTGAAATTATTGATTCTATATATAGTGGAGATGTATAGATAATGCCTGAGGAATATACAAATTTATGAACATGAAATGGTAAAAGATGGTTACCAGACGATCTAGGCGATCCAATCTTGGAAGAACAGGCAGAGGTGTATTGGGTTCGAGCTTTTCTTCTTGTTCCATGATTTTCAGTTAACAAAGCCCTGCTTGGAAAAAGCTGTTAGAACCTTCCTCTACTATCAATTATGTAAGCCTGTGTATAACATGTGACATATTGGCATCAAATATCTTTTAGTACACAAGATTTCTCTTTCTTGTGTGTGTGTGTGTGAGAGAGAGAGAGAGAGAGAGATCAGGATGTGGACACCTCACACCTTGCTTTTAAAGTTGAAGCTTTAAAGGATATGGAAGCTGTTACGACTTTAATGAGAGAAGAAGCCATTGAAAGTGGCAGTAAATGACAACTACCTTGCCATACTTTCTTGTCACTATTCATGCAATTTTCTTTCCATCATATTTTATACTTATCTGATCACTTCTTATCTACTCTGCAAGATTTGCTTCTCTCTGTCTCTCTCTGGCTGTATGATTGTCGAGGTATTAGTAAAATGGCCCAAGATATGGCCCAATTCACCACACAATCATAATTGGCGGATCTCCCATTCTACATTGCAACAATTTATTAATTACTAGTCAAAATTCAAATAATTGTATCCAGTAATATTTTATTCCAATTTTCCTTCAATCATCACACTTTTTTCCATCACAGAAGATGTTGCCAATTATTTAATAAAATAACCTTAAATTGTTTAACATGTCAGCCATTAGTACTAAGTGCCGCCTGTTGGAAATTTATGGAGTTCCTAAGCACCTTATTGCTGAAAAACCATGATGGACCTCTCAATTGCATTCTTTCACCAATGAAGAAAGGTGAGACAGCCTTTGAGAGAGAAAATAATACAGATAATATGGTTATTAACTTGTTACTAAGGTAACACAAACCTAACAATTTTTATAAATACATGACACCCTCCTCAAACCTCTAAAGAGTCTCTTTGTGCTCACTTCATAGGAATCGCCTATCCTAGACTAGACGTAATGGCCCTTAAAATGTGGTTGCTTTAAAATCTTTTATCAAAGGTTGTAGCCTAGTTGTATCTCCTCTACCTCTCAATGTAGAAGGTGAGAGCTTGAATCTCCATAGGGACAAATGGGTGTGTGGGTTTCTAGCCAGGGGGGAAAAATTTAGGTTAATACAAAAAAGGAAAAAGGTTTTCTATTTCAACTCCAACTTTATAAGACCTCATAAGATAAAAGGCAAAACTTGAAATTGTCATCCATATATTATACCACATAATGCAGTGCAAATGTCTATCAGGTAGATCATCATTCAGAAGGCATTTGCATTGTCATTTTGTGGTAACCTATCTTCACTTTCTGCATTTATATAAGAATGCAACTCCTGAATCTTATTTATACGTATAGAATCTCATTTATACACAAATGACAGCATTAATCAATGTCATGACTCTACACTAATATCTTATTTATACTCGGAAAGAATTGTGTTCAGACATATATGGTAGCCTTAATCAGAGTCATGAGCTATCAAGATGAGCTCCAATTTTCACCAAATAAAGCCAGAGCGATTGACACTAATAGAATGGTGACCAAAATCCTTTCTGTGTTTTGAACAACAAACATGCTTAGAATAAAGAAACGAGTTATCCACACAGAAAATGCCAAGGCGGATGCAGCTGCTGCCTTGTATGGGTTTGGCAGTGTTTCTTTTCATTTTCCCCTTCCTTTGCTCCTCCTACCATAGTCCATGGTTGTCTTTGCATCTCCACTGTCACTCTTATCATTGGAGAACTTGCAGGAAAAATAAACCTAGGAGAACTTCCATCCATGTGTCGTAGCAGGTGATACATTTTTCTGAGATGCTCACCATCACACAACTTTCAACATGAGGTTCTTCTTGAGGTAGTCAATGTAGATGACAAGGCCCAAGTAGTTTTGCTAATTGTTCATTTCAATAACTGCAGTTCCTTGGGCACCGGCAGTGATATGAAGGTTGATCTTGCCATCATCACCTTCCCTACATAACTTGGCTCTTGAACTACATGGCAAATGATGCTCCCTCGATGCCCCCTCTAGATTGAGACAAACTCCCCAACAGCCATGCTAGAAGAAACTGCAAGAACTCCAGGTAGTCCTAAGAGAATCACAGATCTCCTTTTGCTGCACCTACACCAAGCTATGTGATGTAGTGAAAATTAACACAACATTCACTACCAGAGTGGCTGATTACAGATACTGATCTTGTTGAAATTGCTGTCTCTCTCTCTCTCGTTTTTTTTTTTATGTTTTGTGTGGTAGTATCAGACTATCAGTACAAGTTTCAGCTACTAGAAGAAACCATATTAGCTAGGCTAAATAAAAGTTCTGAGTGTGACTCTCAACTTGAGGCACACTCAAAGAGTGCAGGGAAGTCAAATTTTAAAGGACTCCAGTCCTACAGGATGAGGTTCCCAGGAAGCAGAGTTGCTTAGGAGAGACCATGTAAGAATACAAACAGGAATATTAGGTCTAAGACTAAGAGAGTACTTGTTGAGAACCCAATACCTGCATTTCTTTGTCCCTACTTATGCCCTAGAGTACCTGTCATGAATCTTTAGTCCCAAAGTTAACAAGAAAAGTAATATCTTAAACACATAGCGGACTTGATTCTATTTGGAACTTGATTCTTATACTACGCGTCTTTTCAGGATGGCCCTAATTTCTATCCAGCTAATACTCTTCTACACTAGACAGATGTTTACCTTGGTACGTAAAGAAACCTCTTGATGGAGTTTGCTACTTTGGAAGCTACAGACAGCCCAACTTTAAGCCTTTGTTTACAAGCATTCATATACTTTCATGTAAAATTAGACTGTCATGCAAAATTTTGCTAAAACAGGGAGAATGTGCTTATGCTCCTTATGTTGCTTAATGGCTAGTCTTAACAGCCTAATACCATTTCATCATGAGTTCTGGCATATGCAATTTCCCAAGTTAGGCCCAATTAATGGTAACTCTTGCATTATTTTACTTGTTTCACATGTCAACTTCCAACACCGAACACTAACACATTCGATTAATTAACATCCAATAAAAATTTCAGCAAGTTACCAAGAATGGGAATGATTTCCACCATAAAACCCTGAGCATGAAAAAAGAGATGTTCTTTAAAAGAATAATAAAATAAAGATAAATAAAACCTGAATGTGATAACAGTCAAACGCCTGCACATGCATTAAAGTATACTGAACATTTTCAAGTTACAAATAATTTACTAACATTCCCAAATTTCTTTTACAACTTCTTTGCAACAAAAATAGCCAAAAGATTACACTCTGTTTGAAAGATTTTCATAACATTATATATTTTTAGAACATTCAAACTTGATGACAACTACCAAAGTATCCAAAATTCGTTAATAGTTTTCATAAGCAAGACTTGCTTTGAATTAATCCCTATGACGTATATATAACCATCCATCTTTCATTGTATTCCTAGTTCTTTACCCTTTACATATCTAGATCCAATATTCCAACTTCGTCACAGAGCAAAACATCAAATTAAAATCATCTAGAAATTGGGTAACTCTACAATTGAAAAAAGAACATAGCACAAAAAAATAATAAGAATAAAAATTTTGCTGCAAAATTCAAGAAATGATCTTACCAAATCAGTCATCCACCAGCCTGAACATCAGATTCTAATCATCAAAAGTTGAATCACACCATATCTGGGCACAGAGGTAAATGTACTCAAACCAGAAGCCACACCTCCATAACAATTTGAATAGATCATAAAGCAATTTCTGCATTCAAGTGACACAGTGATCTGGTACAAAATTCTGCTCCATAATGTATCAGCAACAATTTATCAGGGATGTACCGTGGGATATCAAGATGATTCACTCTCATTATGAAACATAATAAGGCCTCCCTTCATGACCCAGCATTTGCACGACATCCACAAATTTTACATCAGTCAAAACGCTTTTATGTGGATTTAGTCCATTCATTATGGTCTCATAATATGTCCTAAACAAAAGTAGCTGTTGAGAGGAAAGGATCCCTTGACAAGTTAGCATTCCCCATTGTGCATTCACCACATGATTAACAGCGGATCCACATGGAAATCTCTAGGCTTGTACTTTTCTTCCAAAATCAGACAGGTATAGGTGTCAGTATTCCTGTCTCGTACAATAAGCTAATTTTGACTTTTTCTTTCCCTTGAGGAACCTAGTGTAGAATGTGCATATATGATGCTTTTCCCCGAAAGGCATTATATTTATTGACCATCATTCATCAACAAGGATGGCTTTAAGAGCTAATTCAGTCTGTAAATGCATCACAAGATTCGTATGGGTAAAATCCTCAAATCTTCTGCACTTCAACAGCTTTAAGGGCACTGCCGTGACAATCAGATGTTGTTGTAAAATAACTAAACTGAATTTCAGTGCAATGCACTCTGCTGAAGTGTAATAGGGTTGCAACATGTCTCCCCAGCCCCCATGGGAATGGTTAAATAACAGTCCTCAGATATAGCAGCAGTCTTAGAGGTTCCATACATTGATTCTGAATCTCAATCTGTTGGCTCCTCCTGTAAAAGCCACTAGGACCCAGTCAGGCAGGGGCCAAGGATAGAATTTATGAGTTTCTTCAGCTAGAGCAGGGGGGCTTTGGTGTCAAATGTCGAATCTTCAACATGCACTTATGCATGGCAACTACTACAATAGCCATAACACCTACACTAATGCTCACGTTTATTATTCCTTGTCATACAAGTGCCTGCTGAAGAGCTATGCTTTCAAGAATCATGTCATGCTGCCCCTTGAATTAAGCGTCTTCTCCTTAACCAACATATGTCCACCAGACCCATCACTATTGGCTTGTATACTCTTGTACAACACTGTTCTTTTCCAGTTTAGTCATGGGGTGAACTGATAAAATGCAGCCATATAATGGAATAATATGATCTCAAATACATTATCCGTTCATCTGATCTTCAGCACTGACAAACAATATACCACACCATCATATTATGGTTCCGCAACAGAAAGTTGATATATTGGACTTATTACCTGGGATTCTACCAATAGTCAACATTTCCAATTCCCTGTAAGTACGTCTTTGGCAAGTTTTCAGGCCAGTATGTTTATCCACATGCATAAGAGAATGCTCAGTAATTGTGCAATACAATTTGGGTCTCGAATGCACTATTGATTGAACTAATCTGAGCCTAAATATGGATATGGCATGAAAAGAATTGTTCTACTGCTCGAATCAAGTGTTAATTCATGTCTAGGTGATATGCACTTCACACTGTTGAGATCTGCATGGAACAATCTTTCTTATCTAAACAATGACTAGTATGACACATATACAATGCTCCGGGATAAACTCCACTTTTATTTGAATTTTTTCTTCTACTCTTTCACTTTTGATCTCCTTGCTTCGCTATTAGAATTCCTTCTTATCTACAATGAAATATATGATGCATACACAGTGTTATAGGATACCCTAAGCTCCACCTTCCCTCCCTTCATCGTTTGTGGAAAATCATTTCTACCTAAACAATGACATATAATATATACAATATAATCTTACCTCTCTCTGCCCCCCTTCCTCTCTATAATCACTGGTATCATATAGACACAATGCTTTAAATACACTACATTTAAGCAGGCAAAATGCTCCTGACTACCCTCCTCCAAGAAAATCCTTCTTTCTGAAAAACAACGATAGTTTTTTGCAATTATTAAACAATCAGTTGTATGACATACAATTTCTACGGTAAACTAGTTACAGCTGGATAATTCCACTTCCTCTTTTTTTCCCCATCCCCTCCCTCCCTCCTCTACTTACAAGAGTCTGTCAGTTAGTCTGCTGTTGTTCACATGAAACAAATATCAAAGGCAAAACATAATCAGTCATTGTACAATTGTTGCACAGAAAAGAGAAATAGGAAACAGTTGTGTCTGTCAAATAAACAAAACCATTACTATTGTGACAATCGTGAGATGCTCCCAGGTCAATCCAACTTGTGCAGTTCTGCCCTAATCTGTTTGCATATAAACATGGTTCAATGCATAATTAATAAGCTGAGAAACACAGGTGGTATATAGTCATTTCCAATGCAGTGTTTGTGCATCTTACAGAGCAGAACCAGATTTAACAGAAAAATTGGACACAAAGGAAACTTAAGATTAACTCAGGAAAAGGTTCATGTTCAATAACACTGATTATGGATTTGGCTTCACATATAGCCATCTCTCCTATCTTGTTCCTCAGCGTCCTTGTTAGCAGCTTCAACAGATTTGAACCACAGAAACGCCTGTATTCAGCATTCCAGTTAGCTGACGATACGTACAGGATGGCTTTAGTGTTATCAAGTACTATATTCCCATGGAAATGGGAATTTTAAATGAAAATAATCAATCTGCATTGTATAATGGACTCACACTTAGCCTGAGTTGAATTGAATCGTCTCATTCAAAATTTTAACCAATTTGTTTTTCACACTGTTAGTAACATACAATTGGACTCATGATTTATGGTTTCAGGACTATCATAGGGACACCATTTTTTTCATCAAAAACCCACATTTTTTTTCTACTCATCCAAGAACTTTTAAGCATGAAAATCTTAATAGATAAGAAAAAAGGTGTATCAGAAGCAACTTACAGAAGTAGGGATGCCTGTAAATGCAAAGAATCCTAGCAATGGAGCATAAAAGATGCTATCTGAATTCAAAACTCCGAAAACAGGCCGCTGATTCAAGTACTCAAATACAGAACCAATCTGCACCCATGATTTTTTATTGATATATAATTATATATATACACACATATAAACAAACACATACCCTTCAATCAATTATCAATACAACTTACGGCGGCGATTGCAGTAATGGCAGAGGCAAGTAAGTAAACGTAGAAGGGAATCTCAAAGCCCTGTTGCGAAGAATTCTGAGCACTGGCTTCGTCGCGAGCCCAAGGTGGGGGTTCGTCTGAGTCCGGACTCGCCCATGAAGGGATTGATTCTTCCTCGGACTTGCTCGACTTTTTTGCAGACCCTTCGGTAACTGCAAACACGGTTAATCTGCGGCGTGAATTGCTCTTCCTTTGATGATTTTTTGCAGTGACGAGTGATGGGTCAAGAGATTTCAAATGCCCAGAAGCTGGAAATGGTTTTGGGTGACATGGGTTGTGCGTTCTTGAACTGTGGACTGAGAAATTTGAAGTGCACAGAGACGATGAAGCCAATGTAACCATGTCTTTTATTATGCTATGGAGTGATTAGAAAGAGAGATTCAGAAACACATTCTCATCCAAGTTTCAACTATGAAGTACTGAGATGAAGGATTTTAAATAGTGGTGGATAAGTAGAGGAAATAAATGGATGGTATTCGGAAGAGAGCAGTAATCACTTCTATTGTTTGTTTTCAGCTACGAAGCACGGACACGAACACTAACACGGACACGAATATGGGACACGGGTACGACACGATACGGATACGGTGACACGGTAAATTTTAAAAAAATAAAACACGGACACAGCGAGAATACGCCTATAAAATTATATATATATATATATATATATATCACGGATACAGACACGGATACGGGATACGGGTGAAATTTATCGTGTCGCCGTATCCGTGTCGTGTCGTACCCGTGTCCCGTATTTGTGTCCGTGTCCATGCTTCATAGTATATATTCAAAATATAATTACTAGAATCTTGTACAGATAAATAAAACAATAACAAATAACAGAATCAATTTCAATAATTTTATATCTGTTATAAGAAAAATATAAACAAGACAAAACAGAAAATAAATGAAAAATAAAGTTGATCTAAATTCCAAACGAAGATGTGCAGAAGAGACATAGCTATAACGAACTAAATATATATATGAATAAACATATATACTTTCAGTCTTTCACAAAGTTTTGTTCATGTAACTTAAATATATATATATATATATATATCTTGTTCATGAAGAGAGATAATTGAAGAAGAGGAGAGACCGAGAGGAGTGAGAAAATAAATTTGGCCTCACAAAAGTATCGGACCGTGTGTCCGAGCCTCGGACACGCGTGTCCAATAAAAAATAATATTTGGACACTTTATAGAAGTGTCGGACACGTGTCCGAGGCTCGGACATGGGTGACACGGGTACGGGACCCCTAAGAGGAGTGTCCGTGCTTCATAGGTTTTCAGGAATAAGAAAGGAAACTTCTAACCCATAAAATATTTAAGAAAAAAAATAATAATATTAATAAATACCAAAGTAAGAAAGCTAAAAACTGATAATTCAGTTTTAGTTCAAAAAATAAATAAAAAACAAAACAGTTAAAATTGGAGTATTATTTTTAAAAAATAAAGGGTAAATTACAGCTGACGCCTCCACTCAGATTATAATAAGTTACACACGGTTAGACATTTATTAATTATTATAATTATTAATGATGATTTTCTATATAAAAATTAAAGATGGCCTCCCAATTTTCTTTAAAAAATTATTTATGGTTATCTTATGATTATTAAATGTGATTTGCAACTGAAATTATTTGTAATTCCAAATAAACCGTTTGCTTTAAAAAAATTAGTAAAAAAAATTGTTAATTATTATGGTAATCCTTGTTTCAACTCTTCGTATATACACACATATTATTTGTTATGAAAAAAAAAAAAAAAATTTGATACTTGACAACCTCAACGGTTTTTTGTTCTATTTTTCTTCTCAATTATTTATAGACATCCTCTTAACAATATAGGTTAAAAACTAACTTAAAAAAATTACAATTATTTTATTTTATTTTTAAATTTCAATTTTATATTTACTAATTTGCCACGCAAATAATTTTTTCTGGCTCCCCCTTGATTCTTGAACAAATTCCTTGATTCTCTTGGGTATGTCTCTCTCTCTGAGTGTAATTGAAGATAATTAAGAACACAGCAGCCTATCCATGATTGGGCAACCTAAACTTGGGCTTTTTAATCTTCCAGAACCCAGGCCCAAGATTATCTAGTAGGTGACTCAGAATAGTTCAATTGGAGAATCTGGGCCTGGGCTTGTCTCTTCCATCCATTCCAGTGTAGACCCAATTAATAATTTGACCAATAAACCCCATAGGCCCATTGCTTGAGCAACGATCAAACAAAGAGTGTGTGTGTTAATCAGGTTCAGATCGTGTTAAAAATAAAAAAAATTCAGGTTCAGCTCACAGTCCTAAAAAGAGGCTCTTATCATGTGTTTAATTAGATTCCTCACTTTTCTAATAAACCATTTTAAAAAAAAAATCAAATATTGGGGTCAAATGTCTTCTAGGGCTAGTGTTTTTGTCGAAAGTAGAAGATATGGTGATGATTGCAATTTAACCACCATATTTTTGTATGAATAATTGAGAATATATACTACTACTCCATCATTTAGATATCACAGTTCTACTGGCTCAGTAATCATCACCAGATATATTCATCACAATCATATTCATCATTGTAAATGTCACGATCTCTACCATCACCAATATATATATATATATATATATATATATATAAGTTTGATGAAGGTCACAGTAGGAAGCAATTAGAGCGGTGGTAAAGTTATATTTTTGCACCGAAAAGTAAGTTGCAGTAGTCAACTAACATACTTGATTCATCACACAGCACAACACACCACACCCCATCATTGCTTTCCCACAAAACTTACTTTAACTGCCTCATTGTGCCCTCCCCATTTTACTTACAACTTGCACCTCCTCCAAGTCTCTGTTGGACCATGAATTTTATTTATTTTTTAAATTTTTTTTTGGGTCTGGGTGATTCAGTGCTCACGTATAAATCATTTATGCAGTAATTTTAAATTGTTAATATACTATAACCTAACCATATTATGTGTTAATTTGTCCAAGTAGTTGAGTTGCTCTTCATATTTGAAAATCCAAATTCGAATCTTGATCCCTATCTTTTTCTACCTTATTGTAATACGATGTAATATATTATTAAATCATTGTTACATATGTGATATAGTGTACTATGAGTTAATAATGATTCGGAATGAGTGAGGAACAAAAGAGATCCCAATCCGTCTTTGCTCACTGAAATCCAACACTTTCTAGCCTACTAGTGTGTACAAACACAGTCACACACACTCACGCCACAGTCTTGGGATGTGGAGATCTCAGTGTATGCCATTTTGTTATTGGGTGGTGGTATGTAAAAGATATTCTTTTGTGTGTGTGTGCGCGTGCAATGTGTGCCTGAGAAAGGGAGGGTTAGCACGCACTTCGTGGAGAATGTTGAAGAGTGGTACTGATGTTATAGGCCCAAACCTTATCGCTTATGGCTATCGCTCACTCCAATAGAGAAACACAATACTATATTGATAAGTTGCTGTCACATGTTTAACCATATGATTAATGGAAGTGATTAGTGCACTAAGGTGTCTAACCAAAACTGTGGCACAAAAAATTCACGGCCCTCTTATGCCCTACAAAGGTACCCACGTGGGCGTCTCACTGCATCAAAGGGTCATGAATAATCGGAACAACCGTGTACCCTCATCTGCCCTTACAATCGTTTAAAAACATTGATCCTGTCTTTATCCAAAATTGCCTAAACGAGGGGTCTTCTCACCCCATCCCTGCCCCCATTTAACTTGCCCCACCCCGTTTAGTTCCAGAATTTCTCTTCCTTTTTAATTTTTTTCCTCAAATACAATTATATAATTATTGAAAATATTCATAAAAAATGGACAGTCAATAATTTAATATAAAATATAAGGGTGTGAGCGTTCTTAGTTTGTTAGTTTGTAGAACTGTGTCGCCCTCCAAAATTAGTGAGAAAGTGAGTGAATGTGATCTAGGGTTTCTATAGTTAACTATATACTAATAAAATAAGAATAATTTAATAATTTACCTACCTAAAAAGGCAAGGCAGGGCGGGGCGAGGTGGGATGAACTCTCCCGCTCCCGCCCCCACCATGAACTCATGCGAGTTTTCGTTAATAAAAATCATTCCATCCAAATAAGTTAAATGATATTCCAAAATCACTATAAACAGAGTGAGACGAGGCGGGAAGGATAATCGTCCCCGCAAGACAAATTACTATCCCATTATCATCCCTGGTTGTGAGTGTTTTAAACTTATATTTTCATTAGACACTTCAACAACAACATAACTTTATAATTAATTTCAGCGACGGACCCCATTGGAATTTCTTTTTATTTGTTTTTTTTATTCATAAATTTTGATAATTCTAAAAGTACCCTACTAAAATTTTAAAATATTAATAAAAGACCTTAAGAAAAACTTGTTTGTATATATAGATTCAGATTTGTTTCGTTCATGGTCTTTAAAAATTTGTCGTGTTTGTATATATAGTTTTCTTCTTGCTGTTGTTGCCCAATGGCCAGTAGTTGCCGCATTGTCCGTCTTTTGTTGGGACTTACTCACAGGGCGAGGAAAATGACTGGTGTACTTGTGTCCAAAGAAAGTAGGATCACACAACTTGACAAGCACAAAATTGGGCATTCCCACCGTCCACTCAGCTTTCTCAATAATTAAATACTCGTAATTCGTATGTGTGTGTGACTGTGTGTGAGACAAACAGAATCCTCTTTGATTCTAGAGTTGAACTTTGAGCATCCTTCTTCACTACAATTTAGAGCTTGATTAAGATGGCATTCCCGACTTCACTAATAATTTTAGGATTGATTGGGATTTTAATTTGATTTGATTTATTTCTTTATTGCTGTGGATGGATAATAAGGCTTTGTATAGAAGAATAACTCTTTTTAGAAGATCTGTCTTGTTGAAAAATTGACGATTAGATAAACTATATAGATAAGATTAGTATATGTGCACACGTGCATGCACACACACACACACATATATATGGGTTAAATGCAAAAAAATACTCCTACTATATACTTCGCGTAGCATTTTCACTCTTTATTTGAAAAAGTGTGCTAAAAATACATTATATATATATATATATATGTGGGTTAAATGCAAAAAATACCCCTAATATATACTTTGCGTAGCATTTTTACTCTCTATTTAAAAAAGTGTGCTAAAAATACATATATTCTTTTAAAATTATATGCAAAAAATACCCCTAATGTATACTTTGCGTAACATTTTCACTCCCTATTTGAGAAAGTATGCTAAAAATACGTATATTTTTATAAAATTGTGTGGAAACACCCCTAAATCATTAATCTAACATAAAGTAATATTGTAATACCTGTTTTGTCCATTTACTCTTCCAAAAATGTCTAAGGGGTGTGTATGCTAATAATCTCATTGTATAGAGGTGTTACGTGCACATTAACTACATTTAACTCACTTTTAAGAATTTTCTCTCATGAAAAAAAATTTATCTCTATATATTTCAGCTATCATTGTAATCTCTCTTAAAATAAATAAATAAATAAATAAATTGCTATCACAATTGTCATAGTGTACTACTATCATATGGAGTGAAAACTTCTTCTTTTCTAATTATAAAAAAGAAAAAAAAATTCCCAATTAAATTTTAATATAGTGATCAGTTTTCATTAAATATATAATTAAAAATTAAATTAAAGATACTTATTCATTATATATAAACAATATGCATTTAATTTTTTAAATATTAGAATTTGCAATAAATTTTTACAAATATTTATATATATCATCATACTATTCAAATCGCGATAAAACTATATTTTCAATTAAATCTAACCGTTAAGGTCAAAATATTAAAAAATAATAGTTTATAAAGTGAATAAAACACCTTTATAATATGCTTACAGTGCATATCACATTGCTCATGTACTAAATGACCATTTTCGTCATTTCATAAAATGGTGCATTTTTAAAGATATGTAAAATGTGTATATAATGGCAATTTAGTCAAATTGTTACTTAAATGTGTTAGGAGAGACCTATTCGCACCAATTTGAAACTGTAGGTGTGTTTTTTGCATACGAAGAGTGTAATGTACACTATAAGCATAGTATATATAAAGTATAAACTAAGCTACATGTAAGGCTCCAAGCGATCCGAACTGATTTTTAACTTGTTTAGGCTCTCATTCGTTTATAGGCTCAAATTGGACTCGGCTCGGGATGGTGACCGTTTCAAAAAATTGAGCTCATTCTCGGGCTCGTTATTATTTAAAAAAAGTTTGAACTCGGCTTGTTTAAGAAAATAAATTGAACTTATGTTCAAAATTGGTTCAAGCTTGTTTTTAAACTCGTCAGGCTTGTTTAAAAAATTATTATATTTTTATTTTATACTTTCAGATATTAAAAAATTACAATAAAAGATAAAAACAAATATAGACGAGCAATTTTAGAGACATAATTATATAAAACAAGTCTAAGGTTGATGAACAAATGTGAGCCCTAAACGATCCTATGTTTATAAACACAAACAAGCCTACAAGAGTAAATGAGCTGATCTTGAATAGTGCTGGGCTTACGAATTGAGCCCAACACTATTTGAGATTTGCTTATTTACTAGATAAGCTTAGATATTGAGCACAACACTATTCGAGATTAACTTATTTACTAAATAAGCCTAGGTATCGAACTCGACCTCAACTTGCTTTCTTAACAAACAAACTCAACTTGTTCATGACAGCTTAGTTCATTTAGAATCCTAACTATATCATTGGAATCGAAGACGACTTAGTGGCATTTTATAGATTTTATATATATTTGTTTGGTAAGAATTCATACTCATGTTTTTATAAAGACTCGAACCCACTTTTTTTTGGAGAAATTATCTCAGAAATTTGTACTTTTTTAATCACAAGCATGGTCAAATCTAAGGTATTTCCTACTAAATTCCATAAGTTGCGTGTCCTGTTCGCAACTTTTTTTCACAAATAATTTAATTTGTCACATTAGTACTTTAAGGACAATGCATTTGATCTTACTAGACTTTTTTACAAAAGAAAGCCACTTGAAGTTGCTTAGAAACTTCAATTAACCTCATTGTACAATTTACACGGGTAATTGTGCAATTATCAGCCATAAGTGACTCATAACGCATTATTAACAGCTTAAGCCACCAAATTTCACAATCAAGATGAAAATGATACCTAATGATAATGATATGACAGGCAATAATGACAATAAGTTAACCCTAAATCATAACTATTATTTTAGTCACACCCCTCACTAGACAAGACATTATTTTTCATTAAGGTGCTAACCGACATTCTTGCAAGCACAAATTCATAATTGTAGAAACTTTTGATTCTCAGTGTAGGAATATCAACCATACGTGTTTGGACACTCACACCGGATATTTGAGGTAAATTATTTAATTAAATAATTTTTAATTAATTATTTAAATCAAATATAATTAAATAGAATGTTTTATTTCTTTATTTATTATACAATTGACCAATTAAAAGAGTAAGTCTAACAATTCACTATAACTATTCGGTGCAGAAATTATTTCCCTTTTCTAAATCCATCCCATTAATAAAAAAATTTGATTCAAAACACCTTACATCAAAGTCTAAATTAGTTTGGGACTCTCCGATATACATATATTTTTTAAAAAATTAATTCAAACTTAAATAATTTAAGTTAAAATTTATAAAATTTTTGTAGTATTGTAGTACTTTAAGGAATGTAGTTGATCTTGCTTAGAAACTTCAATTTGGTTATGTTGAAATTTCTGTTACAATTGAATTTGTAAATGAAGTGGTTAAATTTAAATTGCAGGATTGAAAGACTATGGAAATTCAAGAGAGGGATATATCTAATGATGATGATGTAATAGGGTAAATAATAACAATAAAAAGTAATCCTAAATCATAAGTAATGTTACTAGACAAGACAATTATACTCGTTAGGGTGTCAACCGCTTTCTTGCAAGCATAAAATCATAATTGTAGGAAACTTTCGGTTCTTATGCAATGCCCTCCTATGCATTGTTTACATTGCATAATTATTGAGAATCAACACGACGTCATTTGACACTTACAACCCATGATACTTCAAGGATTGTGACCCACTCTGCTTGGATGATGAAAGAATATGACACCTTTTATTTCAAGAATATAACAGTTACTACTTTAAAGTACTAGCAGTGTGTCACATTCTCAAAGCAATGAATGTTGCGTCTGCAAAATGACCCATACACACTAAAATATGAAAGAGAGAGATATGTATACTAGGTTTGTAACTTTCAAAAGAAATATTTTTGTAGCTGAATTTTTAAAAAATTATATCAAGTAAATCTTTGTATAATATTCTGATCTTGAATTCTCTAAAAACAATTTTTTATTTACAGAGTTACAAATCAAATATACCAATGCCCCTCGAAAGCTTGACCGAGTTGATAAGGTAATGACACGAGAACGTTCATATTTTAGGTTCGAATTCATCTATTGTCATTGTTACTGAAGTGTGGGGCCATTGATAGCATCCTCAGTGTATAGCCTGGGGTGGGTTCCAAAGTGGCCCTGCCCAGATAAGTTTCGGTGTCAACTAAAAAAAAAAATACCAATAATACTAATTTTAATTTTTTTTTTTTTTTTCCCTCTCTCATAGGCTTGTTCAGAATCAGAGCTAACTTTATCATGGATTCATGTCAAGGCAACGTATATGGATCATAACTAATTTCAAACTAGCAAGGTTGTGGTCCAACATAAAACGGAGTAGTATAATAGGAAGGGGAAAAAAAATGAAACTACTCAAATAAAAACGGGTGCTAACAAGAAACATGATTAATAAATAAATTTACATGGATTGTTCCTGGATGGCTTTCTTATTTTTAATAAATATTTTGATTTTAGTAGTACCGTCCAAGATTTGATGTGGTACAGACTAGAGAAGACAAGTAAAGTCTAATCATGGGACTATTACATTTTTTAAATATTTTTCATTAATTAATATTCAAATGAAAACGGGAATATTTATTAACGGTCTCCTGAATTGCTGGGTTGAGTGGGAGGACTCGTGGTTGGATTGGGTTGGGATGGGCTGCAATTCCAATAATATTCCAAAAAAGTGAAACCAACCCACCACCAATCACACACATCCTCTATTCATCTCCCCACTCTTCACGTTTTTTTGCTTCGATTGGCGTTTTGTGTTACTGTACTATCATCATCTTTTCTACACTACACAAAAATCTTCAAATACATATATACATATAGGCACACACACACACACACACAACTTTTCCTAAAATCTGTACACACACACACACACACACACCCAACTTTTCCTAAAATCGGTTACTTTCTCCGTCTCTATATATAACCTCATCTTCTTCCTCCCCTGTTCCTCTGTTTATACTTGAAATTCTTTTCACCCTTCTGAGACCAAGAAATGGGTCCAGTGCGTAATAGTACTAATACTAACAGTATTGTTTGTTTGCTTCTTTGTCTTACTCTTGCTGAGATTGGCGTCTGTGTTTCTGCCAAGGTGAATATATATATGTATTTCAGTGAAATCAATAATATTTTTGAGGTTTTTTGAATTTTCATCTCTAAAATTGTTAGTGAGTGGGGTTTTTTTTTATGCAGGTGTATGTGGTGTATATGGGTAGCAAAGGGATTGGTGATGACCCAGATGAGATTTTGAGGCAAAACCACCAAATGCTGACTTCTATTCACGAAGGAAGGTCAAACCCAATTTTTCTATTTTTGAACTATGGATAGACCCAATTTTGTTTCCACATTTTTTTTCTCTCTCTTTTTCTCTTTTGTCTTGTTTCCTTTTCTGGGACTAGTTGGTTGGTTGTGTTGATTGGGTTGCTTTATTGATGATTTGTTGGCACAGTGATGAACTAGCCAAAGCATCTCATGTGTATAGTTATAGACATGGTTTCAGAGGCTTTGCAGCCAAGTTGACAGACCATCAAGCTTCAGAAGTAGCCAGTGAGTCTGTCCTTATTTTTTTCTTATTGTTCATTGAATAGTACACTTTGTGATCACTGGATTGATGAATTTTTGTCCCCTTGAAATTTTGATTGTTCATTTAATAGCACACTTTGTGATTTTGTGATCATTTGATTGATAAATTTATTTCCCCTTGAAATTTTGATTACTGTTACTGTTAAAAATTGGAGCAGAGATGCCGGGAGTGGTGTCGGTGTTTCCGAATACCCGGAGGCGGCTCCACACAACCCATTCTTGGGATTTCATGGGCCTTGTGGGTGAAGAAACCATGGAAATCCCAGGGTATTCCACCAAGAACCAAGTTAATGTTATTATTGGTTTCATTGATACAGGTGTGTTCTTCTTCCTATTTATTATTCCTTTTTTGTTTTTTTCTTTTTGTTTTTTTCTTTTTTTTTAACTTATCTATTGAGAATTATTGATTCATTTCTTGGATCCAATATATACACATGAAGGTTGGTCCCTTCATTTATTAGTTTGATATGCAGTGAGGGATTCCCTTTTTTCCTAGGAGTAACTGTAAAATACTGTAGTAGTCATTTTTTGCTCACTTGTTGTCACTGAATGCATAATTGTTGGAGACAGAGAAGGGGGTACAAAAGTTTGTCTACATTCTGTTTGTTTTAAAGTCTTTCTTCGCCATCAATGTAATTATAAAATCATGATAAACCTCCTTTATTTGTTTTGGAAATTAACTGTTTGTTTATCTCATAATTATGCATTCTTCATTTTGGCTTCTCTGTTTCTTTCAATCATCTCTCCTGCCACTGTTAAACATCATTTTTAGGAGAGTTCAAAAAAGGGGAAAAAAATATGAAAGAACCAGAACCAGAACCGGTTGCTTGGTCCACCAATGCAGGGTGCTGGGAGGGTTATTCCTTAAAAAGTTACTGCTCTTATTTCAATATTTCTTCAATCTTCACGCTTAGAGAACAGACAAATACTTGCTCTCTATTATTATCACATAAGCGCCCCTGAATATTGAAGCTCCCCAGACCCCACAGTGGCAGGAGCCTCGAGCACTGGGCTAGCCCTTTTTATATATTGAACTACAAACATGTCGCAAATAAAGAAGAATAAACTGGAATTAATGTTAAATGCTGTATGCAGGAATTTGGCCTGAATCCCCAAGTTTTACGGACAGGGGTATGCCTCGTGTGCCGGCTAGATGGAAAGGGCAATGCCAATCAGGTGACGCATTCAATGCTTCATCTTGCAACAGGTTGTCATCATAATTACACGAAAACTATCTAATTCATTTCATTTCTTGGAGAATCATCCATTGACAAATCCTCAGTCTTAGTGGTAAAAGTTGTCTTGATGTAGGAAAGTAATAGGGGCTAGATATTATCTAAGTGGCTATGAAGCTGAAGAAGATCCAGTAAACATAGTATTCAGATCCCCGAGGGATAGTTCTGGTCATGGCAGCCACACAGCATCAACAGCTGCAGGTCGCTATGTGACAAACATGAATTATAAAGGAGTGGCAGCAGGAGGAGCTAGAGGAGGTGCACCAATGGCCAGGATTGCAGTATACAAGACGTGTTGGGACTCTGGTTGCTATGATGTTGACTTATTGGCCGCCTTTGATGATGCAATTAGAGACGGGGTTCATATCTTGTCTCTGTCTCTGGGACCTGATGCTCCTCAGGGCGATTATTTCAATGATGCTATTTCTGTTGGGTCATATCATGCTGCTAGCCATGGAATAGCAGTAGTTGCATCGGTTGGAAATGAAGGCAGGCAGGGGTCTGCAACAAATCTTGCTCCGTGGATGATCACTGTCGCTGCTAGTTCAACTGATAGGGATTTTACATCAAACATCGTACTGGGAAATGGCAGCAACTTCACGGTACTTCTGCTTACTCCTTAATATGTTTAAAGATTCATACAATGTTTTCAGACCCTTATGAGTTCTTAATCACTGATTAGGGTGAAAGTCTTAGTCTATTTGAAATGAATGCGCCAACAAGGATTATTCCTGCTTCTGAAACCTATGCAGGGTACTTCACTCCTTACCAATCCAGGTGAAGCAAAAGGTACTTGGCTGTGAGTACAACATACATATTTATGCATTAAGGGTAACCTTAAGATATTTTCCTCTCTCTTGCTTGTCCCTCTAGTTATTGTTTAGAGAGTTCTTTGAATAGCACCAAGGCCAGAGGGAAGGTTCTTGTATGCCAACATGCTGAGAGTTCAGCAGAGTCAAAGCTGGCGAAAAGCATGATAGTTAAACAAGCTGGTGGAGTTGGGATGATTCTTGTAGATGAAGCAGATAAGGATGTTGCTATTCCCTTTGTCATCCCAGCAGCTATTGTTGGAAAGCTGACAGGGAATAGGATCCTATCTTATATTAATCATACGCGGTCAGTTTTCTACTATACAATAACACATAATCGATCTTCATAGTTTTCCTCTTTTCAAATTTCTCTCCCCCTATTTTGAATTACTTGTCACATGAACAGCAAGCCGATGTCTAGGATTTTTTCTGCAAAGACTGTATTGGGATCCCAACCTGCTCCTCGGGTAGCATCTTTTTCTTCAAGGGGTCCTAATGCCTTGACCCCGGAAATTTTGAAGGTAAATTTTGTACTAGATTAATGTATTTTCTTGGGCATGTTCTTACACAATTATTTTCATTTCTCAGCATGCTTTGTTTCTAATTAACCTTCCTTTTAGCCTGATGTCGCAGCTCCTGGATTGAATATTCTCGCAGCATGGTCTCCAGCAAATAAACAAATGCAATTTAACATTCTCTCTGGAACTTCCATGGCCTGCCCACATGTAACAGGAATTGTGGCCTTGATCAAAGCTGTGCAACCATCATGGTCTCCATCTGCAGTCAAATCCGCGATCATGACTACTGGTAAAGTTTCCAAATTTTTGAACAAGCTGACTGTTCTAATAGATATTTTATAACTTAATAAGGTTGAGTTCCCCTTTCTATTTGAAAATTCAATTAGATCTTTTACTCTCAAGTTAGAAAAGTTTCTGCTGTTTATCAGCCAGTGAGAACCTGAAATGCTTTTCTTCTCGATGGGGATCAAGTTGAGCTCAAAGTCCATGAGGCTCAGATAACTCAACCTATGTTTTTAAGTCCATGACTATTAATCTTAGAGTTTGATTCTTGTTATGATTTGGGTAGTTCTTTTATAGTTTATGATTGTACGCTATCTGTTAAGAATCTGAGACTACAAAGGAAAATGCAGCTACAATTTTGGATAAGAGTCACAAACCTATCACGGCTGACCCCGAAGGAAGAAGAGGGAATGCTTTTGACTATGGCGCTGGCTTTGTCAACCCGAGAGAAGTCCTTGACCCCGGTCTCATCTATGATGCAAAGCCATCAGATTATAAGGCATTCCTTTGTTCAATTGGTTATAGTGAGAAGTCACTGCATCTGATTACCAGAGACAACAGTACTTGTGATCAAACATTAGCAACACCATCTGGCCTTAATTATCCATCCATCACAGTGCCCAGCCTCAAGGACAAATTCTCAGTGATCCGAACCGTGACCAATGTTGGGAACCCAAGAAGTATTTACAGAGCAACAGTGTCTGCTCCAAGGGGAATCAACGTCACTGTGGTGCCCCCGCAATTAATCTTCAATGGCTATGCTCAGAAGATCAAATTTACTGTGAATTTCGAGGCGGCTAACCCATCGGAGGGCTATGCATTCGGGTTCTTGTCGTGGAGGAGCAGAAAAACACGGGTGACCATTCCCCTCATTGTCCGGGTCACACCTTCCAAGTTGGGGCTACTGAGATAACAGACTGAAACTGGAGAAGCAAGCTTTTAGGAGTTTCCAATGCTTATATATACTACAAGCATAGAAAATGAAATGGCAATGAAGAAATTGAAAATGAAGATCAATATTCACATCTATCCTAGTTTATAGGCTTTTTCTTGTTGGAGCTGGAAAGCAATGAAATCACTTCTTAAATTTTGTTAAAGAAACCAACATACTACCTGTGAATATAAATTCAAGATTTGTTTTTCCGTACTTATTGTGGTTGCTTTGATGTCTTTGCTGCCTTTTTTTTTTATTTTTTTATTTTTTTTATGAGAGAATGCAGATGATTAGAACTTGAAGGCTGTTCCTCCAAGTTAAACTTTCTCTTGTACAATCACCATATCAGTAAATCATCATCATCATTTTTAATCATAGCTTTTCCATGAAAAATAAAACACACACTCCAATTATCATGTCAATAGAGCATGAACATACAACAGATGAAACAATGAGTGGACAATTTTCTTGGTTGTAGTACATAGAAACACTTTCTCAAATCATTAAATGTAGACAATTTGTCCATTTTGTTCCATTTTTCTTGATTGGCAAGCAGGAATGAAGGTGAAAACCATGTCCCAAACATGTAGTTTTATCACTTCAAAAGATTGAACGTTTTTTTTTTCAATGCCATGTATAGATAAAAATGGGATAACTACAACTTTTTCTATGCAAATTACAACACATGGGAACCAAAAATGCATAAATACTTCTTGATTATGCACAAGATGCTGATATAAATTGTTCAACTGTAGAATACAAAACTAAGGCATTTACTTCTCACAACAGTGCTATTAAACATGAATAGAAAATCCCCATGTATTCATATCAATATATGAAGTACTTCAATCAATTAAACACATACTGAATTCAACAATTGCAGCTATGGTAAACGAGAGCCCAGGGTATGAGACTCTGAAGGATCAATCAAACCTTCTAAAACAACAAGCTCATCCAAAAGTGCAAGTTTCTCCTCTTCAAGGCTCTTCACCTCTCCTTCAACTTCTGTCAACTCCCTACCTAACCCAAAGCTTTCCTCCTCCAGCAGTAAATACTTTCTTCTCAATGTTCGATAATCGTTTCCAGATGCTGACGAGTCGAGCAACGAATCTGAGGTAGATTTCTCTGGTTGTTGGAACAATGGAGAAACTTCATTCTTCAAGCCTCTCTTGGAGGACTTCAGCCTTATTTGTGTCGGCAGGGGCTGCATTAATTCTTGTACTCCTTTCACACTGTCCACCTGCATTTTAGCCATCGAAGCCTTCTGAATTGAGGTTTTCTTCTTACGTGGCTTAAGATTTGAGGCCTCCTCAGGTGGCAGCTTCCTTGGTTCTTGCATTGCGCAAAGGTTAATGGGTAGCACTACACAAAAAAGAATTGGGTATAAGAGGACAAATTGAAGAAAACATCAAGGATCGTTGCTAATGTGAAGTGTTTGAGCAAGTGAAGTAGAAGATGCTTCTTCTGATCACACACTTTGGTGCATAAAACATAAATATAGTTTTGAACCAGATATTGAACAGATGGAAACTACATGTAGCTCGTGAAGAATATCTTTGATATTCATTCCGGAGGTTACTATTTGACCAATTGTACATATAGCAATAAAATTTGATTTCACAAGTCCTCGTGGAAATAGAGTACAAAGTGACATGGATGAAATGCCCAACGTGTGGTTTAGCATGATATTCTTTACATCCCTTGAGAAAAATAATATGTAGGATTCATATTATGTCTGGACTACATTGGAACACATATCCTCTCCATGCATGTTATGTGTTTAATGCCTCCTATATTGCTACTTTATTAGATACCCAAAAATACTATGCAGGATTCATATTGTCCCTAAATTACATTGGACCACTTATCCTCTCCATGCATGTCATGTACCTCAGGCCTCCCATATGGCATCTTTATCAGAACAAATACCCTCATACCACTATATTCCCATGTTTTTTCATAGATTAACTTTAACTGAGGTATGCCAATAAATGGCCACTAGGTCCATCAATGTAAAATTCAGGGTGCCTGACACAGCTCGAGAGGCAAAGATTAACATGACCTTACTGACATATAATCTGACACAGAATTTCTTCAAAGCTACAAGTACAATAGCACCATGGTAACTTGATCCATTGTGGATGTGAGTGTGACAGAGAAGGGGAAGGTAAGAAGGGGGCAGAATCCATCCGTAAATACTATCTGGGAGTACTTGGCTAAGTTTTGTCAAAAAAGCAAATATTTCTTTGTCAATATAACAAACACTTCGAGTACTGATCTATAAAATTAAATCAAGAACTTTAAGTCCATCAACGTCTGCTCCACAAAATTAGTCTACTCTCTTGTGGTACTCTAACAAATTTGTTCATTTGAAGTACACATACCCCATAATGCAGTAAACCAAGAAGCATCAATAAATACGATGACCAGAACAAATTTTTGATTCATAATTTGAAGTCTTCTACATTTTGATTCTTGTTTTAGTTTATACATGCATTTTATTTTTTTCCCCTACGTTTTACATGCATTTGATTGTAAATAGGAAATTACTAGTCTAGCTTGGGGTAGAAGATTTACTAGGGATTACCTACATACCTGAAAACCATTGAAGGTTTTTGTAAAGAAAAAAAGAAAAATGTTTGGCAGAAATCGATACCAATAAGGGACCTTGAGTATCTGGGTTAAGATTGCCACTATGAATGTAGCTGAACTTTAATTGGACATATATTTGCAGTATAGAGAGGCTTTGTCTCCTTTTTTACTGCCAGTTTTCTGTTAGTCCCCCCAACCCCCTCCTCTTCTTCCCCCAAAGAAAAAAAAAAAAACCCAAAACAAAACAGAAAAACAATAAACAAACCTATGGGTTTGACCAGCCCCATCACATGGATTTAATTTTGTGTTCAGCCTCAGGAGCACGAGTAACCTAATCATACAAGAACTTCCACGAGGCTTGTGACGAGGATAAAATTGTCTATACCCGATGTTCCATTAGAGGACAAAATGAATCAAGGTGGATTGTCACTCATTGGGCCTTCGTGACGACAGTAAAATTGTTAACCTCCTTGTTATGTCTGAAGATCAATTAGTTCTTGGCTAAAAAGCCGGAAAGAGAAATGTATTGGATTTATATAACATGCTGCATGTGTGTGTGTGTGTGTGTGTGTCTACTATATGATCCAACATGAGGAAGTGTTATCAAGGCTTAGCCCATGTGGTATCTCCTCATTCTAATTGAAAGATTCGAGTCCCCAATGGAACAAATGAGTGTGCATGCGTGTGTGACTTACAAAAAAAAAATAAAAAGAAAAACATGAGCAAGTATATGAAACATGAGTGTCATATAAAATTGAGGACAGAATGGTCATTTTAGTTTTCCTTCATATCATTATATTAACCGAACTTAGAAAGGGCCAGCTCTCCTGTTCTCTCCTTTTTTTACTCTCTCAGCCGCTTTGTTCATTTCTCAAGCTTTGTGACAGTAACCAAAGCATGGTTGTTAAATATCAGCAAATACTAAGATGGATTGCCCCAAAACAAATCAGTATGGGCATGGCCTATACCCAAGCTTACAATTACTGTCAAGCAAGTTCTCGACTTCTCAAGTATAAGTCAAAAACTTCACAACTTGAAAATGTAACGCCACTAACAATACCTACTGGTTAATAAATAATTAATACATTCAATGAATGAACACAATAGCATAAATAGAAAAATGAAAACAACTGAGTATCTTTGATTAAACTGATATTTTCTTATTCAACTCTCCCTCACATTACAACTTTGCTCAAGTTCAATGAATTGATAAATAATCTTTTGACAGAAACTGTAAAAGCAAGCTACCATATAAAAGTAGATGTTAACAATAAAGGGTATTATCAATTATTAATTGATCTAAATCTCACATAAAACTATCATACACCAACACTGGAGCATCTGCAATAGGATTTTCAAAAGATTTTAATTAATATTTTTAATTATTGTAATTGATTATCATAACATAATAGTCATCATCAACTTGCATTGCCAGTATTGAGTAATATCACTAATACCTAGTTGTACCACAGTCCATAAATACTATGAGTGATACCAAGAACTAAAGTTTTGAAACTAACCTTCCTCTGAAATATTGATAAGAAGTAAACAATGAACTTAATATCCAAGCTATGATATTCAAACAATTCTCAGACAATCACCATGTCAAACATAATTATTTTCCTGACAAATAACAAATACCCACTTTGTCCCATTCGGAGAGTAGAGAAAATACCACTGGCCTACAATTGTTGGTACCATGTCAAACTCTAGGTTGAAGTGATCATTGTGTCATCTATTTTATCACATTATTATTTTCACCATTGTTTAATTCTGCATTAGTTCACCTGGATAAATACATAGCCCCTTACTATATCTGGAGTTTGAGAAGTTCCTTTGTCCTGTCTATCAGTGTTGAAACATTTCACTGATGTCATCCAATATTGAACACTATATATATATATATATATATATAGTGAACAAGACAATGCTATGAAACAACTGTATATCCCCAATAACACACAAGCGATTTACCCAAAAACAAACATAAGAAAGGCGGCAATTCAGTGCAGAGTTCTAAAAATTCCAGAACTGAAATTTAATGAACATTAAACAATTACTGAACTACATTTACAGCACAAGTAAGACAGACAATTGGACGCACATAATGAATTATCACGGAATTCACAAAGAAAAATGCCAAAATTAATCACTTAAACAAACTAAATGCTTCACTTGAAAGCACTGAATAAATAGTTAGAAATCACCAATGCAAAATTAATAGCTGGAGAAAAGCATTCATGTATGCTATTGGGAAGCATACAAAAAAGTAAATGAATAAACAAAAAACAATTAAAGGTTAACTAAATCTAAGTACCCAGAATAAAAAATAAAATATAATAAAATAAAATTGTGAAGAAAAGAGGGAAAATTGTGAAGAACAATTGTTGATCGAAACTGAATCCCCAACAGAAATCTAATTCTAAACAACAAAAGGATACCAAAGAACAACGAAAAGGTTGCCAAAAACTAAACAAATTCACAAGAAAAATAGCGAACCGAATTAGCCCTAGAAGAACAAGAAATAATACCTAAAAACTGTCCGTACGAGTTTGGTGAACGACGATGCGAATGACTTTGTCAGTTACGAACACCAAAAAGAGGGGCTAGGGTTCTTCCGCTACAACGCTATGACACTCTCACCGCACCCAAATTCCCTGGCCGCCTTGTTGGAGTTTGTTGCGTGTATATATTCTTTCCTGTATTTACACATATATACTTTGTCTGTTTGTACTTTTTTTTTCTCTTCTTTTTTTCCTGTATTTATGTGTGTGGATAACGAAAGAACAGCTGCAATGAGGCACTACAAACCTTCACCTCCAAGAGGTTCCTTTGCTGCTTCAAATATTACTTTGAGGAACCGTTAACAAAGTCAAAATGCAAACGTATTTGTTTTATCTTTTTACAGTGGTAAAATCACATTCAATTTTGTTAATCATGGTATATAATTTAACCCGCCCATTGGGATGGGATAGATGGCAAAAGTTACTCGTCCTGTTAGGCATTCGCCTAACAGGTTTATAAAAGTTATTTTGGGATAGGATGAAGATTAGGAACGAAAATAAGAAAATTCGCATGATGATGGACTAGGAATGGAAAAAAGTTTAATTTGCCCCGCCTTATTTATAGTGAAAGAAAATTCGCATGATGATGGACTAGGAATGGAAAAAAGTTTAATTTGCCCCGCCTTATTTATAGTGAAAATTTATAATTATATCTTTATAAAAATATATTCAATAACATGCGATTGACCTTCAACGTCCCAACTCACCCTATTGTCATCCTTACTCTCATCCTTATTGGGAAAAGTTTGAAATTAGAACAGGTTTGAAATCATCTTAATAGGGTTATCGTCAAGTTTGGGAAGATAGCTTAAAACCAATAAAGTTATGAAACCGCCCTCGATTAATAATTAATATTACATTGGAGAAGTTGTTGAGACTTATATATTTGGACACTTCTTAATTATGTAGAAGCATTTGGAGGAAAACTGTGAGCAAAGTCTCTGAAGTGGACAATATCCACGTGGTGTGGGCAAGTTGTGAAAAATGGTATAAGAGCCAATGGGGGCTTTTATAAGCCTATGCAAGTAATCTAGCGAGAACGCTTAGGCTTAAGAGGGAGTAATTGTGACGTTCCACATTACTTAAGAAAAAATTATGAACACTAAGAGAAGAGTGTGCAAAATATTCTTTTATTAGCTATAATTTTCTTTTCTTATAATAATTTAAAATTTTAACAATATTTTTGTTATTATAATTGTTAGATATTTAACTATGCCAAAAAAATTACATAATCGTAAATTTGTTCAAGTATGAATAATTTTGCTTGAGACACGTCTATCGGGCACCCCAAATATGCCCCAACTCTCATGCGAGATGCCTTAAAGTGGGTTTTGAAAAGAAAAATAAAATAAAAAAATCATTGATAAAACAAATTTGAAAAAAATTGTCCCGGACCCTACCCGACCCCCATTGACATCTCTATACTAAGTGAGGTGAATTTTTTTTTTTTTTTTTTTTATTATTATTATTTTTTTTTTGGCAATGATAACAAATGTTAGGATTAACACTATTTTTTTATTATTATTTTTCACACTATGCATGTGAATCCAATAATATGTACGGGTCATTCATCACACTTTAGTCTAAATTTAACGGTACAAAATATTACTTCTTCTATCTCAAAAAGGATGTCATGTTTGAAAAACCGTAATTCACAATTATGAATCTTCAAAAAGGACATCTTTTGTGAGACGGATATAGTAATAGTTACATTCTTATATAGCATACCTACTTGAGTGATGTAAGTTGCAAACCTAGTAATAAACTCATCTCCATGATGCTTATGAAACGTCTTTACTCGCCCACTCTATGCCCCTTGTACATTTACTTTCTAACTGCGTCTTGGTAAATTGCTCTTTACTTTCATTTGCAAACATTTCATGTCTAAACCAGCCAGAGGAGGGCTCCAAGAAGAAACACGATTCCACCCAAATTTGACCTTGATTCCATGCTAACTTTACGGCAAATTCCAATCTACAAACTAATAAAACAGCAACAAACCTGATTGACTTGTACGAGTACCAAGAGAAAATGCTTCTATACTTTCAAAACATTAAGTATAGTTGGAAGAAAAAAAAAAAAAAAAAAAAAAAAAAATTATCATTTCGCATTCATGAATGTGGATTCAATTATATATGGTAAGCAAAATATACATGCATTTATATACAAACACTAGCTTGAAGCCTTCCGAGCATAGGATAGCTATCCCCTCCCAAAAATTCTGAGATTGCAGAAAATGGACCTCAGTATAATCAAAATCAACCAGGTAGTTGATATGCCTACATAACTACAAGCAATGTGGATGTTGTCAAAGCCCTCAATGCATCAGCTCAAATAATTGCTATCTTAAGTAGAACATTATACTTTACATGGAATGACGACCATCCGTCTTATCTCTCACTGGCCTTTCTTCTTGGATTTCATCCAAATCTTCATCATCCCCTTTCCTACCTGCTTGCTCCTTCCAATATGCAACCAACTTCTTCAAACGAGCCACTTCCTTTGACGAAACATTTTTGCTTGGATCATTTACAATTGATCGAACTCTTGAAGCATACCTAAATTACATAAACACCAATTCAATTAATGACATTTTCCCATCAAACAAATGATAAAATTATGTTCACTCAAACGAGGTGAAACTTACAACCGGAGGCCAATAACTAATAAATCACCCAAAAAAACACAGAACAAGTGCATAACAAATTGCATGCAAAATGTCAAACCATTTACAACTAGCATATTTTCTAGGAGTTTCAACTTTGACCTATTCAACTGGTCATCACCCTACTTAGAGAAAAATTATATAGTTTTAACATAAATAATTATAAATAAATAAAAAAAGGCCTGGACAATAAAGATATAAGAGCATACGTTAGAGAATTGTAAGTCTCGTCCAAGTTTGATTCAGCAGGAGAAATGTTCACAAACATCAGTGTTTTAGCGTTACCCCCAAGTGAATCACTCATTAGCATTGTCAATTTATGATTCCTGTAGGGTATGTGCTGACTGCCAGTAGACAAAGCACTAATAACATCCCCAAGAGCTGAAAGTGATTTATTAATGCTTTGAGCTTCCTTGAGCTGACTACCTGAAGAGCCCGACTTCTTCACTCTTTCAGAACCAGCAAGATCCACAAAACTTAGCTGCAAAAATGCTAGAATGCTCATATAAAGATGGATTTAACATTTCAACAAAACAAACAAGCATGAGGTAACCCAGTTCAATCTTATACCATGACACATCCTAATTCACAATAAAATGTGCATGCTTCTTTAGGTTCATGAGAAAGAAAAGGATAGGGAAATATATGTTTATGTATGTCCTCCAATTGAAGTGGCATGCATCTTAACTTAATGACATATAAGACAACATGAAAAAAGATGATAATACCTTTCCTCTGGCCACAGATTGAGTTTGAAGGTTTGTACTCTCAATAACCACTGAAAGTATCAGGTGAGATCTTGAACTCTGCTCATTCATCAGAGTCCCAGTTGTATGACGTTGTTCAGATCCTCTCTGAATAATGCTTTTTAATTCGTCGTATGTTGAAATAGATACAATAGTAACATTTTCTACAGAAACCATGCCCTATACATTCCAAGGTACCAAAGATGAAGCATTAATGTGAAATAACAGTATAGAACTACTCACCGATATGTTATATCAACCAATAACATCTAACTGATAGTTCTCAATTACTAATTCACAAATAAAACATAATCACCTTTGAATCCTTCTTTATATCCAGCTTCAAACGCTTTGCGTTCTTTGGTAGTAAAAGATCTACAAGTGTATCTTGATATAACTCCACCATATAAGCCTGCATGATTGATACAACATAAACAAAATATAGAAATAGAATAACTTCCATTCAGCATCCTAACTAAAAATACAAAGTAAACCAGGAGATATTTAACTTCTTGTAGTTGAAAATTTTTAACACCTTAAAAATGGGAATCTAATATGATATTCATGTCAGTAAGTACCATTCATTCCCATACATAGAACAACTCAAAGATGTATTAACCCAACACTAGATGCAACAATTAGTGAAAATGTATATTAATTGAGAATTTGTTACCTTTAAGGAGAATGAGAATTTGTTACCGTCTCGCTTTAGGATCTTAAAGAGCTCAGAAGTAGCAAGTGGAGTGAGTCCAGGATTGCTCGCAGATCCATAAATTGTAAAGGTCTTCCCAGAACCAGTTTGGCCATATGCAAATATGCACACATTATATCCGTCTACAGCGGATTGCACCAAATACTGCATGAATGGAAATAAACAAATGAATAAATGATCATACACAACTATGATTTTTGAAAAAATAACTAAAATAAATAAAAAGTTACAAGCTACACATGGAATTGACATGACATGTAACCAACGAAATGATAAATGACAACAATTCATTGTGGATTAATTGTACTTGCCCTTGTATCATCAAATACATCATCTTGGGTGGCATTTCCATCAAAGACGCGATCATATAAATGTTGCTTCGTTTTATCATCTCTCCAAACATGTTCGACTGTGAACTCATCAAGACTTTTAAGAACATTTCTCTCTTTCTCAGCAATCTCCTTTTCACTAAGTGGCCTTAACCGACAAAAGACTCGAATCTTGCCTTTCATATCTGAGATGCACAAGTGGGTCCAATAGATAAGTTGATGTCACTAATAAAAACATATAAATATATAAAGGCAACAATGTTATCAGGGGAAAGGAAAGCAAAGAAAAAGAAGGATGTGCCTACCTTCTATTGTATTAAAATATCGTTTCCTTAAAACTTGTTCTTCCTTGTATAGTGCTTCTAATTCAGCCAATTGAGCCCCTTGCATCTTCAAGATTGCAGCAGTTTGCTCATTTTTTCTATCAATGTCCTAAAAGAAAGAAACTGTCAGCTAGAAATGGTTCCCGTTGTAAATATTTTTGGAGAGAACAATACCAAAACAATATTAAGGAGGAAAAAATAAGTAATATTATCACTCAGTAGTAGAAAAACAACGGAGATTCTGGTACACGATCACCACCTCTTTCATTTCTCTTAGTTCTTCTAATTCCTTCAAATTATTTTGCAATGCGGACAACTCCGTATTCTTCATTGCAAGAGTAGAACTTGCCATTGCCAAATCTTGTGTGACATCTTCTAGCTTTTTTTCTAGTTCAGAAACTCGAAGCCTCAATGCCCTGCGTTCTTGTTCTACATTTTTCGCAAGAACTTCCACCTGCATTTTCAATGGCCACAAGAGACCAATATCTTGAGCTCTTACCATCTCAATACACAAATACACTTCCCATACAAAGCAAAACAATAGGGAGGATTACCTCAGCAGCCTTCTTCTTTTCAAGCTTGGAAATTCTTTCTTCCAATAATAGTTTTTCATTTACAAGTTTCTTGGTAATTTCTTCTGCTGCCTGCAACTCTGCAGTGCGCACGTTCAACTCATCTTGCACCTTATTTAACACCTACAGTAAACATCATTATGAGTTCAGTAAACTAAATCAATGAAGATACAAGCAATAAAATTTAAAATTCCCATTATGTGAACCAGACATCAGAATATAAAGATTTACACGGGGAGAATTGACATCAACGATGTTTCGTAAATCAAAGATACTTGGATATCAATCTAAAATTAGCAACTTATTTACTAGAACTGGCAGAAAAGGCAAATATATATTTTCATTAAGTGTACCCGGTTATTTCCTTCAATTAACTCCTTTTTGGCATTTGCCTCCGAAACAGGATTATTTAGATTTGCCAATCTCGCTTCCATGCTCTGCTTCTCAACTAATGCAGCCTAATAATCATTAAAACCATATTGGGATAAGGAAACAAATAAAGAGATTGAAAAACTGATTTCATATGCAAAACATACTCACCCGCAGCACCAAATCTTTTTCATCACACAAAGATCTGAATTTATCACGTTCACAAGTAACTTCTGTCAAGTTTTGCTTCTCGGATCTCAAGAAGTCTTTCAGGCCCTCTAATTCTTCTTGTAAGACCAATTCTTGCTTTTCTTTTTCATGTAAATCTTCTAACAGCTGCACAAGAATACCCTGATGATTAATCTCATGTGCCAATTCCCTATAAGAGTTATTCGAACAAGAAATAGCTCCTTTTCATCAAATGTGCAGCTGCTTCTTTAAGGTCAAGGATCTAATTAATGCACTTAAATAATGTCCTTTTGTCAGGTTTAACAAAAATTACTAAAGCTATAACAGAACACTAAAATGTGAATCTGCTTCTTTTCTTTTTGCGAGAGAGAGAACCCTAAAATTAGTAGGCATTTTTTATTCAGTTAATCAAGCAAACAAGAAAGAGATGGATTGTAAGAAACAAATAAATAAATAACCAAATGCATCTGACATAAAATTTCTCCGACTGGAATCGAGAACCATTTACTGAATACCTGATATTATGCATATTATTCACTCCAAATCTTTCTCAACATAACACTAGTATATTTTAGTTGATATTTGAATAGCTTATTTCTTTTTTTTCATCCTATGAAAAATATACGAGCTTGTTCAGAGTATCAAATTTACTTACTTGATTAGCATTGCTTTGGGATTCTTCAAGAGCTTTGGACAAATCCTGAACACGTTTCTCATAAACATCCGTGCTAGGAGGCTTAAAGTTAACAGAAACATCTCCATTTATTGAGCCATTAGCAGTTGACCGTGCTTTAGAGTAGCGGCGTAACATGACATCATTTATATGTGTTTGAAGGGCAACACAAATTTCTTCTCCCTGCATGAAGTGAAAAATAATCAGTGCTATGTAACAATCGAAAAAGTAGCAGATAGTGCCTAAAGTCCCAACATTGATACTGGAATAATGACTTAAAAAGAAGGTTTTCAACCTGCTTAGTTTCAAACTGAAATATATGCAAGACACCAGCAACTCTCATCTTAAAAAATACGGCAGTATTGCTGCTACCAAATTGCATTATGTCTCTTAACTCAGCAGAATGTAGATATTCTTTAGGAACTGGACGAAAGAAATGAACCTGTGGATAATGAGTAATCATATTCATGTTCAGAAATCAGCAAATTTACAAATGAGAAAACGAATTTTTGGAGCATATATACAGCTAGAATAGTCCAAGACTCACCCCACGCTTATTAATGCCTAAGATGATCCTTCCAGGTAGAAGTCCAATGGGATCATCAATCTTGCGAACGCTAAAGAAAACTGAATTGCCATAAGGAAGCGTTCTCAATATCCGCAGAAATTGCTGTCTTGCATCATCCTTGGTTAAATTTTCCTACACAGGCAACAGAAATATCTTAGAGAACATAATATTCTTTACCAAAACATTGTTCTGAACAGCTCTTGAATATTACATATATTTCAGAAATAACATACTTAAATTGCTAAACCCAACCAAATCATGAGATTAAAAGAAAAGAAAAAAGACCAAATAGAATATATATATATATATATATATATAATAAATTGTTACACTTGATTTGAAAGGCAAAAGATCATTCTATCTGGAGCTACAAGTAAGGTTCGCCTTTTTCATTTTCCTAAAAAACCATGGTTTACTGACTATTGGAAAAAAAAAAAAAAAAAAAAAAAGTTTGACTGCAATACAAATACTGACTCTGCAACAGCCTGTCAAAAGGAAAGATATACACATACAAACGAAGCAAAACAAGAAAAAGAGGAAAATTCACTCTTTAAAGAAAGGTACTCTTCCACAATTTTCAAAGTATCTGTTTTTACCGTTTGACGATAACGAGAAAGTATATCCAACTCCCATTCCCGCTTTGCCCGAGTAATTGCAATTTGTCTGGGCAGAAATCGCTCCAGCAGTGATGTCCAGTCACTGAAAATGATAAACAATAAGACTGAAACTCACAAGAAAGTACAATACCGGAGAGGCAAAGTAAAACATATAATACCTAGACAGAGACAAGTTGACTAAAATAAAGTATTAACTTTTAACGGAAAATAATAGCGAACTGAAAGATATAAAATACAAGAGAGTAATGGAACTCAGCAAATAGAAAAAAAAAAAAAAAAAAAAAGGCATACTAAAAAGAAAGCAAATGGGGAAAAAATTTACTGACGTGCATGATTCAGGGTTGGCAACAAATCCAATTTCAACTGAAATTTGCAATGCAGACAGCTGTGCAGCATCATCTCTTCCAACAGGATAATTGCCCAATATATAATCATGCTGCAACTGTGACAATATAACCAGACAACAACAAATCCAAAAGTAATAAATAACTGAAAACTCAGAAATGGAAACATTGAATATCCACAACTGGATAAAGCAACAAAAAATCAACTCAAAGCAAGATTTGATACTTGAACATATGATAACTGCACAAACATTGGGTCTGCTACAGCTTCATCTGACTCCCGAAATAACTTCTTTTTGAAAGTCAGTTTGCAGTGCAAAATTTCTCCTTTACTTCGGTCCTTTGCAGCTTTGAAATCCGCCAAAAGATCCCCAATGTATTTGTTATCATCTAACCCAATATATTCCTCTAATATGACATCAAAGTGCACTTTAGTAATTGAGAATGTCAAAACATTTAAATTTGGAAATAAGCTGAAATGGGTACCATTTCCAGGATCAGGTGATTTAGAACCAGTAACAACTTTACGGCACTCAAACAGACTGAAGCTAGAATATGCTGACAGTTTAATTATCCCCGCTAGCTCCTGAAGTGGGTATGCTGTTAAGCAATATTATGAAGTGCTAGAAGAACTAGATAGAGACCAAGAAGAAAATTACAAACTAGGATGAAACAGAAGAGAATAATAGTAGGGGAGTTTTCCATTATTTACAACCAATGATTATCAGCTTCCATAAGCAAATCCAGAATACTTTCAAAGTGCAAATGATCCAGTATGCACGATAAAATGACAAATACATCAAAGACCACCAAGCATTTATGGTAAAAATATGCCCGTTCAAATTTTATAAAAGGAAGTTGACAAATCATGATATAAATGGAGTTGGGTGAACTCATTACTCAGCATACAAAACAATTTTGATACAGGAATCATCCATGAATGATTCTCAAGTTATCAGGTATATTTTTCCTCGTGTGCAATATCCCTTATAAAGCCCCATGCATCTAGGACAGAACCAATTGTTATTATTGATCAATATAAGCAAAAACCAGTAGCTGATGGAATTCAATTAAGTATCCACACCCTTTCACACGCTGTGTGCTATTTCCCAAATCCAGTGGATGCTGTTAGAGTCTTAATGATATTCAGCCATATAACTTTTCTATTCGGGTACCTCAAATAGGTCCAACAATATACTAGTTTGCCTTTTCAGATATTGTAAAACTTAGTCGTCCTGTCATCCTTTGTCCAAACCCTATTTTGTACTTATTATTCTTTTATTTCAAATCATCTCCTTACTGGACATATTTACACATGCAAAACGATGGAGAAGTTTGATATTACCTCAACAGCATCAGCTACAGTTGTCGCCATGTCATACGTAATTTCTTCAAAAGTTTCATCCAAGAAAAACACTATAGTGGTAAGCCTTTTACCGGTCAAAAGAGCTTCAATCTCCTCACGGCCAGGTATTGTGTGCCTGGGTCCAGCCTTAACAGAACGCTTCAAAGCATTTAAAGTGTTTAGAGCAAGGACTTGGACCTCAGAATCAGTACCCACACCATGTGCCACATTATGAACATACTCTGATAAATATCCACCAATTTCTTTGCTAGGAGGCATGCAGGATGCACATAAATACATTAGCTCCCATGCTTTTATCAAATATTGCCTGTATTTCAAAAGCAATAAAGAAACACACATTTTATTATTTAGATAAATGGACATTAAAGCACACATCAAGGAACAGATGAAATAGTTCATGGGATCAACAATTCCCACAACAGGGTATATGCATACCTATCAGGGTTATTCCGTGTCTGCTTTGAAATTTGAGCAAAAAGTTCATCTCGAAGCTCAGAACGCTTCAAAGCCTGCTTATATAGCTTTCCGACAAGCTCAACACGTTCCTCTAAGCTAGTTGGAGTTACTCGGTCAGAAGAATCAACTCCCATGTATTTCAAAATTGTCTGGAACAGTTTTGTTGCCCGACTTACCAGGTCGCTGTTAATTTTGAGTAGCGAAGTTGGGATGGGATCCTGACAAACTTGCATCTTAATTTTTAATTCGAAGTTTGGTAACAACAGAACATACTGTTATGAATTATGGCATGTTATTACCTTTTGGAAACATAGCATATCTTCAAACGTGAACTTTTCCCGAACTTGAGGACCCACGGATTTTTTAGAAAAGAAACCACGTTTCCCAGCAGATTGAATCTGTTTTTGCATAGCCCTTAAAAAACCCTCTACCTAAAAGAAGTAGTGGGAAATTACAAGATCAAATTTTAAATAATGATCAAAAGCATGAATATGAAATTTGCATATGATCTAGTCATCCAGTTATTGTATTTGTGAAGTTCTTCATCCATTTCTATACATCTCACCAGAAATTTTTCAAGATCAAATTTTAAATAATGATCAAAAGCAGTAATATGAAATTTGGACATGCAATGAAGTCATCCAGTTATCGTGAAGTTTATTTAACAAATTCTTTAACAATTTCGTTAAGTTCTTCTTCCATTTCTATATATCTCACCTGAAATTTATCAAGCAAAGGTATAGCACCAGCAAGTTCTGGTGGAATAGCCATTGATAGGGTCGTTGGTGTACTGCAATAAGAATTAAGTAAAAAATTATAGCAGTAGCAGTAAGCCTGAGAAATTATTATCTGAGCTGCAAATTACTTGTAAAAATCTATGTAACAGTTGGGCACAAGAAACTTACGGTGGTGCAAAATTGGAACCATCACTATCATAGTCATCCACACTTGAGGCGGCAACAGATTGGTGTGAAGGAGTTTCGTATCCATTGCTAGAGCTAAATGAGGACCTGCTTGTTCTCATACTTTGGGCCATAACTGATGGCATAGCAGATGTGATTGAATTAAAAAAAAAAAAAGACCTTATGATCTAAGATTACTGCAGCTCACATCCTCTGTCCCACTTGCAGATTTTGCTACTCCTAGCCCCTTTAAGCCCTCTAATTATCTCGTGAAAGCTCAAAACTGAATCAATCCAAAGCAAAAAGAAAAGAAAATTTTTCATTGTATTATTAATTACAAAGATAAGTAAGATACCATTAAGATCAAAATTTTACCAGTTTTGAAAAGAAATTCGAAAACATAGACAGAAGTCGCCAAAAATATAAACAATATACAAAGTCAAAACCAATATCATTTATAACAAGCTCAAAATCCATTAATTCACAGAGTGAAATGTTTGGCCCTCTTGGCTTCTTCAAGCTATAGAGGAGGATTTCCCTTCTGTTTCTTAGTTTTGTTCTAAGTTCATGTCAGGAAAAAAAAAAAAAAAAATCAATAAATCAGATCAAAACCCCAATTAGTGAGCGCAATACACGCAGGAAAAGGGTAAACAGCTAATATGGGTGGATGAGAAACAGAGCTTCCCATCAACAAGCCAAACTGTTCCATCATTCAACCCAAACCCTAAGCAAATAATTTACTCCTCTACAGACAATCATAAAAAGAAAAAGTAAATGAGATCTTTAAGAAAAAGAAATGATATTTTCCCAATGAAGCAAGAATGTTACAATATAAGTATTTAAGTCTATCGCAGACTCGCAATCAGAAGGCGAGAAAATCAGAGTAAAGATCCACAGATACGAGCACAAATTACGAAGAAATTCAAGGTATTAGACCCATTAATACCGCTCGACATTGGGGGCTGACGACATGGGATTGGTGGCAAAGAAAACCAGATCGATACACCGCATTAAAGATGGTAAAATGTAATCGAATACATGTATCAGCACAGATTATATATATATATACACACACACACATATATATATGTCACATAAATAGAACTCGAAATGAAAACAAAAAATGCGAAATAGTATTGAAATTGAAGAATCAACGAAATGTTCGGGATGGAAACAAAGGGTGTGTACTATGCTACCTTGGAAGAAAAGAGATCTCCACCAGTCGGCTCTGTGTGTGTGAGAGAGAGGAGAGAGAGAGAGAGAGCGAGCGAACGAGCTGAAGAGAGGAGAGAGAGAGGAGTGAGAGTGAAGGAGGGAGAAAGGCAAGGTCCGGGTCACGAGACTATTTTAAATATCCATTTTTTTGGTTTTTTTTTTAAAATAAAAAATAAAAAAAATCTTGGACATTTTTTAAAAATTTTAAAATTCCAAAAATATCCTTTTCTTGACTTTTCAATTACTTATGAGCCCCAGAGAAAAGAAATTAAATATGGCAATGTGCATTTGATGGCCGTCCCAGCCTAAAATGGTGGGACAAATTTGAAAGGAAAAGAGATCTATGTGCTTCAACAAAATATATAACATCTACAAAATCACCATCTTAATCTGCGTAAGCCCTTATTATATTAGTATTATATAATCTTTTGTATCTTTAATACATCATATATAAATACTTCAATTTGTCTTTCATCCTCGGATTCACCAAATTTAATCCTCTTTAAAATTCACCCACAGTTTAAATAGTGACAAAAAATTTGAATAAATATTGACGTTATTGCTTCTGTTTATTAACTCCACCTTATACTGTATATAATTATATATAAAATCACATGTATTTTTTACATTCGGATGCTTTTGGGCTCTGTGAAAATTGAATTTAGGATATTAAGAAAATTCTCAATCAATTCAAAATGAAAGACTGTAAATTGATGGACACTTCGGCTGTTTGTTTGAACGTAAAATATTTTTTAGAAAAATATTTTTTTATTTTCTGGTTGTCGTAAAATATTTACGAAAAAAAAATATATTAAAATTTAACAAAAATAATTTATCCATAAATTTTAGACAAGTTATTTTACATGTCACGCCCAATGGACTCGACCTTAACCTCGACGTAGATCCTTACTAAACACCAATAAAGTAAAAATAAAAAGAATATTTTACTTGAAAAAGAAAAATATTTTTTAAAAATAATATTTTACGTCGAAACAAACAAAGCATTGAAATTGGAATTAAGATGGTAAGAGATGAAGATGGAGAGACGTTGGAATTAAGATGTTAAGAGATGAAGATGGAGAGATGTTGGATTCAATATTTTTTTAAAATCCTATTGAAAGTTTATGAAAAAAATTTCCGTAACTCATTTCAAGACCGTTAAAAGAATAATTTATTAAAACAAATTTGTGAGTTATTATGATAACATCTTATAAATTTAGAAGATGGAAAAAATACTTATAATTCCTCTTAGGAGATCCATTATCCACTTAGACCAATCGTGCACTCTTGCGGGTTGAAAGGTAAAAGTTTTTTTTTTTTTTTTTCAATCACTGAATAAAATAAAAAATTGACATATTTTATAATTTCTCTTTTACCCTTTTCTTTTTTCTTAAAAAAAAAGCATTGCTTGATTGACACTTGGCGACTTTAAGTTGGGTCGTTAGTTGGCCACCATGATATCAAATTTTCGGAGCCAATATTTGCTTGATTGCGGCCATATGTCGAGACAGTGTCCATAACGATCATGGCATGTTTGTTTGCAAAATATGCATTGCTTTTTGGGTGGAAACTGAAAAATCCCAAATTCATGTTCATTTCTAATGCTCTATATATATATACACACACACACATTCACAAGCTCATCATCATTCAATTTAATTTCATTGAATCCAGTGGAACAGTCGTTCATACAAATAGGCCCACAAAGAGTGTATTATGAATTTACGATAGTACGTCTCGTATGCCCACAACATTGCATTAATGTCTTTTTTTTAATATATGCAAATACAATCTTGTAAAGAACAACGTGCCCCTTTCTGGTGATCTTTCGTTGAGTTTAATGAACGACATGATACTTTTTAATTCTTATATTTGAAAATATTTTTTTTAAATTACTCAATAATTGAATTTTTTCACTATAATCTTTTTTCTTTTCCTTTATATAAACTTGTATTTACTTTGACAAGTTACATCTATATTGTTGGCAGTGAGATTTTTTTTTTTTTTTAAAGGTAAAAAAGAACTGTGGTTTGGAACGGACGGAACTGATATTTCATGGTTCAATTCAATTCCAAGCCTCAACAGTTTCGGTTTCAATTTTTTTAGAATCGTTGGAATCGGTTCGATTTCGATTTAAACTGAAACTATACTCAATCGGACTATGTGCATCCCTACAAGGTAAGGGTATTTGTGTTCGACCGTGTGCACCCCTACAGTGAGAATAACCATCCATCTAAGAACAATGAATAATTATACAAAAGTGCAATATTTGTGTTCAGTACTTGTAGACATATTAACGTGTTCGTGTCCACGCTTCTTAGTCATTTATTTACCGACAAATGATTTAAAAAAAAAAAATTAATGATAAAGAATCAAACTATGTAACTTTATGAGTAGACACCACCCAATCTTGATCAGGTCAAACTCAAATAAAAATAAATAGAATTAAATCTCCCAAATAAAACATTTCAATTATAATCAATTGAACATTTCAATTATTGAGTCAAAACTCACCTCTCTCTTAAACTATACATTAACATGGAATAGCAAAGTAAACATTCTTAGGATAAGGGTTTGGGGTTCATACTTTTGTCTGCATTATTTGTTTTTTACTCAATATTATTGGCTTTTCCCTGCAATCTGCAGGCTATTGGAAGACTAGTCCGACTCCGTCTTCTTCTTGCCACAGAAATTTTAGTGGTAAAGCTGTCATTGCAAATTTTGTTTAGTCAATATCAAGGGTAAACTTGTAAAGTTGCAGACTAAATAATGAAATAATTAAAGGCCAGAAAAATTATATGTTAAATTAGTAGATACATAGACTCAAAGTCCGACATTCCAAGATTCACGATTTCATGGAAGGCACTAATCTCTTAAATTATGAAGCAATTGCAAATTTATAACTAATCAAAAATTATTAACTCAAAATATGGTCTTAAAAAGCAAAACAAAAATTGGTAAGGATAAAACAATTATTTGGTAACAATACTTTCAAAATATAAGACACAAACTCACGTGTCAATTTATTCCTCAAAAGACTCGATCTCTCACCTTCCACTACACACAGTTTTTAAGAATCAAATCTGCCTTCTCAATAGAGAGAGACTCCGTTCTACGTGCATCCCACTAAAGAAGCAGTCATAGTGTGGATAAAAAGTTTAATGCAACAGCTGAAATTGCCGGCATAGCCGGCCTGTACCATGTAGAAAAGTTGTTCTCAGAGGTTGAAGGTTTAGATAGTAAATGTGTGTGCAATTATTGTCTTAAATTAACTCACGGGAATGCTCACTTGATCACAACTTTGCTGGATAAAAATACTGATTTTATTGATGAAGCTGTAAAGGCAAATAGGTTTGGTGTATAAATTTACTGATTTTATTTATGAAGCTGTAAAGACGAGGCCAGAACAACCCAACAACTAAAAGGAAGAAGAAAGTCTTGGTATTTAAGACGATCATGTGAAAGTTGAGAGCATTTTCATATCATAATTGGATTTGATACCACAAAAGGCAGCAAAAGTAATTGCATTAAATTATATATATGTATATATATATTTTGCATGATTAAATAATATACTAGCAATTGCATCATTTTCCACTTGAGGACAACAATGCAAAGACAAACAAATTATACTATATATCAATTAAAGCACTACCTTCGCTATATTACAAAAATGTCCTCCATGGAATGGTCCTTTATGGCCTCTGCAAGTACTCTTTCCCCATTACAAATCCACGAAACATTAATACCTACTTTAAAGGTTATTGAGAGCCTAATGAATACTACTTATTTATTTTTTTCTTAGTTGCTATTCTGCACACATACCTCTACTGAATTATGAATTTTTTTTTTTGGGAGTCTGATACGGCTCTAACTTATTGGTGTCTAATGAATATTATATACCAATGTCTAATTCTGTCAATATCTTAAAAGATATTATAGGAGAATATTTATTTCATTATGTACTCTCTTTATTGTTGTCATTTTTTTGAATATAGGGAAATCAGTGCAACCCATAGACGTAATTTTAAATTTTTTTTTTTTTTGAGTGAACCAAGCTAGATCTGCGTGTCCTTATGTCTTTTTTTTTTTTTTTTTTTTTTTTTTTTTTGTGCAACAATACCAACTATTTGACTTATTCTAGGAATGAAATACCATTCTCATTTAAGATTTAAAAAAAAAAAAATCCCGATAATTAAGTCTTTTTTTGTAATATCAATTTACATCCTCTTTTATATTATTTTCCCCCTTCAATTTCAATTTAATAGGAATGCTAGTTGATGTTGCCCTTTATTAAATACATATATATATATTTTTGGTAGAAAGGCCATTTAATACGTAGAAAACAACAAATAGTCATTGCGTGCAACAAAACCATTTTGAAAAAATTTCCCCTCTCATTTTCAATTGAAACGACTCCATCTCATTTTTTTTTTTTTTTTTAATTAATGCCTTTGCCTACCTACTACCAAAATTCATTTTCAAATAAATTGTTAATTGAAAAATAAAACTTAAAAATAATAACCATAATAGCAATAGCAACAACAAGAGATTATACCTTGCAGTGATTTGAGTTTCTATTAGGATAATTTAGAGGGATTTTAATTTAGAAGATCCTAATCCATTTAAAAAATAGACATATATAGTTGACATTGTTGGTTTCTAATAATAGTTCACTAGTTACAAGAGATATTTAGATAAAACTATATATGTAAATATATTTATATATATTTGATTGGTATGCTTAGCGAATTCTCTTATATGGCTGAATGAATAGAAACGAATCTTTTTATGCTTTGGGAATTTCTTAATTAGCTTGGTATGGTTGAACGGCAGGCACAGTTGTTGTTGTTATTGTTTTTTTTTTTTTTTTTAAGTAAACACAAAAACTATAGAAGAAAAGCCGGAGTGAATTTGGTATGAATTTATTTTCATTAAAAACATGTCTAGTTTTGTCATTTGTCATTAATATCTAGTTTATAAAAAAAATTAAGTTTTTAAAAATATAAAAAAAATGAATTAATTCTAAGGTGTTATTCCTTGCTCAACTTTGAACACCATGTTTGGTGTGTGTGTGTGTGTGTATTGTAAGTACATAATCCAGTGCATTGATAAAGTAATGGGTTGTTTATAGCTAAAAATGATAGCATGTGATAAGTAATAATTCAACATGGTTTTTTAGTTGGCCAGCAATAGAGCATGACAAAAACTCTAGCAATTTACAAACTGGTACACGATGGCAAGTGACCCCTCGTGAAAAAAATACCAAAAAATGATGGACCCACCGATAGGAGCTGCAACATAAAGCTGCACGTATCCTTTTATTCATCATGCTAATCACTAAATTCTCAATCATGTTGAAATTGTTTCTTTGTGTGTGTATTGTGTGTTTAACGTTTTTTTTTTGAACGAGAGGAACATGGAAGAGAAGTAAAATCAATGGTCAATCAGGTCGACAGACAATTGTCATCAGCTCTCCTTCAAAGAAGTAGATTTTGAAACATTAAAAAAATAATAATTAAAAAAAAAAAAAATCATGTACCGAATATTTAAGTAATTTCACTAATTTCATCTTTATGTAGTCAATTGTAAGTCATTTGCTCTATATCGAATTCGGATAGAAAATTGATTGGGTATAAATGGGTGAACATGTAACACGACACAATAATTTAAACTTTTGAGTAAATAGACAAGCGTTCACTCGTTACAGTTAGTATTAGAGTTAAGTTCAGTCTTTGATTCGGTGTCATACTAAGCGTATGGCCAGAGGGCGTCCAGGTGTTGTGAGTTTGGGTAGGAGAGAATGTAACAAGGGTCATTTGTCCCACATCGGATCCGAATAGAAAAATGATTGGATATAAATAGGTAGGTATGTAGCATTATCCAATAATTTGAGATTTTGAGTAAATGAACAAGTGCCTACCGTTACTTCAATACTAAAGTACATTTACTTAAAAAAAAGGTTCAAAATTAGATCTAAATCACACAATTTTATCTAACTCAATGACACTCAATATGCTTTCGTTCCACTTACACTCTCTCTCACTCCACCTTTATGTGAGGTAAATTTTATCATTGCCGTGCTCATTCTCATTTAGAGTCAGATATCCAAGTACATTACTGGAACTGATAATTCCTTTGGAAGAAGATGGGACTAACATGGGTACCTACCTCAATTTGTCTTCATAAAGTTATCGCCCATACCATTTTCTTGAAATCTTACTTTAATCATGTGAGGGTATTTCACTGAATTTGATGGGGTCACTTTGGAGACAAAGAATGTGAAATTAATACATCATTTTATTGACTTTTCCATTTTCGGTTTAAAATAACTGGTGCACCTTTACCCAACAGTTCACACACTAACAAGTTTGCTCCAAAATAATGATTGTAGTTCGTTAGACAAGTGGTTGAAACTAATTATGGTGAGCCGAAATTAACTTTGAATTCAATTAACACATAAAGATGATATTCACATGGTTGTTCACAAACCTTTTTTAAAGGCGTGGACCTTTGTTTTTTTTCCCTACATTTGCTTGCCATCTCCCTCACATTATGTTTGTATAAAAGCCCATAAACATATAGCACCAGTTTACACACACACACACACACACAATAGCATTTTCTCAATAATAAAAAAAGTTAATATAAAGAAAAGGGTAAACACTTTATTGTGTAAGAATTGTAAGTAAGAAGATTATTACAGGGAAAAATAAAAATCACTTGTGATGATGTCATATGGAACTCACACAGCCAATCGTGGACATCTTCAAAATTCGAAAGATGTAAGAATCTGCTTGGTTTGTAATTTTGAAAATTGTTCTTAGGAACTCAAAAAATAGAAATATAAAAGACAGTCTTGTGAAATTAGACATTTTTATAACTGTATTTCTAAAAATAATAATAATAAACTATTTTCAGAATTACAAAAAACAGCATAACCTAGTATTTTTCTTATTATTTTCCACACACCTTTGAAAGAAACTCAAAATTATTATTTGAGGCGTTTGAGTACCCTCCCTTTCCTTCTTATCCTCATTTGGCTAATATTTCACCTCCCTCTCTCTCCCCCTCTCTATTTTCTTTCCTATTCCTTGAGTCCAGTTGGTTTTTAGCCCAACATCACATGTTTGTTAACTATTATTCTCAATTTAAAAAGTGAAATAACATTATCAAGACAAATATGCATAAAACCAACATGTTTGTTTAGTTTATTTTCTTCAAATATTCCAATGTACATTTTTTCATATTCATCTTTATTCCTATTCGCAAATCCCACATTTACCTCCAAATCAATATCCGGAAGTGAAAGGATGATGTTCATTTATCTTTTTATTTGGTTGGAGGTGCTACTATTATTATTTTACTAATATACTTTTGAATATATAAATAAAAATAAGAATAAAGATGTCTTCTCAAAGTAATCTACTAATTAACAATCTTTCTCAAAATGGTGATTCGTCCATCGTTCTTTTCCCCTCCCCCTCCTCCCACCAAACTCTCACCAACCAAATTTGAAAATCAAACTTCTTCCCGCCGCAACTATACATATATATATATATACACACACACACAATTATATATATAAAAAATAAATATATATTTGTATATATTAATTAAATTTGTTACTTTATTTTTCTTCATAATTTTTAGATATCTAACTTAAAGAAAATTTACAACTTTAAGTAATTATTAAGTAGTATTTGTCTATGTTTAGATTTTTTTTTTTTTTTTAACTAAATTAGTTTAATAGTGGATTTAGCTTTCTAAATTATAAAACAAAATAAAAAAATTGCAAATTTAAAAATGAATCATTCATATTTTATTTTTGAAATAAAAAATTCCCATAATAAATGCATACTATATAAAATTACGCTAAAACTTCAAATTAAATGCGGACATTATTCAAAAATAGAAATAAAAATAATTGTTGCTCAATTACACTAAAAAAAAAAAAAACCAGAAAGAGCAAATGATGTACAAAACTCTGTCAACAAGTTAAAGATTGCCATCTGATATCAAGTGCATCAACAACTCCATCAAAACTATCAAACCTTTTACTCACCACATCAACGTCTACGCCCAACCCCTCCGCTCCGGCCGCCGTGACAGGGCCGTGCGCCGCCACAACCAACCGAGGACATCTCTCCTTCACCGTGCCCCAATCCAAACCCATCTCCGTCAAGCTCTTCAACAGCCCCTCCACCTCCCCCGTACTGGTGAACACAATGGCATCCAATCCCTCCTCCTCTTCCACCCTCCTCACCACCTCCTCCGCGCACTCCGGCCCCACCCACCGCGTCTCGTAGCCGTTCACCCTCATCGGAATCCACCCTTTCGCTGCGAGGTCCCGGAGGAAGTTAGGGACCACGAGCGGCTCTGCTAGGCCAATCACCAGAGGAACAGGACAGAGCACTCTCCGTCCTCGCCCGAACCCCAACGAATCGATCAGACCGGTCGGGGTTGCAACCGGAGGAACTAAAACCCTAATTCGGTTAGGGTTTGTGCAAATTCCAGCAATGAAATCGTCGTCTAGGAGCTCGGAGTCCCTCCCAAGAGCGGAGATGGTGAAAGTATCGCCGGAGGGGGATAAAGGAGGTTTGTCGAGATGGGATAGAGCTTGGGAGAAAGCCGAGATTCCAGTTCTTGAAGTGAATGCTACGGCGGAGACATGTTCGAGGAGGGGTTGGTTTTCGTGGACGAGGTTAGGGTTTGAAGATGAGGAGAGATAGCGTTGGAGGTTGGAGTTGGTTTGGGGAGTGGTTTCTACGGCGACGGTGGGGCACCAGAGGGGTTTCCAACCCTTGTGGCGGAGGAGGTCAGAGAGCCTCGCCGCGTAGTTTTGCGGCGTCGTGAAGGCAATAGTGCGACCATCATTGTTGTTGTGATTGTGATTGCTGTTATGGGGTAGTGGGGTTGTTGTGGCTGTAGCTATAGCTATAGGATGCTGCAAATTTTGTATGGTTGTCACCATCGTTGCTTCATCATTGAGATGTGAAGAAGACGCATGTGGTGGCGTTTCCTCAAATTTACTTTTTGAATTATATACAAACACACAAATGAGATATATTATTCAGCTGAACCATGTACTGTATTATGCTCTCTTTTTTTTTTAAATAAAAAAATATAAAATATAAAAAACAAAAAAATAAAAAAAAATGAAAGGGAGGGATACTAGGACCAATAAAAATAAAAAATTTTGAAAATAATATTAAAGTCCAAACCCGATTTGTGACTTCCATTGTATGGTCCATATATGATTTTTTAACTCCAAATAGTGCAAAATGCCACCAAACAAAACATGAAACAAATGGAGCGTTGTGTGTGAACCTTATCTAATTTCAATGCTACCAAACATAATAGAAGAAAACATTTATTAGTAATTGCCCTTTAGTTACCAGAAGCGATTAAGCTGTGAGCTTTTCCTCTTAGCTTATAACTTGAGCAATTTCAAAAAGAATATCTAACTTTTAAATCCCAGTTCCAGTATTTTTGGAATTCAGTTCTATTAGAGTACACGTTTTCTAATCAATCGTCAAAAATCAAAAGAAGGCATGTTGCCTCTATAACCAACCAAACATTTGCTTCCAATCCAATTTAGGTACATGTCCGTAATGCAAAATACATGTGGACTTTAAAAAGATGATGTCTATTCTCTAATGTTAGACATTTCAATATATGAACTAACCATAACAAAAATTAAGAAGTTAATCGGATAGAAAAATAAAATTCCAGGGAAGAATGGGAGTCCTCAGTGCCATCAGAGTTTCCGAAAGGCCAACTTGCATTTCCCTTGGTGCTGGACATGCTTCAAAACCGATACACTTGGACCGAGTATTTAATCTTTGCAGAAGGCCAAACAAATTTAAACCTTGGGGGACTTTACTAATGTTTTACCAAAATTTTCCGTAAGCTCTCCATGACTGTTCGAATTTGCTCTGATATAGTGGAGTAGAGACATCTTTGTGCTGCCTCATCCAGCCCTGAAGGGGCAGTTGGCCACCCAGAACTCGGAGAAACTAAACTTCTAGACCTGGACAATGCTGCCTGCCTCAATTTCGGAAGATCAAATTCTATTGGATCACCAACAACTATTTTTATGTTTCTATTACATAATGGGAAAGGAGGCCTTCTGCCGAGAAAATAATTCTCAGGCATCACCTGGAAATCAGTGAAGGCTAAGTGTTAGAAAAGCCAGAATGATCAAATATGGCCACAGATATTCAAATAGCATCTTATCATTTCACTCTTTTCAAACAGTTATAATATTTCAAATAAAGTATTTAACTTGTACAACCTTTCAAATAGAATCCTGAATTCTGTGATTAACAACATTGGAATTGAAGTAGTCAAATAGGTTAATGTAGAAAGGACAAGAGTACTCAATTCTTAATCCAAGGATTTGCTATCGGTGCAAGCATTAAAATTCCATTTATCCACTCTCCACTGAATGCATAACTACCAAACACCCCCCGCCAAAAAAAAAAAAGGAAGTTCATATTCTTCAGTCATTGATAAAGAATTTCTAGGAAAATACTCAACCTTCTCTGATTTAGATCCAAATCCTCTGGGTCACAATCATCTCACTGGTGTCGTCGCCTTCTCATCTAACCAACGGCTTACACTCTGAGGCTCTAGAGCTTGCCGTTGTCATCAAGAATCAATCTTACACCTCTCTCTCTTTCTCTCTCATTAAAGCACCAATTTGAATAAGAAATAATCTAAATAAAGCGAAAAGTGAAAAATGAAAAATGAAAAACGTTTGAAATACCAATTGAATAAAATGTTCCAAACTTTTCATTTAATATTGAGCTTATATCATTTGTATTGGGTTTTGGAAAGTACATCTACGTATATAGTGTGTATAGAGAGGGTACCTAATTTTGTGGGGCTGAAAAAAAGGTGAAACAAAAAAATGAAAAAAGAAGGTTTTTATAATCACAGGTCCGGTCAATTCTGACCATGAAATGGACAACCATAACGAAATCGTGATGGCCGATTTGGTTTTTGAGAATATTATAATTTGCTTCATATTCACACCCTTGTAAGAGGTTTCCCTTTTTTTCCCTCTAAAAAAATTCATCTTGACATCAATGAAAGTATTTTGTTGTCGCATTGGACTTCCTGCTGCATCTCTTCTCATATCAATAATAAACAAGCCCAAAGATGATGTTTAATATATGTCTCCATGTACCATTATAGTGGGTAAGGCAGAGCAACAGGAAACTAAATTACTTTAAATATCTTACACAATGCAATTCTTTAAAACAAGGATATATAGAAAGCATGAAACACATGTTATATTAAATGATGAATATATATAACATGGGTATTAAGCATGTGTGTAGTTGATAAACTGTCCTCATATTATACTTGTAAGTATCAATATTACATAATCGTCATGCACAAACCTCCTAAAAAAGTAATAATTTCAAATTTCCTAAATTAATCAACTTTATTTATAAAATTACGCAATTATTTATTTTTAAAATCATATTTTTATCTTGGAGAACTATAGAATAGGAATGTCAAGGAAATTAAAAATGAATTGGAATTAGAAGGGAAGTTACCTCATGAAAACCATGGTGGATAATGGGCAAAACAATTGGGGTTACAGTAGCCCGAGCAATGAGACTGGCAGTTCCCCACTTTAATCTTCTAATTGGTGCATCTTCTTGAAGCACTTTGCCCTCCGGAAACGTATGCAGCTACTCAATTGAGATGAGTAGGAATTTCAGAACAACTAAAAAGGTGATTATTGCATGTATTAATCAGGATAATATCTATTTATGACATGGGTTAAATGTAATACCCCGATAATTTTAAAAGATTTATTAATTAGGATTAATTATTTTATTTTATTTTTCAATGATTTATTTTATTTTATTGAGTGCTAGATTAATTATCTTATTTTAATTAAGTTATATTTCGTGATTATGTATGATGATTGATTGTTTGTGTGGTTGATTATTGATTGAATTATTGGTGTGTTGATTTTATTGGTATTATATGACTTAGTTGTAAATTCTTGTTTGTTTATGTGCTTCATGTAATTAGTTATTTTAATTTCTGTATTTAATTAATTATCTTATTTATTTAAATTAATTGGATTGGGCTTAAGGGAAGTTGGACCAAAAGATGTGGTCTTGGGCTTGTATGAAACCTTATTGGGTTAATTAATGAAGGTCCGTGGTTATTTAATTATTTAAATGATCACTTTTGTATCAATTATATATATATATATATATATATATATATATATAATTATATATAAATATAATTAATTAATAATTGTTATGGAAAGATATATATATAGATATATATTTATTGATATTTATAAGTATATATGATTTAATTAACTAATGAGTTAATTATGGAAGGACTATATATTTATATATAATATATGTTTATAGATATAAATTATTTAAAGGTTATTATTTTAATTCATAATACTAGTTGGAATAGGATTTGGAATTTAAGGTGTATAAAAATACACATAAAACTTTAGGGTTAAAGGTTTTACACGTTAGAAAAATAAAACAGAGAGAGAGAGAGGAAGAAGAAGGGCTGACAAGGAGGACGTCGGATCTGAAAAGGAGGACGTCGGAATTGGAAGAGATAATTAAAGCTTGAAGCGTCGGTTTCGTTTCGAAACCTTCAGGCGAGTTTTCTCTAACTTTCCTCTTAGAACTCATAAGGATTTCACCTTGAGTATCAAGGCTTTAATTAAATTTATTTGTTTAAAAATTATGGTTAGATCGGAATAATTAAAAAGTATAAACTATTATATTTGATTTTTAGATTATTGGATTTTAATTGATATATATAGGTGTTATGTATAGTTTAAAATCAATCTATAGGTGGATTTGTGACCCAAGAGAGTTAATTATGGTTTCTTTATTTTCTAGAATTGTTCTGTAATTTTCTGGAATTTTTCTGATATTTTTAGGAATTTATTAGGATTTATTTTCTTATTATTTGTTAGGAAAATAATTATATATATATATATATATACATATACTAGGTAACTGGCGCATGTGGAGCGGCGGCACAATAAAGAATTGATCCAGTGCGGCGCGGTGTAGGATAATAGGGTGTATACGCCAATTAGGGCCATTTGATTAATTAAACTTATGTGAATTGATATGGTGCATCGCGGCGCATAAAACTTTGGTGCGCATGTGTATCTGGACCATAGAAGTGGTCTGGTCAACTATGGGATTATTTGGTGTATTGCAGACCATGAGAAGATGGTGCACTCGCTGATCTGGACCTTAGATCTATTATAGTTAATAGAAAATAATCTAGTGTGAGCGTGTTCATTTGCGCACTCATTTATGACCATTGGATGCGGCATAAAGGAAGTGATGGATTCAGTGTGGTGAGCTCACGGTAGCTGAAAGAGCTTAGCCAATACCAGCACACAAGGAGGCTTGAATCCAGCGCGTGCAAGTGCATAGTAAGCACGTGGGCGCGCGTGGGTAACTATGTTGGCCTAATTCGACACTAGAAATTAAAACGGTCATAACTTAGTCATTTTAAATCGAAATTGGGTCATTCTTGAGCTCAAATTCAAGGATTTTTCGTCTTCTTTCCAATGGTACCAATTTCATTATCAGATTCCCATCCTACTAGGAGATATTTATGTTTTAGTGAGAAAGTGTCGGAAAACTATTTAAACCAATATGGAGTATTTAAAGGAAACTATTTCTGACATATTTAGTTGCACTAATTTGTGTAAATATAATAAATTAATAATTTGTTATGGAAGGAAGTGTATATATATATATATATATATATATATATATATATATATATAATTATTTATATATGTGTATATATAGTTTAATTTGTCTATGAGTTGTATGGAAGGATGAATATATATGTATGTATGTATGTATGTATATTGATTTTAAATAATCAAGGATTATTAAAGAAGGTGTTAAACACATAAATACATTAAATAACATATGTGTAGGTATATATATATATAAATCATTTAAGATGATTAATATTATCATTCTTATTTGGCATATCTTAATAGGCTGGTTGTTAAATTAATGATATGCGTATAATATGCATGTGATGGCTATGTATGATTTAGCGTATTGTTAATTTTAAAGTTAATTCATGGTTAAAGTGTGGGCATGGATGAATTGTCAAATGATTAAATATATTACCTAAATATTTGTATGAATAGAATACATATATGGAAAGCATGGATGAATTGTCAATTAAATGTATGAATAAATATACCTGTGGAGGCATGGTTGAATTGCCAATGTATAAATATACATACACGGAGGCATGGTTGAATTGCCAATGTATAAATAAATATACTTATGGAGGCATGGTTGAATTGCCAATATATAAATAAAAATATTTACAATGGCATGGTTGATTTGCCAAAGCATAATTACGTTGTTATGTGTTAGATGATTAAAATATCATCTATGGTTGTTGTATGTATGGATTGGATTAGGGTTAGATATTCTTAAATGAGAATAGTTTAGTACTTACTGGTTAGTGTATTATTTTACATTAATAAAATAATATTGGGGAAGACGTGGATGATTTGTCAAAACTTGGATTTTGGATATGTGATTTAAACAATTAAAATCATTATCGGGTTGGGATTAAATAGAGTATTTCTTTTATTATAATTTGTTGTTTAAATGATTAAACAACTGACTAGGATGGGATTAAGGTCAAATGAGTTTTTATAAAATGAAATGGTAGATTGGTCTAGGTATGAATATTATTTTAATAATTATTTAATAGGTATGGAAATTTAATAAACCTATTAATGGATGTGATTAGTATAGTATATATAATTATATATAGACATGTATATCGTGCTTTATTAAAGTTAAAACTTTATTAGGTTTGGTTTTGATCAGAGATGATCTGCTTATTGGTTTTCAGAGGCCTGGTAGAGTGAACTTGCTCGTAGGGTTTAACCCACGATTTATTTTTCAGGTTATTAGAGGTTCCAGTCTCGAGGTTGAGGATCCGCAGCTGGGAGACTGTCATTCGTCTATTCATCTTGTGTACTTTTAAATAGTATTGGATTATTGGATAATGTTTTAAGGGGTCCTTGAGTTATGGGATTTCCGAATTGTAATTGTTGGAGAATCATTAAGTAATATTTATTTATTAGTTTTCTTCAGCGGTTTATTTATTCTTTATTATTCATCTTTGTATTCTGTGCTTGTTAAATACTTAAATTGTTTTGATATCCTCTGGTTTTGTGCGCGGACTTGATCAATCCGTGTTCCAAAATTAGGGGGTATCACATTAAACAAATGCTGGACCAGCCTAAATCATGTGATGATATTCCATCCAAGAAACTTGGTGGGATGTCATAGTTGATGGGTTGATCTTGGTGATTTTGGGAGTTAGCCGATTAATTCGACGAAATCTAGCATGTAATAACAAATTGAACACTTCAAAGAACTTTATTTTAACTAAATCCATAATTTCCTTTCAATTCAGCATGCTATCATCAACTAACTTGAAACTAAAAGATAAATCAAAATTTCTGCTTAAAAATATCGAGCATAAAAGGATTTGAAGCCGAGCGATCATGTTAACTTACTCAAACCACAACAAGAAGAATACGACAACCAACCAATAATATGTGAAGAAAGAAAAGATAAACCATTAGCCGAATACAGCATAGGCCCAAATAACCAAAAAAGAAGAGAGCAGGAAAGATTGGTTGAGAAAAGTTGGGGCAAACAATACAAAAAGATGAATCTCACTGAGATCGTAAAGCAGATTCCCATGAACCAAGGAACATGTAATTAGTTCATTAGAGAAGACTTCCAGACAGTCTAAAAGACTGGTGTAGAAAAAGAAGAGAGAAGTACAAAAGGATAGGAAAGAAAGAGAAGAAAGGCAGTATTGTAGGGCTAGTCTTCAATCAATCTCGAAAAGCAAATCTATGCATATAAAGAGAGAAATGATGCTGTTATAATCACTGACTGAAACAGTATCAAAAGCAACTAATGTAGGGCTAGTCTTCAATCAATCTCGAAAAGCGAATCTATGTATATAGAGAGGGAGAGAGATGCTTTAATAATCACAGACTGAAACAATATTAACAACTGTTATGACCGTGAACTTTTAACAAGCCATTATATCAGGAATGCCACCAGGAGACACAGTTACATAAAGGTAGACTGGTAATAATGGACAGTGCTCCCAATATACCACTGATTTCTTAGATCGGTTTTTTTTTTTTTTTAATCACATGGGAATTGCTGCCACTTGTAAACCCAATATCTCCAACTTCATTTTTTTTTCAATAAAAATTAACTCTAAATGAAAATATTGATGTCTTTAGTAAATAAATAGTGACTACAAGAAAATATTGATGCCTTTAATAAACAAAAAGTGACTCGCAATATGAGCACCTTGCCAGCTCCCATGCATGACAAATGTCTAGTAAGCTAGACCTCCTCTTCAAGTGTGTCCACACCACTACTTAGCCCGAGATCTTACATATTTTAATTAAAAAAACAAGTTATATTCACCCCCAAGATGAAAAAGAAGATGTGGGAATTGGCCAAAGCCACAACATTGACACTACACTGATTGACCTAGTTGTAACGGGCCGGGCGCTTGCCGTTTGACCCAAAAGCTTAAGTTGTTGGGTAGTGCTGCATACCCACCCATATAAGCCCATGAGTCCATGACCTTCCCCATCCGGATCCGATGTGGGACAAGAACCTCTAACACTAGTCCACTTCAATTTTTAACAGGAAGGGTGGTTGCAGAGAGAGAGAGGGAGAGAGTCAGAGATAGATCTTTGGGCGCAATAAGCCCTTTAAACATTTTAATTAACTGTTGAGAATCCACCCAATTTTCTGAAATATAAAATTAGAAATTTAAAAAGAATAATTCAGGAAAAAAATTTAAAAGATCGACAAGGGTGAGGATTTATTACATACTCTACAAGGTCCAAATAACAATCAAAACCAATATATTCCATGTTTATTCCTGTTATTTCATTGCTCCATTCATGATAAACGTTTCATCCTTTCTAATGAATTAAGCTTCTTGAGAAACTTCAGTGGTCTTCTAACTGAGGTTAGAACTCAATGAAGGAGATGGCTGTGTTGAGAAGAAGATGTTCAAGGATAACTAGAACAATTGAAGCATGTTGAATGCTGTGAATTATAAAATTATGAGTGCTACATTCTAGAATGACAAAGAATAAATAATTTTTATTTTAGCATCTTCAACTATGGCGCATCAATCAAAAGATGCTGACCCGGCAATTAAACCATGCCACCTCCTCAACAAGATATCATGGCTGAGTTTCAGATGGAGGCTCCAGCTAATATGCTTACATGCCAACATTGTGTCGGCAATCACTGGAATAAGGCTGACAAAATTCTTATGGACAATTCACGATTAAATTCACAAATGAAATACAATCACAAAAGGTAACATATCTCCATGGGTGGGAATGACACCATCTTTTGAATAAGTTAAAAAACAATATAATCAAGTACCATAAATTACTTACTGCACTGGACCACAATTTGAAGGGCAAAATAAAAATTTCCAAAACCTTATTCTATAAACAGTCAATAAAGTACAAAAGTCAAAAATTTTGGGAAAAAGAGTACATACCCATTCTCCATCACTTAAGCGATCAAGAGCTTCATTCATGTGTTCCTGATAAATTCCACCACCTCTTGTTATAGGTATGCATTTCCCTGCGCATTTCACTCTTTCAGAAATAAAGTAACCCAAAAAATGTTTGAAAAATGAAAATCTACAATAATTTAAGCAAGCTTAAGGAAACATATAATGACAACACAAATACTTAAATGCCATTTTGTAAAATTTCTAAACTTCGAGGATTGTTGCCAAAAAAGAATCTCTGTATTCGCTTCACTAGGCTACCTTCCCACTCACCAACAGGGAGAGAAATGTTCAGTTTTAAGATGATGGCCATATGATAAAGTTTTTAAACAAACAAAACTCGAGGAAGTGGGATATCCAACATTCCTATTAAGTTGCAGGCAGGGGACAGTGTCATCCTGCAACCTCAAATATAGCCATGACATGATGGTGTTATATTCCATGTATGCTAGTGACTCAGAAATTCAATTATTTCACCATAATACAAAATCATACAGATCTTTCATTCAATAATATTATAATACAGCAAATGGACTGAGTTCTTGATTGAAAACGAGAACTACATCAAGTATTCAATTTCTGTGAGCTGTCTCAAAAGAAATTTACCACATGGGTACATTTTCTGGTGGAGTTTCTCTCTGAAAGTTGAGCATAAGAAATCACTGACGGCCATTTATTATGTTCACTAGATACATCAGTATGCACTATTTTACTTCTCACTATCTCTTTCTCTTTCTCGGATTCCTCAATTTCCAATAGAAGCAGCAAGGTGGATGTTCAGGCAAAGTTTAGATTGTGATTAATTACTCCTTTATTTTTGCTACTTTAAACGAGATGATGTTCCATGGGAAAAAAGACCAAAACAAATCGTTGGCCTAGCAACATGATACTGATAACTAGATATCATTAAAAAGCTTCAGTATTTCAACTTTCAAGACAATACCACAATATGTAGAAAAGAGAAAAAAGATTTGATGGTTTTCTTGGAAAATTCCCCAATCCGGCAATCCCCACTCCCACAATAACTTTCATTAGCCAAAATTCTTGGAACTTACAGGCTCAGTTCAGAAGGTACAGATAGAAAATCACTCAAAACCATGCAGTAAAAATTTAAGGTTACTAGTTGCCACTAACAAGTACAGAACTTATGGAATGTAACAATGGAAGAAAAAGAAGAAGAAGAGAGACAACATACCAAGCCGGAAAATATATGAGTATATTGTGTTTTTAAAGCATATATCTTCTGCAGCAAGTACCCATCGTGCCAATTTTGCATCCGCTATTGGAAAACCCTTGAATCCCCACATAACAGGGTCATCTAACCTGTAAAAAGTAATAAAATAAATAAATAAAAAAAGAAGTGAAGAACCAAATTAAGAGTAATCCAAAACACATTTGGAGAAATAGAAATGATTCCTGATTCCTTTTAAACTTGACATAGCATGATTTGAAACAAGGGCCTTGTGTTTTAAATGGCACATGGTCCACAAGGGCAAGGGAATTTAATTTTTCTTAATAGTTCGCTAATTATAGAACATATTTAACTTCAGAACATAATTTAATTTCTTTTATCTATTGATTGAAATGATGTCTCCATTCAAAACACAACGAGTTCAAACAATTTTGACCGGAAATCCCAACAATCAGAGCGCATGGAGAAAATCACAAAGAAAGATAAGCATTCAGCCATGTTCTTTAAACAACAGATGATTCAATTCTGCTTTGACTTCCATGAATTGAATATTAGGATACTTTTCCAGAACTTTTAATACGACATCATTCATTTTAACAAACCCCTTTTACATTTATCTGTTTACTGCCATTTTGGTGTCTCATTGAGAAGAAACAAAAAAAAAAAAAAAAAATCCAGAAACTTGCAATTCCTCTGAAATGTAGATCAAAATTGAACCAAACAGAAACAATTTATTTTCTATTGTATAGCACTCATAATACTAATCATTTGATGGAATCTTAGAAAACAATTACCACAGGCCAAAGTGATTTCACTGATAATACAACCTAAGTAAAATTTTCAAAGTGTAGCCCAATAGGAAGAAAAATATACAAGAAAAATCATCCACCTTGACGATCTTGTTCGACCCCAAATAAGAAAATTTAACAATCTATATAAAATATATACACACAGACGTATATGCATATGCACGAATGTAATAAATCTGGTAAAGAAAGAACCACTAAATCAATACTTATAATCATTATGATGTATATACATATATATAAATATGTATGTACAGTTGTGGTGAAGAAACGAAGATTGGAGGGGGAGAGAGAGACTGACTGACTGACGTGGACATGTGATTGCTAACAGTGATGAGAGGAACGCCGGGAGGTCTCGATCGGACGAGGCGGATTAGGGTATCGGCATTGTGAACGGTGGTGGAGTTGAGCAGATTCGCCACCGCTTTCCCACATGCCCCCACGGCGGCGATCACCATCTTCCGAGGTATCCCTCTCATGTGATCCGCTCTTCCTGCCCACTCCATTTTCCGACCCATCTCACCACTTTTTCTGTTCCATCCCCGCCCTTTTCTTACATACCCCCACGACGTTTGTGTCCACTCTGTACTCGTTATTATGGATTTCTCTTCAAGTTATACAGGGCTTTTGAGCCCTTTATCCAATTAAAACTCTCGATTTCAAGTCAAAACATTACCTCTTTCCCAATATAATTATCCACTTCGTATTCGTAAATTGTGTTTCACGCGAGGGAGTAAATAAATAACTAAATAATTAGTACTCATTTATTGGAATATACTAGAGTATTTTTTATTTTCTAAAATTATTTCATTTTATAGGCAAGAAACACATTAACATTACCTTGGATTTTTTACTTTCAAAGGCGAAAAAATATCACTACAAACTAGATTACAAGACATTGATAATTTTAATCTTATGATTTTTAGTACGCAAGCAGCAATTGTGCAAACCATCGCGCACCACACATCATATTAAGCAAGTTTTATGTAACCTTGATTACACATTCTTCACATTTTGAGAAGATTAGAGATGATGCATTTGTAACCTTTTAATATTTTCACAATTTTTTATTTTGAATATAAACCAAGTTTAACCATGGTATAGAATCAGAAAGTCAGATAAAATAACAGAGAAGGTTTACCACATCTGTAAAGGAAGTTATCTAAAAGAGCGAGGCATTTTCACTTGTTTTTGCTTTGCATCCCCCTTACCATGAATTGCACTATGCATCAAGCAAAACAAATTCAATGAAATCATTGACCGACCAAAACCATTTAGAGTTGATTAGTACATTCCTGTGATCATGAGCTCATTTTTTATGACAAAATGCATTGGAACATTGAAGCACTTGTTTGGAATACATCCCCTCATATTTCTCCAAAGATGATGAGGACTGGTATAAAACCATCTGCAATCAGAGCATTATTAGGTGGTCAAGAATACCTATTATAAATGCTCAGTGCAGCAAGGAAAAAAAAAAAAAACAGAATCCGTCTAGAGGAGACCAACTTATTATACTTTAAAACAGACCATTAATGGTTTAGTTTCAACATTCAGGGCACAAGTATAGGACAGAAATGTTAGACAACTTCTACTTCTATGTCATACATTACATAAATTCAATCCATTAGGCCTGTATTTACTAAAAATAAGTATTATCTGGCAATATAGAGCACCATACGAGGCAATGCACATAAAATAGGTAGCAGACACACCAAAAGTAGCAAATCCAGAATAAACTAGTGGAACAAAAGGTTTATGGTCTCGAAAGTGAAGATTCAGAGCAAAATGTCTTTGAGAGATGCATTTATTTTATGGTAACTCTCAATATCCAAACGAGCCCATAGACGGTAGTCCAGAAATAAGGTCTTGAACGTCATTGCCACTGCTATTTATCCTCCCACCAGCATTCTGGCTAAGTGATTCAACCTCCTGCTTTCCCAGTTTCTGCACATCCCCGGGTGAGAGTATCTTGATGTACCAGACATTATTCACAAATGCCCTGCACATGAGATTTTATACGGTGAGTCCCCAGGTAAGAGTAATGTTATGTTCGTATGCAAAATGGAGATAGCATTATTCCACAATTTTTATTTTTCTACACAGTACTGAAATGTTGACTATAAATAAAGTAGAAACAGCAAGACTCCAATTCTTGAGAAGGGGTTGGGAGGACAGAGGCCAAAAAAAAAGAATTTACTCAAATAATTGCCATAAGGTGGACTGATAATGGAAATTGCATGACATCCAGATATTCTATAATTTTTAAGTTAATCCATAAATTTTCAAGAAAAGTACACCTCGATTGAGTTACTAGTACAGTTCAAAGAAATTCTAAAGCACCAAAGGTACCACCATATAAGAAACTGGCTGGCTGTGTAATAAAGTACTTACTCCCATGGGTCGTCTCCAAGGAGAAGCACATCATTCTCCCTGTCAACAAATACAAGCTGCCAGCCTGATCTATGAGGGTCTTCCAGTAGCCCCTCAATTCCAAACATCTGACCCAGCTCCTCACGCAACTCATGATAGCTGTTGAACTGGGAGATGTCCAGCGACCGTCCAATCGACCCCGATTTGTACACCTGTACATCCACAAACATGATCATCCACCCAATACCCGAATACATCAGAAGTGTTAACATGATGCAAAGGCCACTCTACACAACTTGTACCTTGACAAATGTGGCAGTTGGTAGGTCAACTTGCGCTGCACTTTGCAACAACTCAGAAGAGTCTTGCATGCAACCATACAGAGAACTCTGAAACTCTGAAGTCCCTAATGGCATTAAGGACACATCAGTATCAACTGAAGAAGTACCAATACTGGACGCTGTAGTGGGGAGTAGGAGTCCAGAAGAGTCTATATTAGCACCAAAAAGAGCATGATTCTGGGTAGCCAAGCTACAATTTTCCCGCTCCACAGCACCATCCTTTCCAGGATACGGTGGGAGTGACACCGAGTTCGCAGAAGAATTGACATGAGGATGTGAGAACTTTGGCACCCAGGGCGGTTGGGTTTGCAGCTCAGGAAGCATGGACTGACCAGTTCTAGTGAAATTCAAAAGATCACCACTCCCTTCACGACACACTGAACCCAGCATATTTTGCACACATGAAGGACCAACAGATGCTGGAAACTTAGTGCTTGAATTTAAGAAGTCAGCATTTGGAAATGGAGTTAAAGCGTCAGATTGCTGCCTCTGTTGGAGCTGATCACTTTGAATCAGAAATGCCTCCTGATAGGTATGTTGCTGTGGCTGTTCCCCCGGTGGATTGTTAACTTGTTGCTGCTGGTTTCTAGGCAGATTTTCCGATTGCATTTGGGTTTGTGCTTCCAGGATATGCAGAGGGATTGATGGCTGAATTAGTTGCTGCTGCTGCAACAATGGATTAGGGCTGCCTGAGTGCTGAAGATATTGGAAAGGGTGCTGAACTTGCATAAATTGCTGTTTCAGAGAATCCCCACCTCCTAAATTATGCATATTAGCTGCCAATATGGCCTGGTACTGCTGATTGAGATCATTTCTGAGAACGGTTGGATCCACTCTTTGCTGCATCCAGGGAAATAAACCATTAAACTGAAAATTCATGGAATGAGGTCCTAGCTCTCCAGTTTCCCCTCTTAACCACGCCATGCCATTAACTGTTTCATCTCTGCCATCTGTAAAAAGAGAACAGGAGAAAGAAACAAACACAAAATCAGGAAGATTCAAATGAACAAACAAGAGCCTTCATTTCTGAAAACACCAATGTAATTAACATGCTGATGAAGATAGACATATCATTCATGACAATAACTTAGAAAGGAGCTCAGAAGATCTAGCGTAAGAAAAAATTTGCTATCCAGCAGAGATTGCATTTGAATTAGGAGATATTGGACCATCAACTACAAATTCATGTATGAAGCACAAAAGCAACCAACGGGTTAGTGGCCTAGCGGTATCAGCCTCTTACTTTCCAAAGGGAGGTCAGGAGTTCAAGTCTCAAAAGAGACAAGTGTGTGTGAGTACCAACTAGAAAAAAAAAAAAAAAAAGCAGTGGTTGTATCACAGGGCTATAAGAAGGAATAGGAAGGCCCGGAAGGTTTAATATAGCAAGAAAGGGAGCATAGTCTCTCGATTTGCAATTCTAATATTGAAATATTACGGGAAGAGTGAATGTGATGGGCTCATATTTGGATAGCTCTTGTTGGGTAACCCAGGCCACTTGGAATGGAAGGCTTATGTATAGATCACAATGTGCAATACATATGCTTTCCTATGCTAATGAATTAGGACCTTATAGTCTAATATTTTTTTCTCAGGTGGGGCGTGAAGTGACAATGTCTAGGGGATTGGATCCATCATTTTGGAAAGTGAGTTAATGAACAAATCACCAACTCCAAGGATCTGAGAGAATTTAACCTCAATGGATCGAAAATCACTACCAGAAATCTTCTTTCCAACTCAAAAATAGATTGTTTGAGTGAAAGGAGATCTCGGTGACCAAATAACACAATGGTTCTTCCAAGATGAGTAGTTTTGCTTTAATTCTGCATTCCATCTTCAATGTTTTAAAGTCATATCCTTCCAATACTTGTGAGGAGATTTATTGCTTCATTTTTTTTTTCTTTAATAATACTCTTTTAATTTAAAAGAGAAATAAATCCACGAGAAAATAATTCCTTATGAGCTCAACCATTTCCTTTAATTTTTAAATTATGAACACGTTAATCACTTGAAGAAACTTAAACTTTAGACTCGAGCCTTTGAACACACAAGGCCTGAAAGATTGTCTAGTTTACTTTTAACAGTTTTTTTCTTTTGGTAATTAGTTAACTTAAAAGTTCACCTAATGGAGTAGCAAGAAAGGTATTGTTCTTGATCTAAACTGAAGTTCAAGTAGATATAGTATACTAAATTAGACCATCACATGATACATCCAAGGAGTATACGTAAAAATGTGCAACTCTGGGGCCAAAAAGAAAGAAGCAAAATGTTAAAACATTCAAGCGAAACACATACCGTGAAAAGATGAAGCTCCGGGATACCAAGGCCGCTTCAGCCTGAGGGGAAACAATGATGGGTACATGGGAAAAGTTGTCAAAGGCTCAATTTCCCATAATGATACACGTGGCTGCCTCTCACCCGCAGTTGACTCATCCCAGCCAACCTAAATTTAGAAGGGGAATGAAAATCAAATAGAAACAGAAAATTTAATTAGTAGTGTTAAGCAAAGCAACAGATTTGTAGAAATGCTAATATAATGCTAAAATTAGTTTTTCTCACAGTTTGCAGCGACGCATATGAAACCCAAATATATGAATGCATGAACCCTAATTTGGTGAGTGAATATAGTAGTGTCAATTACAACATTGACCTTGACCAAGAAATAACTAACTTGACACTAACTAACTTCAAAAAATAAATAAATAAAACTTACTAAGCTAGCAATAAATAAATATATACATAGACTCTAGCTTTGATCCACAAAATATGTCAACATAAGTGTATGTATGTGTGTGTGTGTTTGTAAAACCTGCTAGAAAACTAGACGCTCCTGAAGATTTCACCATGTGGAGGATGAATTTCCAAGAGGGGGTCAATTAGATGCAATTTTTAAAGTCATGAAAGTCTAACATGTTTCAGGTAGTCCAAGACTTACAATTTATCTGTAAAAAAGTTTAATAATGTTGGAATCACACATATTCAATAATTAGGAAATTCAAGGCACGTAGGCAGTAAACATCAGAGCGTTCGTCTATCTAATTTGAGTGATTGAAGCAGTTTTTGAAAGTGTGGCGGTGTTGCCCGAATGGTAAAGGGCCAGGCCTTAAGTGTCCCCCACCCTATGATCCTAGGTTCGAATCCCCTTCCCCCTAACCCCTACTAACTCCTAACTCTCTAACCATTGCCAGGTAACAGAAAAAGAAAAAGAAGAATCAGTTATTGATGCAAGCAATAGGACCAAAGCTAACCAGCATCGGCTATCTAACCATATGCAAATACAATAACCATAAAAAATTAAAAAAAATAAAAATCAAGTGAAAGAATGTGTGAATGTCGAGCAGTGAAAACATTTTTCAGATTGCAGTTTATGTTTTACAAGATTATTGAGTCATTGGCCACACATTTGAAAATGGAGAAACCTTTATCTCTTTAAAGCACAATAAACAATATCAAAGATGCACCTGAGTACTAGAATATATAGCAATTAATATAAACACAATACAATGGTTAGCCCTCACCTACATGCTAATATAAAGCATGTTACCTTCACAGATCGCCAATGAGAATTTGGCCAGCGAACAGGATCTAAGTCACCAATGCCGGTTATCGTACCCATGTATCTGGATAATGCAAATCATCCACACATAAGAAAAGTCCCCAATGAGAATTATGGGACACATAGGCGGCATGCGTGTGACACCATTAAAATATATGGCTTTAAATCATGCGACCACCATACTGGAACTATCATAGTAACCAAACAATAGGTGTAACACGAGTAATGAAACAGATGCAAATACCAGTCATGATTTTTCTTTTTTTATGCATAACTCTGATAAAATATACTTACTAGGAAAAACAATAGAATAAATAATCTCCTATAAAATAGAACAAACAAGCCCCTGGCATCAGATTCACCAACAGTCAAATACGGTCAATGTTGATGTGGCAAGTTTTTAAGCTTCATATGACAAATATGCCCCTTCAAATCTATGTGAAAACACTTTTGTCCAATTTTGTTGCGCAAAAAGACAATTATACCCCTAACTAAAGAAAATTAGATCGATGGAAATGCTGTGAGTTGGAGGTATAATTGTCTTTTTGCACAACAAGTATTGGACAAAAGTGTCTTCACAGCAATTTGAAGGGTGGCCATTAGTGAAACTGACGCCAGAGGTCGGTTTGTTACACACATGTAACTAGAAGGGAGGTAATAATAATTATCCAAAACATAGGGGAGGTAAGTGTAATTGGCATCTTTGTCTTTCTCCTTCTATGCAAACAAATCTTCCTTTTTTACTGGTGCATCTTCGGGTCTAAGTTGTACATAGGTATGCTTAAATATACTCTCTCTATTTTATCACTATTAGTAGGGGTGGCAATTCGAGTTTGTGGATCATATTCATGTCATGTCAACCCACTAATATGATGTCAGATTGTTACACACGTGTAACTATAAGGGAGGTAACAGTAATTTTCCAAAACTTAGGGGAGGTAAGTGTAATAAACCCTAATTAAAGGGGAGGTAAGTGTAATTTACCCTTTCTTTTATTATTATTTTAATTTTTTTAAATCATTTACAATAGGTGAGGTAGGTGACGTACGGAAGAGAAGGTTCTGATACTGATTTAGAACCAGAATGAAAGAAGAGGATAAGAGAACCAGAATGAAAGAAGGGGATGAGAAGACAGAAGATGAGATGAGGTTAGAAGAAAGAGGCGAGAAGATAGACGAAGGGGATGAAAGGATAGATTGAAAAGATAGGCTAGAAAGACTGAAGGGTTGAGAAAAGCAAGATTGATGAGGGAGAAAGAGAAAATTATTAACACTTTGCAGAGGTATAAGTCCATTGCAATGCAGTCAAATTATAATAATTTTGAGTATAGCAATGCAAGATAAAACACCATTATAGTAGTTTCAAACTTTCAGTGTGCCAGTGCAAGACATTAACAAAACATGTACCAAATAACTCAAAAAGAAGAAAATTCAATTTATAGAAATACCTGCGGACACTTGATTCTTCAGTTTCAAAAAGCATTCGAAAACGCATCCCAACAGAAACACGTGTATGATATACTGCTTTAACATATTTTGAAAGAGGTATGACAAATTCAGAAGGACTAGCCCTGGATATATTAATATAGAACATGTAAGTAGAAACAAAAAGGAAGAAATTCGTAAACAACATTTTGAATTCGATTGCCACCTTGGATTAAAAAAAATTGTGAAACAGCTATTAGTAGAAGCAGCATGAGCAGCAGCAGCAAGTAGTCCAATGTGCATGCTATCACTTGATAGAACAGATGATGGCATCACAGTTTGTGGTCGAGTCGCACGGCGAATTCCCAAAAGAAGCTGATTTCTCTCATTCCTAAATATGGGAATCAATTGAAAAAAATCAGATAATAAAAACAGGTGCCCACTAGGGAAATTCACTCAAGTATTGAAGAATACAGGGTAAAGTAAAAGGTAATACATACCAGATAAAAAGAACAGAATCTCCAGCAACAAGTCTCTTGGCACTGACAAACACACTCCAGCCTGTGGTAAGAAGATGACGTTTGGGCTGTCCTGTATGATGAGGACAAAATAAAACATGTAAGCATGTGCAAAGGGATGTTCTTTACACAATCTACTAGATTATTATATCATTGCCTGTGGTAATAAAAGTCACTAGACACGGCAAAGATATCAAACGCAATTTAAGAAACACTTGGAGAATCCCACCTCGACCAGTCCCTTAATTACTCGAAGAACAATAAGTAAAACTAAAAAAACAAACAAATCTGCCAAGCAACGTCAAAGCATCTAAACCATCCGAAGCAATGTTACAAAAGCACTGAAATCAATCGGCCAAGTGATGTCTGAATTACACGAAGCATCTGAATCAGCAATCAATAACTCAAACTGCATGAATCATCTAATACTCTTCTCATCTCTCATCTGATCACAAGAATTGAAAGTGTGCTTTTTTCAGCCTTCCTTTTATAATTATTCTTCTTCTTCTTCTTTTTCTTTCTGAATCCTACATTTGGTATCTCAATTTTGGTGGCACAAGTTACGTCAATTTGGATTTGGACCAAATTTTGATCTTCAACGAGCTTGATGTGTTATTGAAATTACATGGAAGAGAGCAACAGTCAGAAACATCTTTATCAAGAACTTGAAATTTTTTGTAGAAAATATTCCGGAATATGAGGTTTTGGAAATCTCCATCAATTCTCGACATGTATCCAAATAACAAATATTCCATCAAATAACCCATGGGATGAAGTAGTTTATCAAAAAAGCAATCGTGGAGACCTCCAAGGTGTCATTTTGTACAAGATAATAATAAAGATTAATATACCTAGTCTAATCCCAACAACACATATTAGTGGTACCAACAATGGGTAATCACATTTTAATTCCAAAGATGGGTAATTTCAAACAATATAATTCCATGCCATATGATTGAAATGAACTGAGAAAACTATTGGACCGTAATCCTAGGCTCGGATTAGAGTATGAAAGAGGCTGTGAAAAAGGAAGAAGAGGTCACAATTCAATTTCAACTGATTTGAACTAATTTTAAAATTTGAACTAAATCAACAGCAATTTATTTTCCTCAGTGAAGTTAGAAAAATTTATAGATGTAGGCAATAAAGTACACACAACCTCAAGTGCATACCCTTGGAAACACAGATCTATGACTAGTAGCACATGGAGAAGAAGGAAAAATAAGGTGGAGGCATATCTCCACAAAGCACACAACACTGAAAGCATAAGAGTCCTATTACTAAAAAAGTACAGAACCAGAAGCAAGGCAAAATCAAGAAGCAAGGTCTTGAAGTTGCATGCCAGGAATGTCAAGAACCTCCCAACAAATTTGTTTTGCAGTTTCTTGAACAGTCCTGGATTTTCCATCATGCAGTCTATCGTTTGTCTCACTCCAAACGTACCAAACTGCAGTAGAAAAAATTCTTCTAACAAACTTCTTTGACATGTTAGATCCTAGGTAGTTCAAAAACTAATCAGCAAACTGACCAAAGAAAACAGCCACTTGGAGATTCAGATTGCAGAGATCAGAAAGCCATGTCCAAATACCAGCGGCAAATTGGCAACTGACAAAGAGGTGATCTCGTATCAGCAGCACCGTAATATAAGTTGCACAGTGGGGCCAAGCAAAGTACTCTAAAAATTATGGGACATAACCAGGCAGATCAAAATTCACAACGTGAGAAAGAGGTTACAACTAAGCTACTAAATTATCCCTAGAATCACTTCTTTTTTTTCTTCCCTAGAAACACTTGGTCACTCCCGATTCAGACTTCCAAAGATCTTCCATGATTCTTCAAGCCACTGATTCATCAACAGGCTCGCACCTCACACAATAAGCTTCTCCATAGGCTTATTATTTTCTTTCTAGTAATGTACACTCCTGCGTGCTTGGGTGTTTTTTAAGAACCTTTGAACTATGGCAGTAGAAGTTTCAACAACCAAGGGACACACTCACCATGCTAGATGTACGATGATGTCTAAAAATCAGATATACTAGAATGCACAATCAGTGCTATAAAGTATGTCTGGATGCTCTAGTATGTTGCGCTTTAGGTTTTCTTGAACTTTGGATACCTATATATAGAGTTTAGAATTAAAAAAATAAAAAATAAAAAACCAGGGTCTTACAATATTCAATTTAGAAAGGAAATTCAGATTCGCAAACCTTGATCGATCGAACCAAATGTCAATAGATCAACACTAGGCCAGTGGCCTTCGATTGATCACTGGATCGATCGAAGTCCTCTGTCCTTTTATGAGTAGGATTTTGAAGTTTTCAAAAAACTTTTAATGCATGCGAAAAAGGATTTTTATGAATCAATGAATATAGAAATATAAAACCCTAATTTATAAATGCATGAACCCTAAATGGTGAGTGCCCAATGCAAGTTATAATTACCCTAGTTTTGAGCACAAAATTGCCCAAGTCCTATTAACCTAGCACAAACCTAATTACAATCGTAGATGGCATCAAACATTAAATTTTAGTGTGGATTTTTCTCCTTACATTTTCCTTTTTTTATATATGTACAAGTATCCCTCCTTAAACATTGATATACCGCCACTTCAACCACAACTTAATCCAGATATACCACCACTTCAAATTCTTTATTTATATAGCAACAAGCACTATCAAGCCCATCAGTCCTTCCAATAAACCAAACAACACTTGCACAACAGCAATTACAAAACTCTAAGCCCAAAATGTTGTGTAATGTAAATTCAATGCCTACTTGAGGGCAAACACTAAATCCCTGAGGTTTGAACTCAAAACTTTATGCACAAATAGGATCCTCACAATCATCTCACCAGTATTTCTGATTAGTGTGGCACGAATATTCTATGGAGATTCTATATGTTACTAGCTACTTTAAGGCAAAGGTTTTTCAATGTTGAACCCACTTGGGCAGCACCTCAACCACATTGAGGTTTTGATTCGTTGAGCTGTAATATATTAATATCAAGGCCTCATCCATCGATGTCAAGTCCTTAACCAAACAAAGTGGCTCTTAACAAATAGCATTTAAGGCTTGTAGCATTCTGACTTACTATTCCTTACTGTTACATGTTTTGAACCTTTTCCCCCTCCCTAACAATTCTTTCACTTCCCTTACAGCCTGATTTCCTACTAGATTAGACTTGCTACTCTGAGTCTCTCTCTACTTGTGTTGTCTTTGCTAGGGTTCCTTAAAACGTGGATGAAAAAAATAATAATAATAAAAAAATTAGAGGGTAAGGAAGGAAAGTGAAAAGAGAGAGGGTTAAAATTGAAGAAGAAGAGGAAGAAAATTATCACGGTGATTAGTGCCAGACAACTCATACTAGACTCTTGATCAAGTAAAAGAAAAGAAAAAAAATGATAAAACAAGGAGGGGTGGCTGAGGAGCAAAACAAGAAGGGAGAGGAGAGGGGGAGGGGACCACAGGTACCTAACCTAATACCTACGCATGCTGCAACCTACGAGTCTAGGAGCACACAACCAGGCAAACACCTTCTAACATTAGACTCTTAACTCCCATGGAGATTTTCATATAAATTTTCAATAAAGCATAGATTAAAATTTAACATTCTTCCTAAATCCCTAATTCTTCTTCTATCAAAATGCCAATATAAAAAAATAATTGCATGGGTTGTTATAATGTAGTAATACAACCTACTAGTATTAAAGATATTCATTGCATAACTTTCTAATTTATGTTGACAAAAGCCAGAATATTTTATTCGGAATAGATAATAAGTGGTCTGAAGTGTAGAGCTAAACATTGTGTATATTAATGACACAGAACACCTGACTCGAGAACATTCTGTATTTTTTCACTTATATTGGCTATAATATTGAATCAGAAGTTCGCTTACTTGAAAATGTATATGCTTTCAACCCTGTAAAATTACAGATATTGAAGAATGATTCAAACACATACCTCGAAAAATATGCCTAAACTTCCACTCGATATCGTGGAGATCTCTTGCAATAAGCTCCTGTGCTGGTGGTTGCTGAGAGTAATCCTGAGGGACCCAAGAAAAAGTACATGTCATTAGCATAAGATGATTGTCAAATTAAGTAACGCATGGGAACAGAATTCACCAGTGGAGGGAAAACTTTCTCTGCAGCACGACGAGGAACAGAGAACCCTCCATGAGTACTAGTATCACTCGCTGTTAAAGTCTTGCAGAAATAATTAGTTGGCTGCTTGCTTGGAATCCCCAGCTCGACAGGAAGATAGGCATCCTTTTGCTCTTGCTGCGTATGTATCAGAGAAGAATGATATTGCAACTCAGTTAACAAGAAACTACCAAACATCATCAAGATGAGTTAAATTTAATTCTAAACCCAAACTTAAGACTACCGGAGTCAAGGGCTGCAAGGTCATTTGAGCATAGACTTCATCTGTTTCCACATCTGCCTGAAATTCCACAAATAAGTAATTCTTTCTTATAGGTTTATATGACTTCCACAACAAATAGCTCAATTTATAGAAATGAAACAAATAAGATAACACATAAAGAATAGAAACCCACATGCATTGTAACATTGTGGAGTTGGCATATCAACTGGGGCGGCAAGCTCGGGTAATTTGGTATATGGGCATCAATTTCTTTGTTGGTTGTGGCAGCAACCTGGCTTCCAATTCCCATTGGAGTTATTAAAATTGCTTCTTGAATTAATAAAACACATTTTCATGTTAATTAAATACATATGCATATGCATTTTAAAATAAAATAAGGAAGAAAAAAAAAAATTTGTCATTGAACAAAAAAACCTGCTCACTATGGCCCTGAGGGAAGTAGACCACGCGACTCCCAACTGTGGGTAGGGACACAAGAGGACCAGCGCATGCATGCCATAGCTCTGAATTCAGACATTTCTTCTCCCCTTCCAAAACCAAAATAAAAATTACCCCAAATTTTGGTTATTAATTTTTCAAATTTGCTTTTAGTGAGTGAACAAAATAAATTATGTTCTGCATGCAAAGGAAAATATTAAAATAGGGGGAAAATAAATAAACCATGAAAAAGACACAGATATAAAAATATACAGAAGTCTTTTAAGAGAAGAAGGAAAAAAAAAAGGCAAAAAGAGGTAAAGAGAGATGAATACCTTCTTGATCCTGTTGACCCAACCCTGATGTTGAAAGCTTCATATTTATATTATATATAATACTTAAATTTTATTAAACCTCAGCTAATATAATAACCCTCACTTGTAGCTGTCATAATCTTGAGCCCTAAACTAAACCATAAATACAACATTTTTTTACTTAGAAAACAAACCTTCTCTCCTCAATCAGGGTTTCACTCTCCATTTCTCTTTCACTAACCCACAAAATTCACACAATAGTTGAGAAATCACATGCATTCCACAGCCAAGCCCTACAATTCAAGAATCATAAACCAAATACAGACCCATTGAAGACCCTCTCAATTGCAGAACCCCAAAACCAGCTGCTCATTGAAAGGTACATCTGTAACTTTATTCATAGAATCATAACACTAAAAATGCAAGAGTCACATCAGCTGAGCTCAGCCATAGACCGCCATGGACGATCCTTTTTTTCCTCGAACTGAACCACTCACTGAGTGGAGCTTTTTTTGGCCAATCGCTGTCGCTGAAGAGACCGCTGATTTTGTGAGAAGAAGATAAAAGAGAGTAGAGAGAGATAGGTGGAGAGAGAGAGGGCAGTTTCTTTTATAGGTCCCCGACCGAGCTCGACCTGGTAGCAGTAGAGAGAGAAAGAGAGGAGATGGTACCAGACTTCTCTCTTTTCTCTCTCTATTTTTGCAGGTTTCGGAAAGTTTAATCGTGACCGTTGGGAGATCCGTACTTGGGATCGTAGCCGTCCATTTCTGACTGATATGACAGGAGGCATGTGCCTCCATCCTTCAGTGGTCGTTGTCAGAGTACGGATTTTGAATATAAAATTACACGTCAGGAGAGAAAGTGAAAAGCGTGTTATGGAGCAGGGGTGAAACTTGGCCCGGTAACCTGCAATGGGATCCGACCCATGACTCTTTTATTTTGGATTGGATTTGGTTTCAAATGTTATATAACGAGCAATATTGCATATCAGTTTTATCCCTACTAAAAAAATTATGCAAAAATTATCTCTATTCTTTTTATGTTATGCAAAAATATCCTTAAATAAAAAAATTGACATAAATTAGTGTTATAATATTTATTTTGTTCCTATACTCTTCAAAAAAATGCTTCAATAGAGGGGGTGTTATGTGCACGTAAAATGCAATATATATAAATATATATATATTTTTTAAAACATATTGAATTATTTATAATTGTTACCTTTGGAATTATTGAATTCTTGTTCCACATGAAATCCAATAATTATTTATTTATTTATTCCTAGTATAAAATTGTCAAAAAAAATTAATGATCTATATTTTTAAATTCAATCACACTTTAAATTCTTTGTAGTTTAACATAAAGAATCCTAACTTAAATAGAAAAATCGTGCCAAAATAATTAAATATATATATATATATATTGACGGTATAAATAAAAAAGAATTTATTTATTATTACATTTCACGTGCAATAATTTTGGTAAAGAATCATAATTTAATAATTCCAAATATAACAATTATAAATAATTCAATAATTTTAAAATAATAATAAATAAATAAATTTCATGTGCACATAACACCATCTAATATGAGATTAATAGCATATTACCCCCTTGGGGTAGGTTGCATAAAGTTTTTTTCAGTCATTTTACAAAATGATGTTTTTTTATATTTTTATAAAATGTTTAAAGTAATGATATATTAGTCTAATTCTACTTTAAATATGTCACCTATTTACACAAAGATACAAATATTTTTCTGCACTTTACCCTTATATAAATTCAACTCTGTTGAATTATCACTTGATTTGTTAGTTACCTAAATCAGAAACCACTCTTTCATTGTGTATATATATATATATATATATTTCTGGACAGACACACAAATTTCGTATAAACGAAAGAGTAAAAATTAATTTTGTAAAATAAATGGATACAAACCTTGTGAATATCTTTACAATAGAAATAGTATTCTCCTATTCAGTCTCTCTTTTTATCCCAATCCAAGTGTTTCTTGCACTTAATCTTGACTCGGATCTTTGAGATTCTTCTTTCTGTATTTGTTGTTCAAGAAAACTATAAATAGATTATAATTGATGGCTAAAGCTTGATCTCAAAAAAATTTGTTGACGGTTATTCAAATTTGTTAAATTGTCAGGTTGTTTTTTTGTCTTTCAGGGTAGGCATGAAAGAATTTGGCACTTCAACACTTGCCCTCCTAGTCTCCCCGTTCTCTACCCATCTACCTCTCAATTTATAGACTCAATGAGGGTTAGAATTGTAATTTGATTTCTTTATGATAATTATTCCATAAATATATATATATATATATATATATATATAGAGGGCGGCAATATTTGCAGTTCATTTTTATATTATTACACTCCAATCTTAAATAAAATAACATCTATAACCGAAATTTTAAAAATTAATTATTATTTTTCTCAAATACTAAAACTCCCTTTTCAATTATGATAACATCTTTTTATTTCCCTCTCTTTTCCCATTAACGTTTTTGGTATCATGTGTTTTTTGTTAACTCATTTTTTCTCTTACTTCTTGCCATTCTAAACTCTCTCTATTTTGTCTTAACTTTTACTTCTCTCATTAGGTTTGATATTGATCTTTGTACAAATGAAGAAATAACATAGTTTAACGACTATTAAAATTTCATAAACCATTAAACTCCTTTGATGATGATAATAATGAATGGTAATTTGTTTCTTTTATGCTTCGAGTTTACGTTTGGATTTTTTTTTTATTTTTTATTTTTAATTAGTAGACTTACTCTTTTAATTGATCAATTATGTAAAAAAAATAAGGAAGTAAAACTCTTCACTTAGTTGTATTTGGTATAAATAGTCAATTAAAAATTATTGATTTCAGTGTAAGTATTTTTAAAAATTAATTTGAATGGGAATGGTAATTTGTTTTAAACAAATTTCCTTTTTTAGTTTATGCATTGAGTTTAGTTTTTTTTTTTTCGGATGTAATTTTTAAGAACTAATTTGAAATTTATTTGAATATTATTTCCTGTCACGTGCCCAAACACAATATCTTTTTTAAAACAAAGAGAGCATATAGTTTAATTATCATTTATTAATGGTAACTGTCCTTTAATAATTATGGTTGACCCAATTTAAAGTGTATTGGACTTTTGAATATCTTGTCTAATTTGAGTTGGGTCAATATTGACCTGGGCAGTGGTCCAATTGATATTAATTACAGTAATTCTTTTACTCATCAAATAGTGATTAACTTACTCCAAATTTTTCCATGTCCGCAAATGCCGATGAGACTTGACGTTTGGCATTTCTCTTTGAACACGGTTTGATATTCGGTATTATGTTATATTGTAAAGACCCTACATGGTTATAGTGAAATTTGATGTTTGGTATTTTTTTTATTATAATATTTATACATGATTATAGTGAAATCTTTAACTATAAACGTAGTTCAAATTTTGATTAAACCACATATATCTCGCGTTTATGTGTTATCACTCTATTTCATTATGTCCTTCTTTGCATCCATATGTTATTTTTATTTTTGTTGTGCTTGAACACATTCTGTGTTCCTAATTGATACAATAGTGATTTTTATTTGTTTTAATTTAACATTAATATTTTTGCAGAGAGACAGGGAGAGCGTAAAAGTAGGTAGAGAGAGAAAGGAGCACGAGATATTAGAGAGAAGACGAAGATAAAAGGTGTAGTTGAAGGTTTTTTTTTTTTTTTTTTTCATTTCATTTATCAAATATGAGTGGAGTGCCTGACGTTTTTTAAAAAAAAAAAAAAAAAAAAAAATCAAATTAGGTATTTTAATTTGTTTTTTTGTAACACTAATGCTGTTTGATAAAATTGAAAATTTCAATAGTGAATTTTAATTGCTGAATATATTAATCTATAAACTTATTTGATATTGTATTAATTTTAAACGTTGAATTCATTGTTTGTTAAATGCAAAAGCTAAAATCTAAATATTGTATATATTACATTTTTGCCTTAAATATCTCTTACACATAATATTATTATAAAAGATACTATATTAAAATATAGACATATATATATATATAATAATAATAATGAATTTCACCAAAGAAATATATCAATAGATATTAATGTCAAAACTTATCATAAAAATTTCAAAATCAACATATAAAATGAATAACTTGTGAAAATAAAATATTTATGAGAAGAAAATTAGAATTTACGTACAAACCATTCGATTTTTATTAAATGTTATCAAACACGTTAATTTTAAAAATAGCAATATCAAACAGACAATAAATAAGTCCCACATGAGGTTCCTCCTATTTGGGTTGGTCTCTGCCCAAACCCACTTTCTATTAATTTTAATGACCCAACCAGGCCCGAACCTAATTAAAATAATCCCAGCATAACTTCGAACCTAATTAAAATAATCCCAGCATAACTTGACTCTATTCCCTTTTTTTCAGGCTTGGATTTCAAATCTAAATCCGATTCCTCAACCCACCAAAATAGTATGACTTTATTTTTTTGGAAAAGACAAAAGTACCCTTAAGCTAAAAAAAAACACCTACTCCATATATATTTCTGTGTAATATTGGGTATGTGTATTTTATATATAACTGAATACACCCTCTCTCCCCCTCTCCTGCTACATTCTCCAATTCAACACAACCACAGTGAGCAAAACAGGTTTAACTCAAAGTAACACAAATTTCAGATCCAATCACAAAATTAAGAACATTGCAATCAAACAAATATATATAGCAGAATCAATTTTGATTAATGGATATTTAAAAGTTAATCCATCAGTGCCTATTGTTTCCTAAAAAGGGTATCTCAAGTTTGATTATTTGGGTGTACTGAAATGATTTGGGTGTTTTTGTTTCTCCTTTCCTAAAATGTTTGTCACGGTGTATTTTGGCCGTTACTATTGGTGTGTACATGTATATTTTTAACTATCTCTTGGTATTTGGTATATGAACGTAGTATTATAATTAGGAGTGACAAATGATGACATGACACGACAACACGACACGGACACGACACAAGTTAAAAGAGTTTGGATTTGACATAAACGAGTTTAGGTTATAAAAGGATCGATACGATTAACCCCGTTTATTTAACCATGTCGGATTAGGGTTGAGGAGTTCAACTCGTATAACCCGTTTACAACCCATTTAACTCAATACGTTATAATCGTGAATATTACTTATGTAATATATTACCTGTTTAAACCTAATTATTATATTAAGTCATTTCACCATAAACCTTGTCTATGCCTTATAATTTTTTTATTTTTTATTTTGAATATTTGGGTTAATTATGACAAATTTTTTCTATTATTTAGTATGTAATTAAATATTAAATGTCTCGTTTTGATAAATAAGTTATTAAACAGGTTAACACGTTTACCTATTTAATAAACGGGTTGGGTTAGTGTTGAGGATTCTTAACACGATTATTAAATAAGTCAGATTTGAGTTTACCTATTTAATATAATATCTTACATCGATACGATACGAATACGATCTACGAATACGAATTGCCACTCCTAATTATAACTCACTTTAACCAAATCTTCAACCATAACTATTAAACCTAGGTCCAACCCATTATACTATTTTAAAATTCATGTTGACAATTTGGGCTGAGGTTTTGGTTTAGAAAGTTAGATTAGTTTGGGTTACCCA